TCATGGTTGTCGATCAGGGCCTTACCAAGGCTGTGCTGTTTGTCCTGTGTCATAAAACTATTGACTCTGTCAGAGTAGCTCGACTCTTCCATCAGTTCATTTATTCCTGATTTGGACTTCCAGAGTTGGTGGTCTCTGACAGAGGACCCCAGTTTGCCTCTTCATTCACCAAGGAACTGTACAAGGCAATAGGGGTTAAAACGAAACTCTCTATGGGTTACCATCCACAAATGAATGGAGAAAGCAAAAGAGTAAATCAGGAAGTGGAAGGGTATCTCTGGCTGTACTGCAGTGAATTACCTAACTCATGGGCAGCAAAACTTCCATCTGCTGAGTTCACCCATAATTCCCATATCCACTCTGTCCATCAAATGACTCCCTTTTCACTTCTCCTTGGATATGACCCCTCTCCTTACCCTGAGGCTCAGCTCACAACTGTGCCTTTTGTTGATGAAAGATTGGAAAGATTGGCCTTGAACCAAGATGTCACCATCCTTGCTCATAAGAAAGCCCAGGAACTGATGCAATCGTGATCGAAAGGCTCATATGTCACCCCAAAGGTCAGGGACCAGGTTCTCCTTGATACTGGGCATCTCCACATCAAAAACCAATGTGACAAGATTGTGCCTTGACATCTTGGGCCATTCAAAGTGACTCAGGTGGTGTCACCGGTTGCCTTCTGTTTGGAGCTCCCTCCATCATGGAAGGTGCACCCAGTGTTCCACACATCATGAATCTATCCATATCAGGAAAATGACACGTACAGAAAAGCTCCAGCTGCACCGCTACTGGAACTTGTGGATGATGAAATTGAGTGGGAAGTTGAATCAGTAATTAATCACAAGGTAGATGGGTGCAGAGGAAAACGATGGTACCTGGTCAAGTGGAAAGGGTTCCCTCATTTGTCAAATACCTGGGAACCTGAGGAACATTTAAAGGACCATGCATCAGAAGCCCTCTCCCAGTACAAGCTCGCCCATCACCTACAAAACTAAATGGACTCCCCTCAATCTGTCAACACAGAAAATGACTATGCCAACCTCTCCTACCCTGGTGAATCCGTTTATGACTCCACAAACAATGGGCTTGTACCTCCTGTCACTGTCTATGCCCCAACCTCTCCCCTGACTTCCCCCACCAGCTTTTATGTCTCCAGGTGTTCGTCACCCCTCTCCCAGTCCTGTCCATTATTGCCCCCTGTTGCCAGGGCTAAGGGACCACATCCACTCTCAGGGTTCATGGTCAGAAAGGCCCCAACGACTTCGGCCAGAGTCGCCCTCAGTGGTGACAGTAACCAAAAAGGAAAAGAATAAAGAAGGCCCTTGCAATGACCCCAATAACCTCGCCTCCCCTGCCAGTCCCACCCATGCTCCCAAATCTTCCAATGTTCACACTGCCTTCACCACCTACTCCAACAGTGTGCAACGTGCTGCCCTCAACCTCCTTGCAACCACTGCCATTGCCCAGGTTGACCAGCAATGATTACCAGTCTCAGCAAGTGATTACTTGGACATAGTTAGGGCACTTGACCTCTTCCACCACAGGGACAACATTGACAGGTGCTCACCAGAACAGGTTGAGTATTTTGGGATGTTGTCTGAAATCTACAGAGTGTCAGACATAATCAACGGAATCATGTTGCAAATCTGTACATGGAAGCTGTCAGGAATGGCCCCGTTGTCAGAGGTAATCATGGTCAACATGCTTGAAAAAGCATCATCAGACATCACCGAGGCTGTCACAGGGGGGGCCTACCATCAGTTACAAAACCAGCAAATCAGCGAGTTCCTCACACTGCCTGCTTCTCATCTTCTCAACCGCATTAAACCAAAGCAAGAGGAACCATCGGCTTTGGGTAAAATGAAAGAAGATATCATGGATCAGGAGAAGGAGAAGCAGTGGCATGCTGTGGAGTTAGGGTTTGTGGACTCTGGAGACTTGTTTAAAGAGGTTGGTGCTTGCCTTGGGACAGGAACTCATAATTCTGCTTGGGAGGTTTTACTGCAGGATGCATCATGGGCTGGACTTCATAGACAGTACCATAATGCTGTCCACTCTGCTGACCCTCTCCCTGCAACTCCCTTTGTCCCTGTCCCTGCTGATCAACTTCGATTCTATCTCGGAGGTCAGTCTCCCATCCCTGCTGACCATGTCTTGTGGCAGCATGCCTGCTACCAGTGCCATTACTTGGGACATTGGTTGTGTCACAATGGACATGGCTCCTGCTATACTCCGGCCCTTGAAGAACCACTGTCTCCATTGCCACCAGGACACGTTCCTGCATCTATACTACTCACCAACCCCTTTCCTCCCACCTCACTAACGTGCCTGGCCTGTCCTCAAGGGTCTGAGGACCTTAGAGGGGGGGTGATGTTATGCTTCCATCAGGGGTCTTTCCTTTGTCGACTCTTTATGGTCATGTGCATCGTGTGCCTTGTCGCATCATTAATAACCATCACCATCCTAGGGGTTTGGATGCTTCAGGGGTTGGTCAGATCTCCTGCTGTCATGGTATTTCCAATACCTGTCAAGACCATGGCTGCCCATTGATCCAGTGTTCCACTAATGGACGACTTGTCTCTTTCTTGCTCCAGTTGACTCGTTTATATTGCTCACATGTTGTACTATAGTTCCGGTGTCAGGCTCCTCACTGTGCATTGATTGCACCAGCCAGTACAGCCTTCATTGCCTGCCTACCCCCATCATATGACATCATATGACTCCTCCCCTTTTATCTATTTGACTGATTGTTCTGTTGACTACTGCAGATACATGTCACAACGCATCTGTCATGACTGGTACGGTACTCATACTTAGGGGTATATAAACCTATGTACTTCATCCTGTATCTGCAGTTTTTCAATAGCTTGCAACTCAGCTAACTTCCTTCTTGCTCGTCCTTGTTCTCTCTCCACATGAACAACCTTAGGGACTCGCCAGAAGACAGAACCTTTGTCAGACCTTCAAGATAACTGAGCCATAGGGGTTATGACAAGTTCGGCCTGTAGACTCCCCCTCACACACTTCGTGCCTATTCCATTTGAAGAAGTCACTGCACTTGGGCATAACAGTACCAACAAGACTGTTAATCAATGTGTCTGCTTCCATGTCAAGCACAATCAGAAAGGCTGGGTCAAGGCCCTGCCTCAAGTATGTTTCCACATTATGAACACTGTTAATAACAGTATGGGCTTCTCGCCTTTCCAGCTTCACCTTGGCTGTTCCCCCTGGCTCTTACCCCTGGTCTCTGCCTCAGGTACTGAGGTGGTGACAGATTCCACTGATGCCAGTGCCTTCCTGGCCTGCCTGGAGATGGATGTTCATGAGGCACAAGACAACCTCCTTGCAGCTAAAGCAGCTCAAGCTCATGTGGCTAATCACCACCATGTCCCTGACCCAAGGTTCTCAGTCAGGGACAAGGTTTGGTTATCTACTAAACATTGCAGACATGAGTACATTGCTAATGGTACCAATCATGTAGCAAAGTTTATGCCATGGTATGACAGCCCATATACCATCTTGTTGGCTTCCCCTGAGACATCTTCCTATGTCTTGGATGTTCCCTGTGCAGCCAATGCATGCACCACATTCCACACCAGTCAGCTGCGTGCATTCATGCCCAACAATACTGCACTTTTCCCTTCATGCAAACTGCCTCACCCAGGCCCTGTGGTCACAGCAAATGGACAGCTGGAAAATTTGATCAAACAGATATTGGATGAGAAGAAAGCTGGGAGGACAAAGAAATATTTGGTGCAGTGGTTAGGGTATGGGCCAGAGGATGATGAATGGCTGACTAAGAAGGATCTGGAAGACTGTGAGGCCTTGGATGTTTGGGAATGGGAGCACCTGCTGTAGGGTGGCTGATCGGATGAGGATGAGCTGATGAGGAAAGAGTTGACAATGGTGGAAAGAATGTTGACAAAGAGTACTGAACTTGCTTGCAGCCCTCCCCCCTTTTGCTCTTTTTATGGGTTGGGAGGGTGTAAGCATACTGCTCACCACTAACATGCCACTCACACTGTCAACACTGCTGCTAGCACATCACACTATCACATCTCCTATCACACTCTCATCTGGGCATGCAGATCCCTCTTGCTGTGTCACATTGTTTGGACACTGGGGGATATATATACTGGTGCTGTCTGCATCATGGAGGGATCATATCTCTTTCTTTCCTTTCTCTCTCTCTGTCCATCATCTTGTATCAGCATATACACTTGATTGCTCAAATCCACACACCTGTCCATGTTCTGTCATTGTTGTGATCTGTTTGAGTGTGCTCACCCCTCCGTGGTGAGTTCCACAGAACTTAGAGGCCAAAATCATTTAACGAGAAGAGATCAGGGGGTTTTGTTCAGAGCATAGAAGGTGCTTCCCACAAAAGCCATTTTTTGCTTGGTAAATGTGTCTTGTTACCACGGAGCTCTCTTTCCGAGAATGGTTCTATACTCATGGATCCAGATTCCAGGCCAGTAAAGAGATACCCTCGCACGTCTTCCGAGCTCGCGAACGGCTTGCGGGCGAGGGGTGGTCGATGAGACCGCGTCCCAGAAAGGTACTCCCATGAAAGCATGCGAGGCTACGACCACTGTAATGGCGATGCGAAGTTATAGTACTTGGAGCGACAACATACTAGGAATTCACCATCTAAGCATACGGTCGACAGCGTCGGACCGAATCCTTACAATCCCCCTTCCAGGGTACAAAGTCAGTAAGTCAGTAAGTAACCGGTGGTGGGAATGGGATTCTGCAATCGTTGCTTGGGTCCAGAGCACTTCGGAGTTCTTTGAGGGGTAGAGTGGCCAGTGCATTAATGTTGGGATAATAATTACGTATGTGCATAGCCGGTATTGTCAGGTTACCGGAGATCTGCCGACAATCACGAGCACTAAGTATTACCTGGCTATCATTGCAATAGCCTGAGTTGACTCGGTTACCCACTCCTACTTGAAAGACACCACCAACTCGTCGTCTCTCTGGTCGATCCACTGTTCGTTATGGCCACCATTACCACACCCGTCACCGAGCTTTTTGGAATTAAGCACCCCGTATTACTTGCGGGTGAGTGTTTCGTAACCAGCTACGTTCTGTGCGATAGCTGGATCGACATCTTCAGGTATGAACGTTGCAGCGGGGCCTGAGTTGGCCGCGGCCGTTACAAATGCCGGTGGGTTGGGCGTCATCGGCGGCCATGGCTATACGCCGAAAGTGCTTAGACAACAGGTAAGAGCTTCACATGATGAGCGTGCAACATTCTAAATATTGGTTTGGTGCTGTCCTAGATACGAGCGGTTAAACAAGATTTGAAGGTCCCGAGCGCTCCATTCGGAGTCGATCTCCTTATACCTCAAGTGGGTGGTAACGCTCGAAAGACCAACGTACGTTGTCCTTACTTTGCGGGAACATGCAATTCTGTGTTGAAAGACCATCCTCCATCCTAGTACGACTACCAGAAGGGACAGCTCAACGAATTACTCGACGTAATCATCGAGGAGAAGACGTCGTTGTTTGTTTGCGCTGTCGGTGTACCCCCACAGCATGCGGTCGAGAGATTGCACAAGGCAGGGATCCCAGTCATGAATGTGGGTACATTCTCAGTTTTGTACAGTAAGTGTATGCAGCAAGTAACGCATGGCCTTATAGATGGTTGGACACCCAAAGCACGTCGCGAAGGCCCTTGCTGTAGGGGTAGATCTGATTTGCGCACAAGCTGGAGAAGGAGGTGGCCACACAGGTGACATCCCTGCGTCGATTCTCATACCCGCCTGCGTGGACGCTGTGAAGGGGCACACTTCGCCACTCACTGGCAAACCTGTCTACGTTATTGGAGCTGGTGCTGTGTATGATGGCCGAGGTCTTGCAGCGAATTTGGCATGGGGTGCACAGGCAGTGTGGGTAGGAACACGCTTCGTCGCTTCGAAGGAGGCAGGTGCACCGAAAGCCCACAAAGACGCATTGTTAAGCGCGGGCTACGAGGATGCCATCACCACCCTCATTTACACAGGACGTCCCCTACGTGTCCGCAGGACCCCGTATATCGAAGACTGGTGAGCGCTGCGCCGGAGTGGTGTGCCCAGGCTCATTACTTTTTCATGTCAGGAATAACAATAGACAGAAAGAGATCCAGGAGTTAACGTCGAGGGGGATTTTACCATGGGAACACGACGTTCAGCAGCATCCAGAGAAGTCGATGGAGACTCGGCCGTGGCTGATTGGGCGAGTTGCAGCACTGATCAATGATGTCCCTCCGGCTGAACAGATCGTGAACGATATGGTGTCCGATGCTGCCAAGATTCTATTGCATGGCGCATCTCTTGTAACTGTTAAAGCAAAGCTATAATTAAGGGCTTTCCGATACTGCAACTCGCCATGGAGGTATATTCCAAAGGCAGACTCTTTATCATAGGTATTCTATGTTCAACAAAGTTGTGTCTGGGACGTGCCCAAGTGTATTTATCACTGCAACGGCTCAGTAGACTCGACATTTTCTTTACCATTGCTTCCATCGTCAGAGACTGAATGTGTTCATGAATGGAATGGGCAGTTAGACAGTCACGCACCGCACAACCTATCCCCACCCTTCTTCAATGTGGTGGCCGTCAAAGTGGCAGTAGGATATATCATCGAACAGCATGTCATGAGGGAACTTCTGGCTGACATAGAGGCACTATGGATAACGGATGATGAAGAGCTTTCCGACTCGGACTCGGAGGGAGAAGAGGTCGTGACTGTGAATCCCGTCATTAGAATGGTCAATATATGGGCGAGACTTCTGACCGACGAGCAACGAGCTCGGGCTCCTCGAATCTTATGTTTGTTCGCCTTACAATCTCTAATAGCACTCATGCTAATATCAATATCTTTTAGACTATCTCCTCGATGTCAACGGCGGTTACGATCCTTACGACTTTTTTTTCCTCACGCGCTGGGCGTATGTTAAGACAGTTGAAGAAGTCAACCAGAAGTTGTCCGAATGCGAATCGGATTGGAACGCAAGACAGAGGTTCATGGAAGTATTTGGCAGAGGCATCCAAGAAAGTCACATGAAGTTTGCAACGCGGGTATATCGGACGTTGGATGACATTGGCGTTTGACCTTTACCAGGTTGGTCGCCGGCGGAATGGCACTACCAATATTAGTAGGTGTTACACTCCGAGCGCTGTCCTAGTTACTGGTCCTATTCTTTCTCCCCTCACATCAGTTCACTGTGAATAAGCTGGCGAATAAAATGTTGTATCTATGCTCGAGGAGGAGCGAGTCGCTGAGGTCCACCTAGCGAACTAACAAACGTTATTGAATGATAACACTCGCGCCTTAATCTGCATGTCCAGTCAACAACATCTGGAACCATAGGTATTCACCACATTGGAAATGATAATATGATTGGTATAGAAAATACAGACCTTTGAGTCATGCAATGCGATGTTCATGGACCTGCTTGGCAACGTAGCCTGTGTGGTTGTCACGTGGCCGCGCATCAAGTGTTGATGCGTTTCAGACGCGCAGGTTCTTCGCAGGGTTCTTCGGCCCTGAAGTGCTCGCGGATACCTGCACAAGATAACCGCACTTGAAAAGCGCCTCAACCATGGCACCTGCGGTTCCCAGTACTGCCGAACTGGAGGAGGCGACCGTGGCAATACTTCGCAAAGCTTGTAAAAATGGCGTCTTGAGGTACGTCCCCGACCCAAATACCCGGTGTAGAATAACTAAGCGAACTTGCACAACTAAAGCGACCTTACCGTGCGGATGGTCCGCCAACAGTTAGAGGAACAGTTCTCTCTAGATTTGGGCACTCTTGACTCCAATGAATACAAGTCCACCATCAAGGCAGCTGTCCTCACAAATCTTGTATGGTCGTTTCGTGCATCTAGCACTGCTCACTCATCTCCTATCTTTAGGATGAAATACGGGCGTCAATGCCCACCGACCAGTCGCCGGAGCCAGTTTCCAAAAGGAAGTCTAATCACGCCGTGTCGCCCAGCAAGAAGAGACGGTCAGATCGCAAGGAAGAGAAAGGGATCTCGAAACGAATGCACAAGCCTGTACGTGGGGATACGGATCTTATGATAGTCTTTTCTAATGCAGTCACAGAAGGTGGTTGAGTCGCCAACCGAGGAATCTGAAACAGATGCAAAGAACGAGCGGAAATCTCGCTCAGATCTCCCAAAGATAAACAAGTCAGAGAGAAAATTGAAGAATGTAGGTTCCTGTTTCGCATCACTGACTTATCTTTTGTCATGCGATATATCATGATTCAGCGGTCGAAGTCCGAAGTAGAAAATGAGAGTAAGCTCGAAAGCGGTAAATTCAAATCAAAGGTAAGCTTATATTCTGTATCTCTGCCGACTGCGTCAGGGGACACCGCGTTAAACATATGGTGGGTAGGCCGTAATCGACACATCCGAAGATGAAAAGACGGAGGAGAAATTCACATCTCCACGCACGGCAAAGGATAATAAATTGGCGCGGGCAACGCCGACTAAACCGAAGAACAAGCCACCCCCTGATGTTTGTACCAGTTCTGGTTCTTCTGCTAGGAGTTTCCTGAAAAATCTGATGAATGCTAAGGTAGTTTCTCGCGTGGAACTGGCGAGGAGTGAGCAGCCTGCTCCTTCCTCCTCTAGATTAGATGCCGTCAGTAGGCCACAGCCGTCGCCATCCAAGGCAAAGGACCGTGATGGACAATTGTGACGTGAGTGTCTTCACAATTCAAGGCAGGGCACACGATATATACAGAACAGGAGGGATCTGAACTATCTTCCGTCATCGATGAACCACCGAAGAAGCAGCGGAAGAAGCAAGGGGAGGTAGGTCCAACTATATTTACACTGTGGCCCCGTTTGAGCGAACAAGGATGCTGGGAAACAGTCAGACGTTCGAACGAGTAAACGCGGCAAGACATCGAAGGAGCCGCCGCCCAAAGACGAGGCAACGGTCAGTAAGTTAAAGGTACGCTCATCAACTTCGCAATCACGCAGCACAAACGTTGAGGGTAACCTGTATCAGGCCATTGTAGTTGCTTGCGGGATGAGAAAGGTATGGAAGAAGGAATTCCAAGGACTGGATCGACCAAAACAGCAAATAAAACGGCTACATGAAATATTGGCAGAACTTGGCATGACACCTCGCTACACTATGGAGAAGGCCAGGGATATCAAGAAGAAAAGAGAGTTTGAACAGGAGCTTCGTAGGTCCATTGCTATCGTATGTAGTACCGTGGGCTCAGACGTAGGTCCAGAGGATGTAAAGGAGTTTGAGGAAGCCCAACGCAAACGAGACCGTAAGAAACGGGCCAGCGCCTCTGAGACTGATTCAGACGAACCCAGTAATTCGGACAGCGCTCCCGTCAAGAGAAAGGCAAATATTTCATTCCTCGTGTACTACGGAGTTCGCTGATTATGTCTAAGAAGACTGCTAGGGCCAGCATAATGGCATTCCTTGAGGACCAAAGCGACGAAGAATGATATCCGATATACCACTTATGATAGGTTATGTGGGATCGGGCCACGACACTTTCCCTGCTGTTGGAATATTCTCATGGAATGTCCGTAGTTCCCGAAGTGTGCAATAGTTGGTAGCCCTAATACTATGTCAATCGACCATCCTTTCTCAAAGGCTTAAATAAGGTTAACTGAACAACACAGAAATTAATGTGTGCATGATGTCAGTAGTGTCCTGAATTCTGTTGCGTCGTCTTGGAGTCTAGCAATCGCCACCGATCCACCACATGGAGGGCGGGCGTGTCAGATGTCACGTGATGCATGCGACACCGCGTCTCAGCGACGCTGCAGCACCAATTGTTCGACCAAAGGTTGCAGGCCAGATAGAGACACCTTCAAATTGTACATGGGTGAATCTGAAGGCGACTTTCAGGTGGAATGTCCCATTCACTTGGATTTTGTACCTCTCAGGGACATTCTTGCGTTCAGTTGCGGTATATTCTCGTCTACGCATACCCTCTTTCATCCCTACACTGATCCACTGCTCCAGGGCACTGTTTCTGTGTGCCGTGCCTAGATGCGCACTTCGCCAGTCGCCCGACACGTGTCAGTGCGTGCCCAGCGTGTCGGAGTACCATTAGAAGGAAAGATGCGTTCCAGCTCTTCCTTACTATTCGATCCACGTCCCAAAAGCGTACATCCTGTCCACGTTCGACGCCTCACCCGACTCCCGTAATCGACTTGAACACCTCTGACGACGAAGCTCCCTTGGTTCTTATATCGCAACTCAAAGAGAAGAATCGTACACTCCTTTCGGAAATCAGCTCTCTCAGAGATGATCTTCGCCGTGCTCAATTAGCAGCAGATTCTTGGGCGACTTTGCAAACGAGTTTCAAGGATGAAAATTCTCGCCTGAAGCGCGAATGCGATTGGTTGCTGGAGGAGAACTTACGAATAGAGGGTCAACGCGAGTCGCTGGAGCTACGGTGTACCCAGGAAAAAGAGATTTCTACTCGCTTATCAATCGATAACGATAGGCTAAAAGAGGAGTTAGCAAAAGTGAAGGCAGAACTCCAGAAATCCTTAACATCAAAGCGTCAAGCAGCTGAGGAGACGCGAAATGAGCGGGATCGCGTCAAACTCTTCGAAGAGCGGTGTCAAAAGTTTAAGAGACAAGTATATCAGTCCTATGAATATGCTAAATTTTCCTACTGATCGTGCTTCCCATCACTTCATTCTAGTTGGACCTGGCAAAGAAGAAGCGGAAAGCACTTGAGAGCGAAAACAGGCAGTTGCGCTGTCCACCACCAGATATTGAAGACGAATCATTGGTCGTTATTGACCCCAACCAGCCAGACCGCCTTGGACCAGATAAACCGGATTTTGCCTGGTTGGAAGATGCATGTGCCGTGCAGGGTGAACGACTCGAGGATGACGATGGTTGCGCCAGCTCGGAAACGGAGGAAGGAAGCATTGGCGGTGATTTTCCTCCTTGTCCCCCCGATACGGGAGGCAAGTGGGACACCGAAGGGGGCGAAACGGAGATCGTAGATGATCGGGATCGACCACTACCTCTCGATCGAGAGTGCCCACCTAGGAAGCCAGTCTCTCGCTTCTCTTCAGATTGGAGCCTTGGACCAGAAGCAGAAATATCGTTAGGAGCACATAGAAAGCGGAAGCATGCCGATACTCGCCCAGTTGGAAGCAAGTTTTTCAAGGTTAAGCACAACACACGCTCGGAAAATGTTGGTGGGTCATCATCCCACGGGAAACCTCGCCGTACTCCAGGTGGCGTCCTGCCCAACGACTGGTTGGACCCGAAGCTTCCCTTCCTTGTGGATGGCCGTGGCCGCGTGCAGGGTACTGTTGCTCTTGGCTCGAGACAGCGGTTGAATTCCAAAAATTGATCATCTTGGGATTTACCGAACTACATGCATAACGAGGACTGCATGTTGCACTTCACAAGTACAAAAGTACAATGTATTTCTCTCACTGTATAAATATATGGATACGAATCGTGGCGCCTGAGCCGTGTACAATGATCTCGTTCTCTATGACAGCCTCTACTTTCCTCCAGCGAGCAATCGCACACCTTCCCCATCCGCAACTCCAATGAGCTGCGCGCGCCCAGAGCGAGTGAGAACAGTAATGGCACGCCGCAAAAGTGAAAGAGGTATCCCCGAAAGCGGTGAAGGTACGGGTGGGTCGGTGATTTCGTACAGAGTCAAAATAGTATTTATTTGACCAGTGGCGGTTCCCTTGCATAGAACATCAGCGGACTGGAAGATTTAAGAGACCGTATGATGTAAAAGCATACCCAAGAATGTAGAACGTCTGCCCACTCTTCCGGGAGACGCCACAGGAGAACGACTGAACGAGATTGCTTAGGTGGTTCGTAATATGCAAGATCACGAGACACCATAGCAGAAATTAGAGAGGTCAGATAACTAGGGATTACCCGTCCTGTCCCCATGTTCTTCAAGCACATTCACCCAAGTGATCAATGACCAAAACTCACGATTAATACGCTCGTTGCGCAGTATTTCGTCCCAATCTCCGCCAGCTACTTCTGCATCCTCCACACGAATGACGAACAAACGGCGGTGTCGTGCATAGGAAAGAATTAATTGTATCCAGTTATTTACGAAGGTATTCTGAGTTGTAGGGTTTGGCTGTTCACTAGGGGGAAGTTACCGTTTGTAAACTCTGATATGCAGCCATATCAGATGACATACGTGAAGAACGCATGCGCAGCATGAATGGAGGGCAAAAGAAAACCTGCGCAGCAATCAGTTGTTCCCATAGGCGGAAATACGACAGGATTACTTGCCTGATGGTGTGGTATGAGTGGTAAGTTGCATGTCTGGTGCACTGCGACTTGTTGCCGTGTCACAGCTTCAGAGGCTCACGTGATAGGAGAATAGGGGTGTTCCCTATTTGTGTAGTCGGCAATTGCCGCTAAACTGCCCAGCTGTCAAAATAAAGTTCCAAGCCACATTTCGCCCGTCACACAGGGTGGATCACAGGCTGACCGCGAAGACCCGCAGCAACAAAACCGACGACATGGTGAGTGTGTTCCGACAAATGTTATTATACACTGTCGAATTTTCGATATTCAATAGGCCGAACAAAAGACAGCGCTCACTAACCCCATGAAGGAGCTTAGAATCGACAAGCTCGTCATCAGTACGTGCAGTAACCTCAGTCAATAATAGTGTAGTCAACGTCAAATCTTGGTTAGATATCAGTGTCGGAGAATCAGGAGATCGTCTCACCCGTGCCTCGAAAGTCTTGGAACAGTTGACTGGTCAAACACCAGTTACCTCCAAGGCACGTTATACCGTTCGTCAATTCGGCATTCGACGAAACGAGAAAATCGCTGTACACGTTACCATTCGCGGACCGAAGGCAGAGGAGATTCTTGAACGCGGTCTCAAGGTAAAGGAGTACGAGTTGAGGCGAAAGAACTTTTCAGAAACGGGCAACTTTGGCTTCGGTATACAAGAGCACATTGATCTTGGTGCCAGATATGACCCTGGTATCGGTATCTTTGGTATGGACTTCTATGTGGTCATGGGGAGACCAGGGATCCGGGTTGCAAGGAGAAAGGAACGGCAGTCTCGGGTTGGTGCTCCGCACCGCGTCAACAAGGATGATACGATGGCGTGGTTCAAGCAGAGGTTCGATGGTATCATATTGGTGGGTTATCGTCTTTTATTGTAATGTGCTAGCATCGATGCTCATTTTCTTCTAGAAATAATGTTCCATATCTCCGTCGCGTCACTATGATAAGCCATTGCCTTTCCTGTATGCCTCGCACTATTATCATTACACCTATGTGCAACTGCATGCTTCCCCGTGTCAAAATGTTCAACTTTATTGCTGAAGACCTAATTTCTGGTGTCAGGGTGCAGTATCGGGCGTTCTGGTTATACAGAAGAAAAAAGGTAACTTCCCAACCTCCGTCGTCACGAATACCCCGGCAGCACGTGTACAAAGCGGTCGGGAATTCATGGGCGATGACTCAGCCAGTACGACGGTAAGGCGGTCATACTCGCATTCGCCATGCGGAAGGGCAAATAAGGTGTGTGATGACTACCGGTGCGTAGGTCATCTCAGAACAGGATAAACATCCGAGAAACTGTGCGGATGAACATTGGGATGCTTGTGGTTCCTCTGCAACTGATGACTACGAGTCTGCAAATTGTATATCTGACTGCAATGAAAGCTGGGCATTCCACATCCCTCTTGCGGCAGTTCTTGAAAACGCCAAACTGTTACCAGAAACCACCTTCCAATTGTCAACGTCCGTTCAACCACAAGTAAGACTAGCGATGTAATCGGTGTTGTGAAGGGCTGAGGAACAACCCCAGAGTTTAGAAGGTAAGGGGCTAACATAAACACCCCAACTCATTACACAGCGGAGTCCGCAGGTTTCTTTCCGCTGCCTGCGGTCTACTCCAGGCAAACCCCCGCGTCACTCACATCCTTTCACGCTGCCTAAGCTTGATCCCAATATAGTTCGTGAGCACCTTCTCTCAGTCTTTCGCGTCGCAGATCAACGATAACGCTCAGTAGTTTACCCGTGAAGGCATGTCTGTCTCTGCCTACGCTTCGTCACCCTTCGACCATGGTAGAGCGGATGTGGTCTTGCGCTCGTCGGACAATGTCGATTTTCGCGTATTCAGGCTCTTCCTGTCGTTGTCATCTCCGTTCTTCGAGACTCTCTTCGACCTTCCCCAACCATCCGAAGAGAAGCATGGGGACGCAGAGACAAAGGATGGATTGCCTGTCATTCCTGTCTCAGAGGACAGCAAGACTTTAGAAGCTGTCCTCCGCTTCTGTTACCCCCGCACACTGATAGAAAAGACAATTAGCATCAAACACTTCAAGGACGGTGTCAAAATGCTAGAGGCGGCGAAAAAGTATTCTCTTGACGGAGCCGAAAGCGCTATCCGAAAAACCCTGTTCAGCACCAATAATTTGGAGGCTGACCCCTTGCGTTGTTTCGTCGTAGCGCGCCAAGCTCGGATGCGGGATGAGACTATCCTGTCTGCCAAGTATTGCTTGCAAACAGGTCTCATTCCAGGTTGGTTTGAAGAGATCGAGATGATTACTGCCACCGATCTCCTCGACTTGTTGGCCTACCATGAGAAGTGTGGAAAGGCTGCGCAGCAACTGCAATCCAACTATTCATGGATCGAGCGACACTACAAGAACCGGTCTGCGATTCCATGGATTTTTGGCAAGGCTTCAGGTCGCCCCTGCCCTTGTCCCAGGTCGGACAAGATAAAGTTATTTGGTCGGAAGCATCTAGTGTGGTGGGAGGAGTTTATGGAAGCCACTTTCCAGACTCTGAAAGAGAAACCATGCACCCGCACAGTACGCGAGTCAGTCGAAAAGACCATCACCGACGTTAGAAGTCGTGATTGCCGCTCTTGTGCTCCCAACATAGCCACTGTCATGCATCAATTTGCTGACTTGTTCGCGAAGAAGGTGGAAGAAGTGGTTGCTGAGGTAAACTCGTTTGTATCCTCTGTCGAGAAGATGCGATAATGTCGGTTGGCAGGTCAAGTTTGTTAGCACTAGCTCCCCGACGTAAACTCCTGAAATATCGGCATTTGAGGCCCCATTGACTATTTCGATTCCCTGCTACCCAAGGACCTGCTTTTCTAGTACATTGTCTGTACCCCTCTTGCGAATTTACCCGGTACGAAGAACAGTATATAATTCACGTTATGTATGTATGGGCATCCCTTTGCATTGCGGGGATTCCAAGTTGACATGGACATTATAATATTCCCCACTTTCAATTTTCCACCCTGCCACCGTCAGTTTGTTGGTAGCATCCTTTTCATTGAAGAGAATCATCTCGACGAGTGTGATCGGTCGGGGAAACCGTTGGCTCGGTTTTTTGAGGCAGCGTGCTCGCGGCTGAGGTTCGTGGTCATGAAGCGTGAGACAGTAAAGAGTAGGTCTGCTGTTTCGTTGAAAACAGCACAACCACCTTCTACTGTCTCACTGATACGTGAAGCCGCGGGTTTCTTACTGGGGCCGAGATTTCCGAGCCGTTGATACCTGTTTTATCGTCAGTTGGCTTCGGAAGGTCTATCACGGTATTCCGCCTATTCCGACAATGACAATGGTGCCGGTGCTGCTGTGCGTCTCTTCTATTCCATTTCTGAAGAAAGTTCCTTCAACTGTGCACTCAAGTCCGACGGAAGTGCATGTCGACCATTGCCCGAGGCAGGTCCTGATCAGTCATTCTTCAAGGAGGACGTTCTATCGAAGTAAGAGGTTCAGGAAGATGGCGTGTTGCCGTATCACCCAATCGTTGAAGTTGACTTTATCTAATGAACCTTCATCTTTTGTGCGATATCGACTATCCGCGGCGTTTTCAGCAAACCACTGTGTTATGCTGCCTCTCCCGGTCTCAATCATTGGAGTTGCCCGTACAACATGGTTACACACTTAGCCGTCATTTATTACTCCGGCCCGGCTCTGACCGTGCACACTCGAGGTGACTTCATTGTCCGCACCATCGCAACTCATCCCGGCAGGACATTCAAAGTGAATTATTCAAGGATTCGCAGCCGAAAACACCACTACAACAAGTGCGACGGTCGTGTTTCGTTCATCTCTCAGCAACCCAAATGCTGCGCATCACGCTGCCGTAGGTTTGTAGACCACGGCCGATCAAGACGTAAAAAAATTGCTCCCTGAGATTCCCTCGGGCGGACGCACGCACTGCGTCCATTGAGCCCTGAGCATCGATTGGACCATTCGGCCTCGCCTCAAGGTATCGTGTCATTCAATACATACCACATGCAACGCTGCAGCCACTCTGGTGCCGCAGCTAATCTTATCTTGACGCTGACGGCGAAGCCTCCCAAGGGTTGTTATAAGTACTGAACTCACGATGTAATAGACCGCAAGAATTGTGGAAGAGAGCCAAAGGTTTAAAATCATACAAGATGAGCAGCCACTGCAACTCGCCCCAGTTCAGTACACAGAACGAAGACCGCTGGTTTGTCCCACCTCGTTTGCTACTCCAGGCACGTTTATCTTTGTCTTTGTGATATCCATATTTTTCACACTACTTTCTCGGCATGGATTGGCGATAGCGGTCAGCAGAAGGCATGCCTGCCCCAGTCTACGCCTCGTCACCCTTCAACCACAGCAAGGCGGACGTGATATTGCGCTCGTCGGACAACGTCGATTTTCGTGTATTCAAACTCTTCCTTTCATTGTCGTCTCCATTCTTCGAGACTCTGTTCGATCTCCCTCAGCCATCCGAAGCAGAGCATCCTGCGGACACTGAGACGAAAGATGGATTGCCTGTGCTTCCAGTCTCAGAGGACAGCAGGACTTTAGATGCACTCCTCCGCTTTTGTTACCCCTGCACGCTGTCCGAGAATCCTCCTCTCAACCACTTCAGAGACGTGATCAAAGTACTGGAGGCGGCACAAAAGTATGCTCTTGATGAAGTCGAGAACACCATCCGGAAGGCCCTTTTCAACCCTACTATTCTAGAGCTGAACTCCTTGCGTTGTTTTGCCATCGCACGCAAAGCTCGCCTGCGGGAAGAGACTACTCTGGCTGCCAGGTATTCTCTGAGGATATCCCTCGTTCCAAATTGGTTCGAAGAGATCGAGATGATTACTGCCACCGATCTCCTCGCCTTGTTGGCCTATCATCAGAAGTGTGGATGGGCTGTGCAGAAACTGCAACTGGGTTTCTCGTGGATTGAAGAGCATTACCAGAGCCGTGCAGCGGTTCCATGGATTTTTGGTGAAACTCCGGGTCGCTTGTGCGGTTGTCCGAGGGCAAACACGATAAAGTTGTTTGGCCAGAAGCATCTCGTATGGTGGGAAGAGTTTATGGAAGCTACCTTCCGAACTCTGAAGGAGAAACCATGCGCCCGCACCGTGCACAAGTCGGTCGAAAAGACAATCGGGGAAGTCAGGCGGCGTAACTGCCAATCTTGCACTCCCGATATAGCCACTGTGATGAATCAATTTGCCGACCTGTTTGCAAGGAAAGTGGAAGAGCTGGTTTCGGAGGTAAGTTCCCCATCCCCCCAAGAGACTACTGCCATATGTGAAAGTAATGTCGGTCTGCAGGTCGAGCTCAACTTGACCTACTAGTTCCTCCTCCCTTCGTATAAATTTCTGGATGACTCTTACAAATGACTGGGGCTTCAACCTTGTATCACCATATTACATACATAGCTGTATGTTGTACGTCCGCTTTTCAAACAGTTTGTGCCATTCTTGCGGGTTTATTCCGGAGGTACTATAAACGTACCACATACCGAGGTTCGGCAAGATGACCAACCATATCACCAAAGCCTTTGCACAATGATGATCTGGACTCCGCGCACCCTCTGCATACTCAGCGAACCATTCAAGTTGTGCCACGACACTTTGCTGAGTACTTACAAGCCCACGGCGTTGTGTCTCGCGATCTCAATCGTTAGAACTGCCGATACAACATGATTCACGGGGAACTGTTGACAGGTTTAATCTTATTCTTGAGGACCTAACTTCTCGAGACATGATGCGGTGACCGTGCAGAGCAAAGGTAACTTCATAAAAACTCTCCCGAGAAACACCGACTTAAGGCGAAATCAACAGTACTACGAGCTATTAGTAAGCGCTATCACTGCTTCGGTGGGTCTGCGCCGTCGCAAGTTGACTCACAAGTTACCCCGCCAGGACATTTACAGAGAAAGTGTTCCAGGATTCCTTGCAGCACGGCGGGAGTGGTTGTGTTTCCCTCATTTCGCGGCAACGCAAATACTACATATCACATGGCCGTGCGTGCGTGTGGACCACAGCAGACCAAGACGAGCATTCGTAGAGCAATGCATCGCACGATATCCCCGGATGGCTGCTTCTAGACCATTCAGCCATGTCTACCCCAGGAACCGGTGCCGCGGTACCCCCGAGGTCACGCTGATCTCACCTTGTCGCTGACGTCCAATTCTTTTTGGGGGTCGTTGTAGGTCCCTAATAGGGTTGACTCACGGCGTAATAGAACGCATGGACTCCAGGACTGAAAAACAGGGCCAAAGATTAGCCAAAGATTTAATTACATGGAGGGTGAGCGGCTACGCAGTTCGACTCACCCATTGTTCAGTACGCAGAGCGAAGACCACAAGTTTTTTCCACCTCGTCCACTACGCCAGGCAAGTTTACCCTCGTCATGGTAATTTCTATCGTTTTCACGATACCAAAACCTTATCTCCTAGGCTTCGAGACAAACAGTTTTGACTACCCCCCTCTAAGGCACACATTTCTCCAAACCGGTTCGTGAGTACCCTCTTTTAGCGTAATGTCGGATTTCGTGTCGTGGATTAACGATAACGGTCAGCAGCCTACCCGTGAAGGCATGCCTACCCCTGTCTACGCCTCGCCACCCTTCAACCATGGTAAAGCAGACGTGATCCTGCGCTCGTCGGACAACGTCGATTTCCGTGTATTCAGGCTTTTCCTTTCATTGTCTTCTTCGTTCTTCGAGACCCTCTTCGACCTTCCTCAGCCATCCGAAGAAGAGAAGTCTGCGGATACTGAGACGAAGGACGGATTGCCTGTGCTTCCCGTCTCAGAGGACAGCAGGACTTTAGATGCACTCCTCCGCTTCTGTTACCCCTGCACTCTGACCGAGAATCCTCCCCTTAACCACTTCAGGGACGTGATCAAAGTGCTGGAGGCGGCGCAAAAGTATTCTCTTGATGAAGTCGAAAACACTATCCGAAAGGCCCTCTTTAACCCCACTATTCTGGAGGCTAACCCACTGCGTTGTTTTGCCATGGCGCGCCAAGCTCGCATGCGGGAAGAGACTATCCTCTCTGCAAAGTATTCTCTGAGGACATCCCTCGTTCCAGATTGGTTTGAGGAGATCGAGATGATTAGTTCCACTGATCTTCTCGCCTTGTGGGCTTACCATCAAAAGTGCGGGAAGGCCGTGCAGAAATTGCAGCTCAGCTTTTCATGGATCGAAGGTCATTATCAGAGTCGCGTAGCAGCTCCGTGGATTTTTGGTGAAACCCCGGGTCGCACCTGTGGTTGCCCTAAGTCAAACACGATCAAGCTGTTTGGCCAGAAGCATCTCGTATGGTGGGAGGAGTTTATGGAAGCTACTTTCCAGACCCTAAAGGAGAAACCGTGTGCCCAGACCGTGTACCAGGCAGCCGAAAAGAATATCGAACAGGTCAGGCGACGTAATTGTCAATCTTGCTCTCCCGACATAGCTACTGTGATGAAGCAATTTGCCGACCTGTTTGCGAAGAAAGTGGAAGAGCTTGTTTCGGAAGTAAGTTCCTCACATATGCTGAGCCTGTGTTTTGGGGCAGATGCGATAACATTGGATTGCAGGTCGAACTTCACTTCACCTACTAGCCTATGTGCAAATGCTGAAGTGTCATGGTGAATGTCATCCTGACACTTTAGTATTTGGAAAAAGATCTTCGCTTGCCAGCACAATCACCGTTTGTCGTGTAAATGTGTATGTAATTTCCATGGTTGTTCAGATGTAGTTACTCCTCCGTACGTATGAATTTCATGTTGACTCCTACAAAACGCCGCCTTTTCGATCTTGTATCACCATATTACATGCACTGCATGTTGTATGTATGTCCGCTCTTTGAGCAACTTGTGCCGTTCCTGCGAGTTTATTCAGTACAAAAACAGATGACAGTATGCACACCACCCTGTGAGTATGTAGTCTACTGGACATCACCCATGGAAAATAGCATAAGGCAAAGCTAAGATAACACCAAAATATCAAAAGCAAACGGCGAAATCAATATGTATGATCATTAGTAATAGGCAGCAGTGGAATCATTCATGGAACCATCTCCATCTCAGTACCATAATTTTCAGTTCACCGTCGTCACCGCCATCATCATTATCATCCGCCGTTATTATCGTCTCGTCCCCGGTGGTATTATTTTTGTCCTTGTCCTTCGGTTTCGGAGGTAGCTTAACGATGACAGCGTCTTTTTCAAACAAAAAATTTGTCTCGACGAGGTTTGGGTGGAGAGCGTGAAGAGAAACTGTTGGTTTGGTTGCTTCATCCGAGGAAGAAGTAACTCCAGGCTTCCGCTTCGGTTGCTGTTGCGGTCGTGGCGTAGGAGATGAAACGGGGGGACAGCCCTCTGCCGTCTCACTACCCGAAGTAGGAGTAGAAGTGCTCGTGCCTGACGATGGGGGATTTTCAGGGGCGTCGGGAGTCGTTGATTTTTCTGTCAGGGATGTTGGGGATGTCGGTTTTACTGCTGCTGCAGAAGGTGGTGTGGCGGTGCGAGTTTCCGTTGTAAGGTCATCGCTGGCATCGGCAGTACTCTCACCCTGCTTCTTTTCTTTCTCATCGGCCGGTTCAAGCACTGATAAGGCGTATTTCCGTGAACCGTCTTCCTCGCCAACACAAGTAACGAGATAAGCCTGTTTTGTGCACTCAAGCACAACGGCAACGCCCGCAGACGTTTTATTCGTATCGCCATCGGTCTTGTCAGCTACCACCGACGGCTTCCATCGTTTCCGAGGGGGTCCAACGATTGACGTACTATGAAGGTGCGGGAAGAGGGCACATTGCAATACCAAAGGGTCATATTTATACCTGCGGAAAGGGAAAAAAAGGGGAAAAACAGCAATCAATCAGTCATTTACTGTGAAATCCCACGACGCCAATATGTTTCTTGGCTGCCGGGCCGCGACGTACCCAGACCCCATCTTTCCCGTCCGCGAATCAGCGATGCCGAACAAGACAGTCCTCACTTCCATCTTGCGCACCTCGTCTGCGAGTACAGCCGACTCCGCTGCTCCCCTCTCCTTCTTCATCTCGTCAAAGGCGTCGATATCGAGTCTCCGGCGCTTATTGCGTGTAGAATTCGTCATGTTCGTCGTGTCAGAGAAGGGAGGAGATACAGGGCGGACTGCTGCTGGTGGTAAACCGAGCACATCCGCGCGTCGTTGTGCGTACTCGGCGAGTCGTTGGTCCCTATTACGTCTCCCGAGTCCAGGGGCAACATGTGCTCCCTTCTGTATTTTTTAATTCGTCGTCAAGATCATCGTCAATATAATGTGACAAGGTGATAACAAGGGGGCGTGAGGAAACGAAACTACGCACCTCCACAACCTCGACACTAATCACCTCAAACGCACTTCCATCGTGTCCCCATCCCCATCCACAACTAACACACCCCCGTCCATCATCCTCAGCTTCCTCAAAACTCGACATTTGCGCGGCTTGGTCGCCCCGTCCAGCACTTGGATCGCCGTAGAACACTTCGCCCCACCCACCGATGAACCGGCTGGCCCATACTCCGCCTGCATACACGGGTTGCTGCGCAGGTTCGCTCGAGGTATCCGACGTGGATGGTACGGGTGGCATTGGGGTGGATGTACGCGTACGAGGTGCACTGGCTGTCCCATTGGCTTGTCCGTTGATACCGATACCAGCGCCGTTGACACCACCATTCCCATTGCCGTCATTCCCAGCAGGTCCACGTACTGCACCAGATGCAGACGAGAGCGTGGGTACGAGCGCAAGAACCACGCGGACGGCCCGCCCCTCCCGCTTGGCGCGTGCGACACCACTCCACGTAAGCAGTCCTGCATGTACGGCGCACTCGATCACGTTTGAGTCGTCCGTGTAGACACGCCGTCTTGATAAGGGTGATATCGCTGTCGAGGGTAGAAACGGGGGAGGGGGAGGTAAACCACCACCCCACAATCTGAACTTTGGTGGCCGGCACGCCGGGAGGAACACAGGCGGGATAATAACGGTCAGTCTCAGCTCGGTGGAGACGGAAGCTCGAACGGCCGCTGCTGAAGTTGAGGATTGATCCGGACTCCGCATCGACGACAGGCGAGGGGATGTGTTCGGGGAAATAATACGGGAAAGGTGTCCGCGGCCACACATACACGCCCAGGTTCACGAAAGGTCTCTTCTCTCTCTCCTTCCGTACCTTGGCCAGCTCGGCAGGCACTCGGCATACGCTCAAGCATCTCTAGACGTTCGCGCTCGATGATCTCGAACCGCTCTCGTTCAATCATCTCGAGTCCGCTCACGGTCGACTATGTCGAGTGTGCCTAAGGCGATCACGTTCGAGGAGCTCAATATGCTCGCGTTCAAGTAGTTCCAGGCGGTCGCGCAGCTCCAAGCGTTCACGTTCTCGGTCACGCTCGGACCACGTCGAGCCGGTCGCGGTCCGTAGGAACTTGGAGGACGGTCGACGTTCATCGCATCCGGCACAGGCTCAGGCTGTTTGTCTATTTTGTCGTTTCCCCCCGTAGTGGTCGTCATCCCCACGCCGGGGCCAGGGCCATCGCGATCGTGGTCTGCTGGAATGGCTCTGTCTTTCCCTCGTTCCCTTTGTTCTCTATCACGTTCGCGCTCGCGTTCCATCACCTCCACGTGTTCCCTCTCCTTGTCACGCTGTCGATCCATCATTTCGAGCCTGTTGTGGGGGTCCATGAAAAAATGCCGATCGTGTTCACGGTCCAGTGGCAACTTGTCCCGTTCGCGATCGTACGGTGACGGGTCCCCGATGCGTTCGCGTTCGCGTTCTCTTTCTCGTTCACCTTCCCTATCCAAAGCAGGCACGGGTACCACAATCATTCTGTTTCGCTCGCGCTCCAACGCGGCATGTTCCCTTTCTCTCTCCTGTTCGCGTTGCTGCATGTGCAGATCACGCTCGAACGCCATACGCTCGTGTTCTCGCTGTTCGTACAGTGCTCGATCACGTTCGCGTTCTCGGTGGACTGCCATTGTGCGCTGTTCCCGGTGTTGGTCTCGATCCACACGGTCGCGAGGGGGTTGTCTTTCAGGATGAGGGGGTACACCCATGGGCATACCTCCCATTCCGGTCCTCTCCCTATCGGCCCTCTCTCGCTCTCGCTCTCTGTCTCTCTCGACACGTTCGATTCTCTCCCTCTCCATTCGCTCAGCCCTTTCCCAGTCTGCACGATCTGCAAACGCAAGCCGGTCACGATACTCGCGTTCTCTCTCTCGTTCGCGTTCCCGGAGGAGCTGGTCGCGTTCAGCGAGGCCGCCGATCGGAGGAAAGTCTCTTTCTCGTTCTCTCTCACGTGCAAATTGGCTTTCGCGCTCGCGGGTAAGGTCGTGTGAATGGGACGACGCGTAGGGTGAAACGCCAGGACCTACTCCGATGCCCAAGGGCACGTCCCGAGGACCGGCACTAGGTCCCCCCGCCGGAGGGTTAGAGGGGGGCATTCCTGGACCACTGACGCCACCTGATCTGAGGGGTGCGCCAAGCGAATGTCCGTGTGGAGGGTAGCCGTGTGAATGAGGAGGCTGTGGGCCGGGTATGTGTGGGTTAACGTGCGGATGGGGGTGGGAGTGGGGAGAGGGCACGCGGGAATGAGTGCGTTGGTCACGATCGCGCTCTCGGGGAGCTCCCTCACGATCCCTGAAAGCCAATTCACGTTCCCGTTCGCGGCGAGCCATGTCCATCATCTCGCGTTCTCGCTGGCTTTGAGGCGGGGGAAGACAGGGACCTACGCCTGGGCCAGCCATCATATCTCTCTCTCGCTCCCTCTCCCACTCGCGTTGCCGCTGTCTGTCACGGATCATGTCGGGATGGAAGGCGTATTCTCTCTCGCGTTCTTCGCGGTCCTTCTCCCTGTCCCATTCCGGGGGTGGGTGAGCGAGGAATTGGCCTTGACCTGGTAAGATGCTTGGGCCAGTGACAGTTGGCCGATGTTGGCTGTGGGGACCGATTCCGTGTGAATGGGGATGGGGTGGTGGTGGATGGGAGTGTGTATTATGGTTGTGTGACAAGTGATGAGGACGTTCACGGTCGTGTGGTGGCGGTGGCGGTGCGCGGTCATGTGGGAGACGTTCTCGTTCGTGAGGTAGAGGCGGCATAGGCATTCTCTGGCCACCTGAACCGGGTGGGGAGTGTTGCATTCCCGTTCTCGTTGGCGCACCGCTGGGGCCCTGCATGGGCCGTGCGAGAGGCGACATCCTATGTACATGTTGGGCACGCTCTCTTTCAAGAGGAGATGGAATAGGACGGTCGTGAGGAGACGCTAAGGGGCGGTCATGGGGGGATGAGACAGGGCGATCGAGTCCTGGGGGTGCGACGCCTGGACCGACTGTGGGTGGAGGGGGAGGGTAGTGAGGCCTGTCTCGTTCGCGGTCGCGATCACGTGCGACTTGGCGGATGAGCTCCATGTCTTGCTGGTCTCGTTGCTTGTGGCCAGCTGGGCCATTTGGGTTCCCCTGTAGGCGGGCCTTTTCGTCAGCGATGCGCTTGTCAAGGATGAGGGTGCCTGAAGAGGAGATGAGAGTGCCTGGAGGGACAGGTCTCGTGGGGGGAGAGTGGGCGGCTGCACTGCGATTAGCGCTGTGCAAAGACGAGGAGATAAGATAATCGTACCAGAGTTGGCTGGGCTGGGACGGGTGCTGGGTGTCTGAGAGTCTTGGAGGGCCCTGCTGGCTGTCCCGGGCATAGCCGGTTTGACGTGCTGGGAGGGAGGTGGTTGGTGAGACGAACAAGGCCCCAGATTGGGTGTGGACCCCTGTTGACGCGGAACCAGAGGAGGAGGACCCCAGGGACCGGGGGAGTGCACGTGAGATGGGGACGGGTGCTGGAGACTGGCCATTGCAGGGCCAGACAGAGAGTCGATGGGCGATGCGATGGGGACCTGCTGCTGTTGCTGCTGCTGCTGCTGCTGCTGCTGGGGTGGATGAGGAGGACGTGGGTTGATGCGGTGTGGGGTGTTGTTGAATGGGAATGCATACGGCGACGACGATGGGGCTGGCTGGTGGGGAGTGTAGTGGGGCTGGGTCGAGTCGCTGGTGCTGCTTCCTTCGGTGGGTGGCTGGTTTGGTGGTCTCTTTCTGTGCTGCGAGGGCGAGTCCTGCAGCAGACGAGAGACTTCCATGCTGGCTGGCGGAGGAGAGAGAAAAGGCGGGCGAGTCCACTGGGCCATCGTGTAGATCGGAGATCCATATGTAATAATAGGGTCACCCACGTGGTCAGATCGAGATCCACCCCCCTGTCTTATCACCTCGCCTCGCTTGCTTATGTCATCTCCCCTGCCTTTTGCTTGTGATTATACCTCCATGAAACCTCTGCTCGCCTTGCATCGTCGCGCCATGTCGTCGTCGACGTCTGTGTTGCGTCCAAACAACTGGAAGTCGCTCGCACCACAGATTCCCAACTTTGCCGGCCAGCAGAACTCCCTCCCGCGTCTCCCCGTTCCACCCCTCGCAAGGACACTCGATCGTCTAAAGACATCCCTCAGACCACTCGCTCGCTCTGACGACGAGTACCGCACCGCTGTCAGGAAAATAGACGACTTCGGGAACGGACTAGCTCCGCTCTTGCAGAAAAAACTAGAGCAGAGACAGCAGGACTCCGTGCACTGGCTCGAGGAATGGTGGGACGACTATTCCTACCTCGCTTACCGCGACCCTGTACGTTTATTGCCCCTCTCGTCTTGCTTCTTATCTCATGACGACATAGGTCGTGGTATACGTCTCATACTACTGTAGGTTCACACACCCCGATACGTATCCCACACTCATCCTTGCTTCCTTAAGACGGTTTTGATCCACAACCCGTGCATCTTCCCCAAACACCCGCGGCACGCGCAGCGGCGATCACCCGTTTCGCTATGCTCTTCAGACAGAGGCTCCGCGCTGGACAAGTGTCCCCAGACGGTACTCGCGACAACCCCCTCTGTATGGACACATACAGGTACGTAACATCCATCCCGTCCACTGCCACACCGCTCATATCATACATTACAGATGGATGTTCGATTGCTGCCGCATCCCCGCCATCCCCGCGGACTACTCTGTATCCTATGCAGGTAGTCCAAACCCAGACACGGATCTTGGTCACGTCGTCGTCATCCGCAAAAATAGATTCTGGAAACTCAAGGCAGAGGTAGAGGGAAACGTGTTAGGCATGGCTGAACTCATAAAGTACGCGTTTTTCCCCGTCCTATCCTCGTCCACGCCATCAAACGACGATCCCGTGTGGCAGGCAGTTCCAGCACATCTACAATTACAGCACCACAGAATATCCTGCAGTAGGGGCTTTGACAGCCAGTGATAGAGACACATGGGCAAAGGTACTCTCCCCCTTCTGTTTACAGAAACCATACAAACTAACGTCGTCAGGACTTTTCCCTCCTTGCATCGGTTCCACTCAACGCCGAGCACCTCCGTACCATCCATTCGTCCGCATTCGTCGTCTCCCTAGACGACTCATACCCTCCCCCCAAGAACGAAGTGGACGTGTCGAGAGCACTCTGGCATGGCGTCATCGGAGTAAAGCATTCCTCTTTCCCCTTACACCGTGCCGCAACTCAGTTGTTCCTGTTCTAGCCCACCTCAAGTAAAACCCCACCGCACATTTCTCGCGCCCTCGAATCTCGCTACGTCGACAAACCAGTCCAATTCGTTATTTTTGACAACGGTGTGGCCGGACTTCTGGGCGAACACAGCGTCATGGATGGAACGCCTACCGCTCGGATGTGCACCGACATCCTGACATGGCTGGCGGACCCAAACTCGGACTTCGGACTCGTCCCCCCTACGTTCCGTGCACCCCAAGCGTTACCGGAACCTGTACCACTGGATTTCGACTTATCAAAGATCCCAACCATCCAGACGTCCATTTCCTCCGCCAAAGACCAGCTGCATGCCCTCGCATCGGCACAGGCCCTCTCATTCGTCCGCACGAAATACGGCAAGCGCGCGATCAAGGCATTCGGTGTCGGACCGGACGGATGGGCACAACTCGTGATCCAGCTGGCATATTCACGTCTGGCGGCTGCCCAAAAGGGTAGCAAGGTCACTCCGTGGCCCGTGGGCGCATACGAAGCTGCGTCTACGCGGCGATTTTTTAAGGGTAGGACGGAAACTATCCGTGTGGTGACGAACGAGGCCGTCGATTGGGTCCGCTCGATGGAAGACCCGACATTGGACAAACAACAGAGGTTGAACCTGTTCAAGAAGGCTGTAACAAGACACGGAGTGGTAGCTACGGAAGCGGGAATGGGAGAAGGTGTCGATCGGCACATGCTGGGTAGGTTTGCGTGCATGTTCGATTCGCCCACATCGTTTTCTCATCACCCCCAGGACTGAAACTTTCCCTCCCTCCCTCGACTCCCCTTCCAGAGCTCTACAGTGACCCTCTCTACGTTCGTGGCTCCCGGTGGACGTTAAGCACAAGCGCAATCTTCAGCGGCCGATTCAAGGAGTACGGTTGGGGCGCTGTCGTGCCCGAAGGCTTCGGTGTGGCCTACGTGACAGGGTTCGATGGTGCGTCTCCTCGTCTCATCGAATTCCTTTCCTCCTTCATACTCACTCACAACATGACAGATTTCCTCCAGTTTACCATCACCTCACGTGCGGAGATGCCCAATACCGAATTTGCAAATGAGATCGAACGGGCTGCGCAAGACGTATACCAGTTATTCGCGGAAGCAGATTTACCTGTGGGTAAAGCGATGCTCTGAGCGAGAGCTGCGGGTTGCTGCGGGCCACCATCACGGCCCATCAAATATCAATATTTGATAGCATACGAACGTTTACAACATCATTGGGGTATGTACATATTAATACTATTAAGGTACATACGTCTATCACCCCAGAGGAAATAAGTTATGAAACGGACTCCGTCAAACGAAGTATATAGCGCTGTTTCTCTCCTTTCGATGACATCTCCGCAACAATCCCGTCCGTCGTAGCTTATCCATTATATATTCTCACCAGGTTCGGCATGCTGAGTAACTGAATCTCGGGGATTCCCAGGAAACACGGGTACCAGTACAGACGCGATCATAAATCCGATTGCCGTCACGACGAATATGGCTTGTGGGAATCCCAGCGCAACGGTACGCGAAATACACGAAGCCGGATACGGCGGGGCCTATTATCTCCTGCCTAGTACTGAAACGTTTCACATAACATCTGATCGGCCATCTTTATCTCCCGGAAACGGATCGAACGGAAGAGAGCGAGAGAGGGAGACTCACCGCAAAGCTTGCAATACACTCAATACTCCAAACAATTTCCCCGTCTCACCTTGACACTCGTCCTCCTCTTGATTTGTATTATTGCTAACCGTTGAAGTGTAGGTCGGCGTGAACGCGACTGAGAACGACCCCATTATCGTGCCGATCACAAATGTGTAGCCCGACGCGGCGGTAGCCATGATACAGCACGCAAGAACCTCAGAGTCGAGTGCACAGCGTGCCAGAGTCAGTTCTACACTAGGCGAGTTGATGACGGTCACTTTCGAGGAAGGTTGACCCACGCCAACGGAGGTCTAGGTCGAGGTGAGACGCATGAACGGACACAGCTCCGTATGAATTATCCACGACGAAGTGATATGTCAATGGAGAGTTGTGTTGTCGACTTCAAAAAAAATTGAGAGCAACTGCAGAGCGAAACAGGATGAGACTGGAACGGGCGATAGTGTTATGCAACTTACTGGTCAAACGACGACTCTCGTGAGTCGACACAGCGCACGAGATAGTATACAGATGCCCATACGGTTTTCGAGGTCCAACCAAAGGTGGAGGTGACATACATACTAAAATACGAATGGCATCAAAGCCTGGAACGCATATAGCTCTCTCAGTTTCGGGGCAGAAAGGGATGGAATCGAGGATGACGGCACTCACGAGGAAATTGGCAGTTATCCCATAACGTATAGCCAAGAAAAGCAAGTTTCTCAAGAGGATTCTCGTTATCGACGGGATCTCGGGGTAGCAGAATGGCCAATACACAGAGAAACTTCGCTACGCTATTCGACACACTTGACCGTGCAGTGCGCGCACTCGCCACTGTGAGCGATTCCGGGACGACGAATATGATGAAAAACAGGTAGAACAAGTGTCGGTGGCCAAGGCGAACACGGATAGGGTCGTCCCCATCAGGTAGATAACAAACCCTCCCACAAGCGGTCCAACTGCAAAACCAAAAGATAGAAGAGCCATCTCAAACGCATACAGAATTGATCTGTCAGACAGCCTAAGGGTTGTAAGAAAAAGCACCTTAGCAAACCGTTAAATGCACCAACCGTGAGAATGAATCACTGGTATCTGCGATATACGCCTAATAATATGCAGCCATGCCCGTCGGGCTCATAAACAAGACAGGCAGACGAAAAAAATGGGGCCGATATATTATAAATGGCAATCCCAGCGTGCAACAGTACAGATTACATAACATATCCCCATTAATGTCATGCCGTCACAACCATCCCGCGTCATGTCGCCGCCGGAATCACTCGATGGATTCAAACAGGCATGGAAAGAGCTTCCTCGACCGTTCAGGCGAAAGGAGTTTTCTGTACGTCTCCATGCCTTGTCTGTGCACTCTTCTAAATATGCTGTCCAGCATCCCGACATTGCAATGGACGCTCCACTCCTCAAAGAGCTTCCTAGCGCCCTAGTCCCAAGCAACGATCGAAGAATCCCATTCATGCAGTACGGTTACATCGTGGACAGTGAACGATTGGATGAGCTCGTCCAACAAAAGATGGGTCATTCCCGTGGCGCAATTTATCGCAATACTTGGTGTCATGATTCAGCTCCGTGACGTGGTCCATTATAATGTGAAATTCACAATGGTTTTCTGCAATGGGGACGGGATATTCTTCATCGCTATCAGTAGTAACTGGGACCCAGCGCCCTCCCACCGGTTAGAAGAGGTTGTGAAGGAATTGAAGGCCTTCTTAGAAGTGGATGAAGAACCTGTCTGGTGCCTGGATTCAGAAAAGTGGTACTGGACCCGCTGAGAAGTATTATGAATGATATGTACCTGTATCACTGTATTAATGCTATTAGGTTACACACATTTATGGGTCCAGGAGGAATATATGTATGTATACAGAAGAGTTCATGAAATGGACTCGCTTCAATCGGCCAGAATGAATTATTTACCCCTGTTCCCTCCTTTCGATGGCATCTCCACATAGCTTGTCCATTATATATATTCTAGACACCAGGTTCGGCATGCTGAGTAACTGAATCTCGCGGATTCCTAGATAATACAGGTACCGGTATCTTCACAAACGCCAACAGTACAAACGCAATCATAAAACAGATTGCAGTCACGACAAATATGGCTTGCGGGAATGCCAGTGCGACGGTACGTGAGTACACGAATCCGAACATAGCGGGACTTATTATCTGCTGTCTAATGACGAAATGTTTCACATGTCACTGCATCAGTCATCCTTGTCTTTCCCGGAACGGAAGAGGGAACTCACCCCAAAGCTTGTAATACACTCAATACTCCAAACAATCTCCCCATCTCGCCTTGACCCTCCTCGCTTGCACCCTCCCCCTCCTCCTCTTGATTTTTATTGTCACTAACTGCTGAAGTGTAAATTTCCAGCGCAAGTGCCTGCGAGATCGGCGTGAACGCGGCTGAGAACGACCCGATTATCGTGCCGATCACAAAGGTGTAGCTGGACGTGGCGGTGGCCATGATACAGCATGCAAGAACCTCGGAAGCAAGTGCACAGCGCGCCAGAGTCAGTTCTACGCTAGGCGAATTGATGATGGTCACGTTCGAGGATGGTTGACCCACGGAGGACTGGTCGGGGTGAGACATGCGAACGGACACAGCTCCGTATGAATCATCTGCGACGGGTGGTGTGTAAGTGGAAGTTGATATTCTCGACTTAAAATTTTGATAACAACTGCAGAACGAGACTGAATGAGATTGGAACGCGCGATAGTATTGTGCAACTTACTGGGTAGTAGGACCGTCAGGACGAGCGCGCGCGTTACTTCAGTAGATGCAAAATAATAATTCGTCTATGTAAAACGACGGCTCTCGTGAGTTTGACACAGTGCCGCCCAAGGTAGCATACCGGTATCCTTACAGTTTCTGACGTCCAACCAAAGGTGGAAGTAACATACTGGAATACGAATGGCATCAGAGCCTGGAATGCACATGTATAGCTCTCTCAGAAAGGAAAGAAAAAGTAATCAGGGATGACGGCACTCACGAGGAAATTGGCAGTCATCCCATAACATATAGCCAAGAAAAGCAAGCTCCTGTCTTTCCTGGGTTTTTCAAGAGGATTCTCATCATTAACGGGATCTCGGGGTAGCAGAATGGCCAACACGCCGAGAAACCTCGCAACGCTATTGGACACACGCGACAGAACAGGGAACACTCGCATTCCTTTGCTTCTCCCACTTTATATCTTGACCGTGCTGTGCGCTGCACTCGCGACTGTGAGCGATTCCGGGAGGATAGATATGATAAAGAACAGGTAGAACAAGTGTAAAGCGGTAGGCCAAGATGAACACGGATAGGGTCGTCCCCGTCAGGTGGATAACAAACCCTCCCACAAGCGGTCCAACCGCGAAACCGAAGGATAGAAGGCCCATCCCAAACGCATACAGAGCCGATCTGTCAAACAAGGGTTGTGAGACAAATGCCATAGCAAACTATCAGACGCACCAACCGTGAGGATGAATCACTGGTATCTGCAATATACGCCTGGTATGCAGCCATGCCCGTCGGCATACCTATCAGCTCATAAATAAGACAAGCGGACGGAAGAAAGGGGCTGAGATTATAGATGATGCTCACTCCCGAGAAGACCTTCAGCGATAAATGCAATCAGCAGAAACCAGTACCCGCCCGGAAGATGGTCGACGAAGTTGGCCGTGAGGATGAACGTCAGATCAGTGAGGATCAAGCCCGCCATGGATGCAGCCAACCCTGAGCGTCTACCGTGACGATCGGAGAACTATGTGTCTTTTTGGTTAATACTAACCAACCATGCCATCCATCGGAGACAGAACCCACTGGGGAACATACATACCGATCCCCACCACCCGGTTGTCAGGCAGCTGAGCATGCCCATAGTAGTAACCAGTGCTATTATACAGGTTAAAAAGAACGAAGAAAAGGTATGAGAAAGATGTAATATGGACGTACTCGCTGATAACTTCGCAACGATTGCTTGGATTTCTGGGTCCGTAGTACACCGTTCACGCGTCTTTTCGCTCCATTCATAATCCCGGACCGATGGAGAGTGATCATAGGTAGCGTCAGGTATAGACAAGTTCGAGGGAACATCCACATTAGCATTAGGGATGTCGTGGATACGCGCCACATCTGCCATGTACGTCGTCACGTCCAAGCTAGGATCATTAGGGAAGTATCCGGGTTTGTGGATGCGACAGGCTAGAAGAGTGTACACCTCAACTCTTGGCGCAAACGCAGCCGAGTAACCGATTGAACTGATAGGTGCGACGAATATGATCCTGGGCGGGTCGATCAGAAGAGAAGAACATAAGGATTAGTTGGCAAATGGGGCATTTTCTGCCTCGGTACTATGTACCGTACATGAAAGGTACCTCACCAGTAAGGCGATGGCCTCTTCCACCACGGACGCCTTCTCCATGATGCCATTTCTTGGGTGTGACTGTCGACCCCGTCATCTTGTGGTTCGCTTCCCATTAATGGGGCATTTTCTATCCCATGGGTACAGTCGTGCATGTCTTCAATAATGGTACGCTCACCCGTCGCCGCCATCATGGAGGTTTCTGTCCGGGAACAGGACGTCTGTGGCCAGGTACAATGGGGACGATGATGACCAAGAGCGTGGCAGTTGCGGTTCGGTATCAATGGATGGCATAATGTATTCCTCCCAGGGACAGAAGAGCTTCCCGGTGCGCACTCCGGGCCAAAGCCCTCCGCCAAAACCAGGATTAATCAACAGTTTTGTAGGTTTTATATATAGCAAAGGCTGAAAAACCCAAGTTGCTAGACCACTCCAGGATGTATGCACTGTATGGAAAATGGAAGGATACGAACACAAAAAAGTGACCAGTAAAGGAAGAAAGACAGTCCAACTTGAACAACCAGTAGCTGAGCCCTAACTCCCGCACACACATATACACGTCAAAGGATTTCCAACACTTTTGCTCGGATGTTCCTGGAAGTGATGTTGGTTCCGAGTCCCGAGACGACAATCTCGTTCTCCGCAGCGACCCTCTTGTACTCTCCGTTAGGCAGCTGTACGAGAAGCAACGCGGTGAACGGCTGTCCGAGGCGGGCGATCATCTCTAGTGCTCGGGTATAGCTGTCAATCCGGGACGCGGGGACAACGGGTAATGGCGCAACTTCATCAGAGTCAGACTCGGTATCAGACTCCGAGTCATCTCCCCAGTTGATCCCACTACTCGGACCTCGGATATGATGGATCCATGGATGCGTGAAGACGAATTTTTGTAGCCCATCCAGTGAAAGATCATCTGCAGTCGTGAACTTCACTTGGCCAAGCCCCGATACCCTAGCACGATACAACTTCTCATTGCTTTTGCATGGCTTCTCAATACTTCTCACAGAAAAGACGATGCATGGAAGGTGTAGACGTCGGGTTGCGAAACGGGCAGGGGAAAGACGGTTGATCTTATTATATATACTCCGTGCTTCTTGCCGGGGCAACTTGTCTCGTAATTTCTCGATGCATCTTTTCATTTCTTCTCCTTCGAGCGGTAGAGGGTTGTAAGGATTTTGGCTGTAAACAGAAACGGAAGCTGGGAGACAACTGTTGTATGACGACGACTTCCCTGACCACGCAAGCACAGTGACCTCGCCGGAGCGAGCCACGATCTCCTCCAGGAGATGTCCGAGAGCGTCGGTTCCTTCACCGTATTGAGGCCTGATATCGGACTTGAATATGCCGATGAGAGAGTACGCGACATCTTCCTCGACCGTCGCACTGCGCATCGAAGCGAGACGGAGTTTCTCGTGCACCCCGAGATCGGCTGGAGAGAATGTGACGATGGTTCCACGGGGGATCTCGGTGGCATCTGCCAGCTCTTGCATGATCTCTGGAGATTCCTTATGGTTGGAGCCAGTATCGCCGAGGTACGGTTTCCATTCGGAGTCGTAGAAAAAGATGACATTCGGTGACAGAAGCTCTTGCAAAGTCCACGCTCGTGTCATCCATATACTGCGTGCAAGGTCCCCAGACTTGGACGGATGTGCTACGCCAGCAAGGAATACGAGCGTAGCGACTGAATTTGCATACCATTTGTACATAGATGTAAGAGATTGGTTAAGGGTGGAGCTCGTGGACTTGTCGATACAACAGGTATCCGACCACGCCCAATTGTGGCCAAGTCTGCGCACCTCCTTGCAGAAATTGCGTAATTTCTCATTCAGGGGCGTATCGGGAAGGTTCCACACTGACTTAGATTCGACTTCATTGATGTCTTGAAATAACGGCTCGTTCCCCTGCCATACGTGCGAGAATATCACGTATCCGAAGAAAAATGCAACCACTCGTAGGATCCGCTCATTGTCCACCCCTGTCGTCATAGATGAAACAAGCTCCTTGAATGATGGATCAGCCTTGAAGATACGGATCCGCTCAGGGCCGTCGCAAAGGCGACCAGTAGTGACGTTGATGATGACGAGGGGACAATCTTTAAGGATCCTACGGATGACAGGATCAATAGCTGCAACCGTGTCGGACGGAGAAACGTAGTTTTTGCGCAGTTCTGTGAAACCGTCATTTGCGGGTATTATATCTACATAAAAGATACGTACGCCTGATTGCAGGGTCATGCGATTGTTCGATTATGTGCAACATAGACTTGAAAGCTTCGACCGCTTCGTCATACCGTTTTGCTCCATGAAGTGCCATATGCTTGGCCTCGTAGCCCCAAGGGCTGGAGGGGTCCGCCTTCACCGCCTATACAACTATTGTAGGGAACGAACTCGTACCGGAATGATAATATGCATACCTCGTTCGCATCCTGCAGTGCGTCCTCCCACAACCCCCCTGCTGCTCGAGCTCTGCTCCGCTTGATGAGCAGGCCTGCAGGATCCAAAGGGCTAAGGAGCAATGCAGCAGAGCCATGTTTTGCAGACCCGATGGCTTCATCACCAACATGGTCAAGTGCAGTGGAACATTTCTTGGTGAAATCTGATGATGGATATGAATGCGCACGTCAACCAGACTAGCGACTACGAGACATACCTGCGACCCAATCTGCAGTTGCCTTGCTCGCCTGGACGTCTGATGTCCTGATGATGTTGAGGAGGATCTCGACGGCTTCGGCTGTACGTCCTTCAGCATACAGTGTTTCACATAGACGCTGCTGGGCAACGGTATCCAGTCCATCGAAACACCACCCAAATATCTTCATGGAGGGTTAGATTGATAGGTAGTAACAGCAGAAGACCTACGAGCGAGACCGTTACTAGCGGAAGACATTGTCTATCCTTTGGGGCTAGGTGCTTCGCACGCACAATCAATGGTATCGCACGTCCGTAATCTCCCCTCTTCATGAACATAACTCCAAGGACCTGCGAAACGTGTCGGTGGTGATACGTCTGCATCACGCGAAGTACATGCCTGGGTGTAAAGGTAGAGGCTGTCGTCATCGTTGTCCTTGTTCGCTCTCGTAGCAAGGTACTCTACACGCACCACCGCCTCTTCTTGGTTCCCAGATTCAAACACAAGAATAAGCTGATTGGAACGCAGATGAATTATGAGAACGATCTAGATCAACTCATGCACCTTCAGTAGTAAGAGAAATCTAATGTCGCGAGGCTCGCAATCATGAAAGGCAATGTCGAACACACATAGCGCACCCTTTCGATCACCCTGGCAAAGCAGAGTAACCGCCATCGCGATATGGCCAATAGGGGATGGTTGAACCTGAAGGGACTTGAAGTGCATGTGAGAGAACTTGCACATAGAGAAGTGAGGAAGCAGACTCGCCTGCTTGACGTCCTCCATGGCCAGCGCCAAATGTTTCAGACGCACTCGTACAAGAGCGCGACTTGCTAGCACGCAGTGGCCAGGACTTGGAGCACTCCTAAGCTCTTCTGACAGCAGCATTTCGGTGTTCGTCAGGTCTTCCCGTGTCCATGATTTGAGGGTCTCGTGGTTCACTTGTACGAGCGGAAGCTGAGAAACACGAAGTGGCTGATGGATTAAAGCGTTACGCGATGTAATGATTATTAGCGATGCGAAGCTTCATGAGTGGACGTACACTTACACCACAGTCAAAATACTCAGAAGAAAGGACATGTCTGAGATTGTGAACCGTGATATTCCTGTCGCTCCCACATGCGAGATACCCCCCGCTTGGTGAGAGAGCGACACAGCTGATCTGTGAGGTGTGTGTGATAATGCTATTGATCTGCTTGTGGGATACGCAATCCCATAGTGAAACCGATGAGCCTGCGGCACATGCAATGAATCTACTGTTGGATGCTATATATACCAGAGACTGGCTCCCATGGATCGACCATTCCGAAGACACGGAGTTGGAAAGGTCGAAACAGGTGATTTTGCCTTTTTTCGCGATGAACAGTTGCTGGCCATCAGACGACCAGGCCAGCTGAGTGCCCAACGTTGAACCGGTTGAACCCTTTTCACCTGAATCGAACAAGATATTGCCATTGCGAGTGTTGCAGATGCGGAAACCATGAGTCTCCGAAGCAGTAGCAATGTGATTGCCGTCTGGGGAGAACTTGACGCCAATAACGAAGGGGTGTCGGAGGGGAGGAAGGAGTCGGACACCAGAAGTAATGCTGAATATCCAGACCTTGCTGTAGTCCACTGAGGCAACCTTAGTACAGTCGCTCGAGATATCGATCCCCAATACAGAGTTAGTGTTTTCTGTGAACTCAAGAACTTTTTCATGAGTGGCCGCATTCCAGACGATCGCCTTCGTTCCCTTGTCTCCGGATACCATCCACCGGCCATCCTGGGAAACGACAATAGAACGGACAGTGTCACTCGCCTGCACGGTTGGACCCTGTTGCTGCCCGTCTTCAATCTTCCATCGACGGATATCACCGTTCCTATGTCCTCCTACAACCTGACTTTCGCCGGCAAAGGTGACTGCCCATGTATCTCTCTGAGAGACAATTTGGATCCGTTTCGTATCTTAACCACCGCAGCCAACTGTCAGTACGGCCGCCTCAGCCTCTCTGTCTTCTGGTACGCACCCATCACCATCGCTGGCATGCCCGCCAACACAGCTCGTCCCAGAGTTTAGAGGGGGAAAAAATGATGCATCGAAAAGTTACTACTCGCGGCACCGATATATGATCACGACCAAAGGCACATCGTGTTCTTCAAGATCAGGATATCGATGAAGATTTGGCAGTGCAGGTCTTGGCAACCATCACTGAGTCCCACAAGACCCGCTTTCGTTCACACGACGCCACGCGTAGGGCAAGGGTTGGCAGAAACGTAGTAGAAGGAAGACGTGGTCACGTAGAGGTACATCTACAATCATCCAATCTCAGAAAAATATCCGACGCGTGCACCAATGCCCTCTGCTCCACACTCGGTCTCGACGCATCTTTGGGGTCCACCACGTTCTCACACTCGCCGATACCCTCAACCCTTCACTTCCTCTCGCCGGCGTCCGAAGTCCCGCCCACACAACCAAGGCCTCATGTGATGATAACACACATCCGGGTCGCACCCCTTCAGCGACGACCATCAGCAGGCTCACCAACGCATACACCATCCCAGCGAGATGGAGGAGGTAAGATGTATTACGATAGTGATATCGTTACCGGACGGACATCTCACCCATCGAAGCGTGGCATCAGTGCGAGTGCTTCGACGCCTCGTGATTCGATTCGGGCCGATCATAGTGAGGCAGGACTCGAGTTCCTCTTCGTCGCGTGTAAGTCTTGATCCTTTTCAGGTTATCTAGGTTCAAGGTGTAAATATACCCGTTCCAACCTGGTTTCTGTTGTCGAGGGCACGTTCTTCCATTCCTAATTATACAGCACCCTATCCGAATATGTCGATACGCTCAACAACGGGATCCCCGATCGACACCGGGATCGTGATGTACAGTTGAAGGGAAGCTGAGGATATAAAAATGCATAATGTAAGTGAGAATGTGATGGGCTCTGTAGGGAGGCCGGAGGTCGTGAGGTTGGAAAGGTAACGTCATTAGCGTTATTATTTTACAGGATCATCGCGGCACGATGCATAACTTACTTCCTTCACTTCCTACTACCAAATGTCCAACATCTTCCCCGGACCATCCCCCTCTCATCTGTGACATCCTGCCTGATGCTCTCGCGCATCATTTTTGGCCATTACAGCTTGCCACTGGTATGTAGATGAGTCAAGGGGCATCAAGCCTGTTTAGTATGTCGAAATCTACTTCGCGATTGGTGTCTGGGCACTGCTTGGTAAATCAGTGCCGACAGACATTTGACTATTGGTTGCGTCTAACTCGATTCAGCGGGGTGAGTCGGGCATCCATGAATATAAATATACACAATCAAAAGCTGGAATAACTACACTTCCATCATACAGAACATATGAAGCACTTACAACCCAATACACCTTCGATGTTACGTATCCGACACGTTCATTCTCGCGTCTCCACCTCAACGTCTACAAGTACTCCCTCCACGCTATTTTCATTCCGTCCCTCTTCACCTCCATCAAGTTCTTCGGCATCGAGAGGTCCCTGAGCAGATGCGGGAACCCTCACAAATGCCAGCAACACCAACGCTACCGCGAAACAGGACGCGGTCACCAGCATGATCGCCTGTGGGAACGTTGCGACGGTGCGAGAGTAAATGAATCCGTACACCGCAGGCGCAATGATCTGCGATCTGTATATACACATCACACGTCAGCGGTCCATCATCCAGTTACATTAATAGCAAGAGGGAAAGCTTACCCTAGTGCCTGCAATACACTCAGAGCCCCGAACAACTTGCCCGTCCCACCTTGGCCACCTCGTGCAGCCGTCCCGTTGTTTCTCTCAGAATGGTAAACCTCCAACGCCAGCGCTTGTATGGTCGGCGAAAATGCAACAGACATTGCTCCCACCACCGTACCAGCCGCAAATACGGTGCCAGATGTGGCAGCTGCCATGACCCAACACGCCACTATCTCGAGACCGACAGCGCAGCGTGCAAGGAAGATGTCTACGTTGACGGAATGATTTGGTCTTTGGTCTGCCAAACTACGCGAAGGTGGCCGGTGCGTCGAACGTTGATGGGAGCGAGAGCGCGAACGGAGGGGGGATGGGGATTGATGAAGAAGTGTGGCTTCAGGCGTCACGTCTCCGGAAAATGGAGTGTGAGAGGTGGGTGCTGCCCTGGACTTGAGGAATTTGATCATCACTGAAAAGAGGGGTAAAATGGGGACGTGCTCGAAGGACATAAGTGACGTGGTTCATACGCGGCAATAAGACTGTCAATACAAAAGCGCGGGTAATGCCGATCGACGAGAAATAGTAATTCGCCTAGAAAAAAACAGATGGGTTACCGATCACGGAACTCTAGCATTATCATCCTTACGGTCTCTGAAGACCAACGAAACGCCGCAATAGCGTATTGGATGAGAAACGGCATTGAACCCTAAGACATAAAGCCCTTAGAAAAAGTGAGAGGAATACAAGGTGAGATTCTTACTATAAGGCTAGTGGCTAACCCATAGGACATGGCCAGAAGGAACAAATTCCAGTCCTTCTTCGACCGTCTTGAGGGGGTTCGCATCTACAACGTCGCGAGGTAGCACCACAGCAAGCGCACTCAAAAATCTCGTCGCCTCTTTGAAAATACGTCTCAGGGTGGAAACGTTCATATTCTGCTCCTTCTCTTGCTTGTACCGAAGACGCGCCGCGCGCGCCTTGGCTTCGGTTAACGACTCCGGCAGAACGAATATGAGAAGAAGAGTATAGAAGAAATGACATGAAGCGGCCATGAAAAAAGCGGACAGGGTAGATCCCGTGAAATGGATAAGGAAACCTCCTAAGAGGGGACCAGCGGCAAATCCAATAAACATAAGACCTAGCGTGACGGCAAATATTTGTGATCTGCATGAATGCGTCATCAGAAGAAGAATTATGAGCAATAAGAGGGAGACCGAACCGCGCAGATGGTTCACACGTATCAGCTATATATGCGTGGTTGGCAGCCACACCCGTTGGCATGCCTAGATCGCCGATAAGACGAGTGACGATGAGGTGAATGACATGCGCTCACTCCCGAGCAGTCCCTCTATAATGAATCCAGTGAGGAGAAACCAATAACCACCCGGGAGGTAGTCCACAAAGTTCGCCGTGACGAGAAATGTTAGATCCACCACGAGTAAGCCAATTATAGACGCCGCCAAGACAGGACGTCTGCCATGACGGTCGCAAAACTACCCCCAAATCACTGAGCTGATTCAATTTTCAGTCAAAAGGGACATACATTTGCCCACCAGCCAGTGGCCAAACAGCTCAAGATACCCATAGTAGTGGTCAGTGCTATAGCGAGGTTAGATTCAGAGCAGCATAGCGCATCGAACAGAATTTGGTGTCACATACTCGCTGAAAGTTTTGCGACAGTTGCCTGCACCTCTGGATCGGAGATGCACCTCTGCCTGGTCTGCTTGTCTTCTTCATAGCCCGGGATCGTTGAAGGGTAGGTGATGTTTAGGGCAGACAAGTACGACGGGACATTGGCGTCAGTGTCTGAGGTGGGTGCTGCACCAACTATACGGGGGGCAATTGTGTAGATTGGGCTGTCAGGAAAATACTCGGCCTTGAGCGTGCGGCACACCAGGAGGGTGTAGACTTCAACTCTTGGGGCAAACGTAGCAGAATAACCCATCGCGCTAATTAGCATACCAAACGCAATCCTTGAGGAAGGAAAAAAGTCAAGTGTCGTTGTCATCTTTACCCAGGTGAACGACTGACCAGTACGGGGAGGGTCTCTTCCACCATGGACGTTTCTTCCACGAGGCAACCTCCTCTGCGTGGATTTCGTCCTCATCCGCGTCGGTATTGAGAGAGCTGCCTTCAAGCTCGTCGAGCTCGTGCGACGGTGTGTCTGGAACGATGCCATCGTCTCTGGAGAGCGACATGGTTGCGCAAAGTTGGGGCTGCAACGGTCCTCCTTAACTGCGGGAATGCCACCAGACATTGCCTCCTATCCGACGGGTGCTTACTGTATCGTGGACAGACTATGATGTAATTCGGGCAACGTAAATACTAGCGTGGAACGACACAAACAAAGTTACAAAAGTAGCGACGTAGTGGCCAAGCCGAAAGGAAGAAAAAACGTGTTCATAGACATACACGGATATCATATGTACTCAATCCTCATCATCAGATTCAACGGCCTTCGACTTTCTTCGCTCGTGATGACGTAGTCTTTTGCTTCTTCGAGGACGAAGCAGGCTTTGACGTTGTTGGGCGCTTCCAGGGAAGTGATTCGTACAATCGTAGGACCAGAAACGTGAAATACGCTAACCTTTCGCTTGCTCTTTGATGCCTGTTCAGGGCTCGTCTTCTTCATCTTCCCCAACCTCCGCAATCTCTTCTGCAAAGTCCTCCCCCGATTCTTCAGACTCATCCTGGAAAAACCGATCTAGTCCTTATTCATCACTTGACATGTAGTCAAACCTACCTTCTTCTTCGTTACCCTCTTCTTTGTGGCAGCCTTCTTTTCCGCAGGGGCCTTTCTTGGTTGCAGCCTTCTTCGGTTTCTCTTCCGAATCAACACCATTTACTGCCTCGGGAAACTTTCTGTAGTGCGGACGATGTCATTACGAGCATGGGCGGATGACAACCAACTTACTTTGGTGCGAGGCCTCCTCGCCGGTGCTTTCTTAGGCTTCTCCTCATCGCCTTCCTCGGCCTCGGTCTTCTTCTTTGCAGGGGCACGCTTCTTCTTGGGCTTCTCACCTTCCGTAGTGTCGCCTGCAGCAGGCTTGCCTGCACTAGGCGGTACATCTGCATCAGCGACTTTGCCTTCTTCAAAGGCACGGCGAAGGCGGTCCTTGTCTTCGTCTCTCAGCTCGTCAAAACCGTCCAATTCTTCGACATCGCCGTCGAGTCGTTCTTTCATGTTGGATATAAGCTTCGATGTGGTACATCCCCAGTGGCGCCACGAACTGAAGTGAATGGAATAGCAAGAGATTAGAAGGGCGGCAGTGACCGAAAGAGTAGTCACGTACTAGTTGGGCATACCCCTGATCTCGACGAGGGAACCCAGGCGCAGTGAGCCCTTCGGGATATCAGTTCCTAGATACAATTTCAGTTCAAGACGACTTTGAAGTGGTTTTTTTTCTACCTGCACAAGGCTTGGGACCTGTATAATACATAACTAGCGTCCATCAGCATCCACGTCATGCAAGGATAAGAAAAAAATGTTGACGGCACCCTTGCATTTTGCACGACCGGACGACGCGTACTCTACACGATAGCCACCCTTCTTAGTGGGTCCCTCGTTGTCAGACATCGTTTAAGAATGTAATTTGAGCAAGAGTTGGGTTGTGGATGGGAGGGAAAGAAATGGGGGGCGGTTCATCTCAACGCGACGCAGTTTTGTTGAACCACCCTGTGCCTTCAAAGTCCGACTTTAGGTACCCTGCAACGCACGGGCCCTCCCGGATCTAGTGCCTAGCCAATGTTGTGCACGACCATGTAGATATTCCATGCAGGGCCTGGTCGACCCCTGTGGGCCATGGTTTATTTGGCCAAACAATCGACGGGGCATCTCAGTAGTTCTCACTGCACGGCATGGCACATGCGACCCCATCAACATACTATCTGATACGTTCTCTCACATGTACTACACTAAATAAAAATCATATCCGTCTAGTAGACGACCATGGTCTTACTATCCCTACATCCTTCACCATCCTGTAGATCAAACGTGTTCACTCCCCCTCCAGAATCACCACTACAACTCGCTCAGAAAGCAAGCACTTTGCACACGGACATGAAAAAACTCACATCACTAGTGGCATTTCGCCCTTCCAACCATCTCCAATGGAAAAGTGGGCGACGTCAAAGTCGTTCCTGCCCAAGATGGTTCCCTGTAGATCATCGGAAGGAGATAGTGCCGGCTCCCAAAGCCGCACGCAGCCTGTAGGGCGTCAGTATGGCAAACCAAACGAAAATCATCCAACGAACCGTCATCACCACCACTCACTATCCCAATCCTTCGTCGGTCTCTGCCCTCTATCCATGCCGCGTGAGCGACGCCACACAAATTGCCACCCCCTTCATCCGAGTCGAAATGTCGGAAGTCGCAAAGTGGACCCTTGGATAGCGCACGTATGTCATAGACATGTAGTCTGTTGTCGCTTCGCGCGATAGCTAAAAGATGACCATCTGATGAAAAAGTTATAACATGTACTACTTCCTCCGGTTCTTCTCCCATGTTGGAACTCGATGGGCGTCTGCAAAAACTTTCGAGTTCCTCTTTTTCATATGCCTTGGGATTACGTCGACGGATATCGTACAGGCGTATTGGATGAGAATTCCCGGCACCAACCGTGGTGAGGACAAGTATGGACCCGTCTGGACTAATAGCGATGGCATCGCCTGCTTCGTTTGCGTCTAGCTCAAATGCGAGACGCTGCTTCTTTGTATCCCAAACACGGTGGTAACTCGTGACGATGTCATTTGGCGCTGGAGGCTCGGACGACGTGAACAATAAGTCTTCTGTTGGCCCTACCCCCCAAGTGGTCGCACCCGTCGCTTGGTCTGTCCCACTGGGTGCGACCCGAAACTGTTTCAGCGAAACGGGATAATCGGTGCTGTCTTCAAAAATATCTTTGGTACGGAAGAGGGAGACCGTGCTAAGGCAATGGTGATCAGCGGCCATCATGTGTTTGCAGAGTTACCTACCCATCCGTGCAAGAGACAGCAAGTAGGGAGTTGTCGCTCTTGTAGAATAGTTCCTCCGGCACAGTCACGGAACGGGACTGCATAAGTGGCATATAAGGTAGTTACAGTGTCGCGCAAAACACACGACTTACGAGTGCGCAGCAGGCTCGGTTCAACCGGACTGGACCCCTCGTCCTCCATAATTTGCCAAACTTTTGCTGAACAATCATGACCTGTTGATAGAAACTGGGAGGAACTGGGCCAGAAAGTGAACGGGAGATATGCGATCTTTTCCTAGTGCAACGCACTTGAATGGATTGAAAGCCACATCATTAACACTGTAATATTTAATCGCGGGACCTGGCACGGCAGCGTAGTTATTAAGCTAGTCCTTTTCCCCAGGTACCACTTGTGCTTACCATGATCGGTAATGCGGGTGTGACAGTGCGCCTGTAACCTATGGACTAATCCTTCATTCAGCTTAGCTCGACATGTTCGAGACTGCGCACTTGCCATGTCCACGGTTATACACCACAAGTGCACCTGTTCTATTACCCGGAGGGGGAGACCTGGTCTTCCGTGTTCACATTTTAGGATTATGCTATTCCACTAGCAGTATTCCATTTTTCGATTACTTACCTTGATCATCCTCGGAATACTCTGCGGTGCCAGCTGATGCAGTTGCACCTACAATAAATTTGCCAGGTGCCTGTATGATACTGGTAAGTTGCTGAAAGAGACTCGAGTGAATATATTGCACGTCATATACAATCAGCGTACCTCCCGATGCCAAATGAGGATGTTCGGATATGAGGCCGAGCTTGTCATACCCGAGGTCGTAGTAAAGCTTTCGTGAACGCGTACAGCCAGAAAGCGGAATATCGCCTTTCCTGCATATTGGGTGAAAAGGCTTTGGGTAGCGCGCTTTCCCACAAACTTTGCTGAACTGGAAGACTATTTGTTCAACGACAAAGACGAACAGCCTCGTACTCACTTGACTCCACCGATCTTTCCTAAAGGGACTGAGTGGCAGTTTGTCGTAGCTGACAACAGAACGAAATTGTGGAACACAGTCATCTAACGATGAGCCCTCTTTGGGAGAATGTAACGGTACGGATTCCGGCGTCAAGTCTTCTGCCTTGTTTCCGCGTGGCAGAGGAGCCCACTAAATCAAAATCATGCGGGGAGTGAGAGGAGGAAATTAAGCATGGGGAACCAAAGCGCACATTCGTTTCGTCAGAAATGTCAAGGGTAGCCATAAAGCTGACACATTCACTGTCAGAGTCAGTCAAGTCTTCATCAGCATCCTCGCAACCCATAAGCGAAGGTGTTGAAAGGTCGAGATCCACATTAGGTATATACGTAGGCACGGAACTTTCGAGTTTTTGCCGCTTGGGATATCTCGTCGTTAAGTACCGTAGTGCGATGATAGGAAGACAAGACAGACCTTGGTGGGTACAGTGCTTTCATCATCTGACAAAATTATGATCGCCTCCTCTCGAATGCACGCTTTCCGCTTCAAATCGGTTCTAGCAGGGGTGTTCAGCGCCGCAACCGTGGTAGCGTTCGCCTGCCTCTTGGAAGAGTAGAAGGCCACGCGTTCCGCAGCACGGCGAACTTGCAACTCCTTTAATCGATCACAGTGAGAATTGGATCCACGGGAACGCAAATGAAGCATACGCGACGAACAGTACGCTGCAACTCTGTCTCACTCTGCGATGGAGTCATGCACACTGTATTGGAACGTGAGGTACTGCTTGATCTGATCAGCCGGACGAGTTAAAGCCGGTGGACGCCTTATGTAGGCCACCGGCACTGTCACTACACTCACGGTACACTCGATTGAGAGGACGAAGTGACCAGGACATTGTCCTCGCCTGAACCAACCAAATCTATGACTTCAACCGGGCGCTTCTTCTTACGAATGCGTGGTGAGGGTGTTCGTTCGATTCGGACAATGTGGCGTACTCCTGTACACACGAGATCTACCTCCTCTATGTCAATTGGTTCGGATTCGGGTTTGCTTTCCATAGTATCAACTTGATGTTCGGGGTAAGAACGAGTGGAGATATGTGTGTAAGGGGAAACGAGCCCCGACAACAGTCTGATCTAGTAATGTTCAAAAGATGCGTGAAAAAAAGAAGTAAGAGGGGAATATGACGTTGATGGCAGGCGTGAAAGTCTACACAACAAACAAGGCGGACTACATACACGACACAACGGCGACCATGACCAAACCTTCTGTAGTAAGTACACCGAACCTCGAAGCCGGTCGTTCTGCAAGCGGACCATAGGAGACTCGCCACAAACCGAAGACACCCTTAACCCTGCGGCAACGTTTGTCGTAGCCACCGGCCTCCATAATTGCAAAGTATATTAACCCAGCGCCAACCAGGTTTGGGTTGTCGTATGGTGGGTTCTCCGCTACTCCCACGTCCTACACAGATCGTACATGTCCCCCTTTAGCGCAGCACCGCGAACAACCAGAAGCACTGATATCAGACAGGTCCGAGCATCACGCCGGGCTACATAGGTTCAGCCGTCATCTGTGTCGGTTGTGAAGCCTGTGTACGTCCGCTACTTGATTTCATTCGAGCTCTCCCCTTTTTGTGTTCCATCAAACGAGATTACCCACAGTCACCTGCCTTTCGCGAACCGTTTTATCTTCGTCTTCGGCGGAGTAGGCGATCATTACATTCAAACATTGACGGTGTGCAGCCAAAACGTGGAATACCCCCGGGTGTTGACAAATCCGCCAATCACATTGCCAGAGACCTGGTCTCTGTTGAAGAAATCGGGCAGAAAATGGGTAGTCAGAGTCGATGAGGAGTTGGCGAACCACGACCGAGATGAATGGCACGTCCAAAAAAACAACTCGTGGAGTTAGGATGAAGTGTCTCTACGTCAGCTCATCACTAGTATCCCGCAGGCAGACCAAAACTCGATCGTTCCCTGTCGACTGTGCATCACCAAGAAAGCCGAGGATCATAATATCCACGCACGACTTTGATTACGTTAAGGTACAAGCAAGCATGGAATACATGCGTTTTTGGTCATCTATAGGGTTTTTTTATCGCTATGATACCGGATGTACACTCCCAGTTTTTATTGCAGAATACGAAGAATCAAGGCGACAATGCGCTTCGTATCCGGTGGCGACCGATGTTCAAGTCTTCGGGCTGTATATGGAGGCGCTAAGCTTGGGAGCATTTCTGTCAGTTCCGACCAATTTCTGCAAGGTCATTCCTTCGGCACTGGAACTCAACTCGGAAGGATGAGATTCCTCAGAACGATCCTTCGAGGTGTCCATCAGGCGTCCTGGTTTAAGGCAACGCTGACGTCCAATGTCTTCTCTTCAAATAGGGAACAGATTTTGGGACACACATAAGCCTGAAGACCCGAATTCTAGGACATCATATCTGGTTAAAATATAGAAATGCTAATTTGTTAGGCCTAGAATTAATACTCGCACCTTTGCGGGAGGGTCACAAAGTCAGTGGGATTTATTTCCTGCGCGGCCTGGTGGTCTAGTAGTATGATTCCTTCTTAGGGTTTCTTAAATGGAGGAGGTCCCGGGTTCAATTCCCGGCCAGGCCCAGCAACTTGCCAGGAATGACTTTTTGATAGGCTTCATCGCAGAATCATTGGTACTAGTACATGTAATTGCAGACTACACTAGAAGTAAAATGGGTCGGTCAACTTGGGAAGTCACATTGAAGTTTCCAATGCCACTAAATGACAATATAATTACAACATTATCATGGTAGGCAACTATTAGATGTCAGTTCTGACCGGTGAAAACAACCTGTCAGCGCTAGCGAGGTCATTACTACCTGACTGGCACCGGTATCGCCGCTTGCATCTGTTGAAGAGTAGCCCCGGTAGGCAGGCATGCCATCCAAGTACATTCAGCGGAAGCTGCCGCGGTGCAATCTAGTGGGCATATCGTCATGTATCATCCATGACTTCTGCTTCGGGCTGCGCGCTTTTCCACCAAGACACAGGGCCTAGTCCCTGTTCTGCTATTGAACACTGGCCGTCCTGATAAGCCCGTAACCTAAGGTATATCAAAGACGCCAGCTTACTGTGATAGTGTACGGTGGCCTGCGTGCCTCTCGCTTAACGGCGACGCCGTCTGTCGCCTTGGGTGGACCGGGTTCGTCATCATAGAACTCGTCTGCTTCCACTCTGACTCGAACAATATCTCCCTGATCAACATACATACGTTCAGCAGTTAGAGATTCTAGTAATTCGTGTGCAGTGGTCGCCTCCGAATCAGGAAGCCAGAAATGGGCCCTTTCGTTCGGGTCGCTATAGGAAGCAGTCAGAGTGGGAGTTGAAGGGACATATCGCTCACGTACAAAGCAGATGGTTGAGGAAGGTATCCAGGAGGTACATAGATATCGTCGAAAAAGCCCACACTTACTGGATCAGAACTAAGTCGGCAACAAGCGGCAACAAAATGCTGCAGACAACGAACATCGAATACCGTCTTCATCAGAAGACTTGACTTTTGCAAGGATGACCTCAGATGCAAATGGTCTGAACACGACCACTGCGAAACTTTACTGTACGGTCGAGTTCAAGATGCTGCAATTTCGTGAATCGAAGGACGAACCTTTGTACCAATGACACCCATCGCCATAACGCACTTTCCCCTCACCAGCCTCAGCAAGGTCGAACAAACAAATACACAGGCCAACATCGTGCAGGACTCTGTTAGCATATTTTTTGTTAATTTCATTAATGAGGGCCTCCTCAGTGTCGACGCCGAAATTCGCGGGTAGGACGGGGATCGTATCCTGAAGTGGTTCACATCAGGCTTTGAATTCAAGTTTCCAATTATAACACGGCCCACTTTGATGGTGGAGAGCACGAACATGTTGGATTAGGTGGCTGGGCGTGCTTCAAGTGGTATTGCGGTGACAGGAGCATTTTGGCCCGCGGATGGTCACGTGCGCGCCAAAGTTTTTGAGTATCCGCGAAAAAATGATCAATGAGAGTACCCGCAACTCCTGCAAGCTCAACGCCCCAACAGAGTGCTAGAGCTCGGGTCGCTTTCGAGAACCTGCACTTCATCTGCAGGCTGGACATTTTGGCCTTCCTCCTAAGACTCCGTTCACACGTAGGATGTCGAGTTCGGTCGTAGAGGCTTCTAAGACACGCTGGCTGCCAGCAAACTCCTGGCTGCACTTTTTCGCTGGGGGGTAAGTACGTTCTCATTCTGCAATTAGTACCTAGTCTCATCCTCCAAGGCTGGGGGGAATGTGCGGTGCAATTGTGACGAGCCCGTTTGATGTCGTGAAAACTCGCTTGCAGTCGAGTCTCTTCCATGAGAAGCATGTCCCTGTTGGTGTCTTTGGCGGAAACGGTGTCGCAGCCCTTTCGCAACGATCTGGAGGACTATTTTGGAATTTTGTTGAGACATGTCATATCCTTCGGTGAGCCATCCTTCCACCACTAATCATCCCCTATTCTGCATGCTTATGCATCCTCCAAACTCCACAACAACGCATGTGCACAATGTCAGCGACATCTACCAATATGAGTCTCCCCGTGCCCTTTTCAAGGGTCTTGGACCGACGCTCGTAGGCGTCATGCCGGCGCGTTCGATCAACTTCTTCACGTATGGCAATGGCAAACAGATCATTGCCAATCACTTCAACAACGGGGAGGAGAACTCGTATGTACATCTTGCGGCTGCGGCGATCGCGGGTATTGTCACTGGAACGGTGACAAATCCAATTTGGGTCGTCAAGACGCGCCTGCAGCTCATCGCAGAACGCCAAAATATGGGCGCCGCCCTTGTAAGCACCGCGCCCCAAGCAAGTTCGACGCGAAAGCCGTTAGGAGGTAGCTATGCAATGATCAGGCAGATCTTCAGAGAGGAGGGTGCCCGTGGGTTCTACAAGGGCCTCAGTGCCAGTTATCTTGGCGTCACGGAGGGAACAATTCAGTGGGTTCTATACGAGCGTTTGAAACGGTTGTCCGCCAGAGCGGAGAACCGAGGGGGTGTCGCTGAGTGGTTTGGCATGTTGGGTAGCGCTGGCACGGCGAAATGTGTTGCAAGTCTAATCACCTACCCTCATGAAGTGCGTCACCGCACCAGATCATTGATGATTGGTATATTGACCGTTAACGAAGGTATTGCGAACACGACTGCGCCAGCCACGTGTGAACGGCATCCTCAAATACACTGGTCTCTGGCAGACCTTCCGGACTGTCATAGCGGAAGAGGGTGCACGGTCCCTTTACGGAGGGTTAAGTGCGCACCTTATGCGTGTTGTTCCCAATGCGGCCGTGATGTATTCTATCTATGAGGGTGTCTTGCGCTGGAGAAACGACTGATCTACGTGACCCTGCCTTCCGACTATTACCCACTTTTCCATTCTCTAATATATAGATTCCGCACGATACTGTGGCCCTCTGGCTACCACCTGTTTATCTGTATCTACACTACTCTACCGCAAACCGCACAATGTGTACAGTACATATTTACCCGCATTCACCACTCTAACAGTGACAACATATAATTCCTCTGAGTCCAGTGCGATGCGCTTACTTAAGTAAAGGAATTGTATTCTCAGCACATGTAGTTCTTCAGAACTGCCCTCCCCAGGCCTCATCAGCAAACCAACCCTACTCTGTAGGATCTGGCAACTCTATAAAACTCATTGCCTTTCTGTACAGAAGGTAAGGAATAGGGATGGTTTGCTGATGCTTCCCGACATGCATCACGAGGTCGTCAGTATCCTCACTGTCCAACTACTCTCAAGCCTACTTCCCATCTATCAGCTCTACAGGGGGGCAGGCATAGCCATGAGATCTTATAAGTACTCGCTCAGGATGGGAATAACGTTGTCATCATTATGGCCTTCATCAAGCGATGGCATCGTGCGAAGCGCGGAGAGGTGGAGTTGAAGACGCCGGCACCGTCTCCCACAAGAAATGGCTGTGCCATCTAGGCGCAGGGACAGCGAAATACTCCATCGAAGTCTCTCCTAGGTGTGAAGCTTTCTCCCGCAAGAGCAGGGTACGATCCCCAGAATCCGGTCCCACTCTTACTCAGAATCCCGTACATGCCTAAAATACCCACACGATCAAGGAGTGTCTGCGAAAAGATCGCACCGGAATTGAAGATCATTAGAGTAGTAGGGAAAGCTTGGCAGGTACGGGTAATTAAACTGATAATAACGATTATGATGCAGGAATGGCAAGAAAACCTCGCTATTGATCTTTCCTGTAACTGGGCCCTGCGAGGCCCTGCGACAGGTAGGAGCCCTAACAACAATTGCATAGAAGTGAGACTGGTATTCCACATACAGTACACTTGCTCATAATTCATAATGTCAGACCAGCAGAACGGGCATCTGGTACTGCAAAAAATTCAATAATGGAAAGGAATAGTTATGCATTATGAGCAAGTGTACTGTAGGTACATAAAAAATAGGGCCACTGGAAGGAAACTGATGTTGCGTGGCGGATGAATATGTCGTTGGCAGAGAAGACTGCAAAAGTTGTCCTCACGGGTCATCGGAGCTTATGTACTAAACTAAGGCTATGATATTATTGACTCAATCAAGTGTTGGAAGCCTCGACATCACTGCCACCCGATGGAGTACGTCCACAGGGCGCTGATGCAACTGTCCCGGTCAGCGTTTTGCCTGGTCTTCGTGACTGGGCAGCTTGGTTGGAGGTGCTACATTTCAGCGGGTCACACGAGCTTCGCTACCGTCTTGATCGATCACGTAAGCACTGTGCTAGTACATATATCCGCCCTTTGCACTGCATGTCAGCCAACGCAATCTGTTCTATGTTTGACTGGCACGGCATGGACCAACACACAGGAATGTTCGACTGCCAAGAGAAGTAGATCCGACTTGTAGGTTTAGAGTCTTGCCGAGAACGGCGGGATTCGAAGTCGTGCCCCTCGAGGTACGTTAGACTTTGTTCTGTCGGCTTGCGTGCAGTACCAGTAGGTGGGCAATATTAACGCCCCGTCGGTGGGTGTCAGTCTGCTGTCGCGAACTCAACCGGAATGTAAAAAATTCTTCTACCGTTGATCTGCTTACCTGCAGTGGCAGAGTCGGACACAAGAAGGGCTATAATGATGGTTATGGTGATGTGATCCCGTATGAGTGTCCGGAGAATTCCCTTTGGGCGTTTAACTACTTGCTGTATTGATTTCTAAGATGCCTATTCCCATGGTATGTATGCCATACTCTCACACTCACTTTCGTTGGAAGTTTGTTCTACATAACTAACTTCCCAGACCGCTATCCCCTTGTTCTGTGTCCATGCCCCCGCCCATCCAGGTTCTTAATAGCATAAATGGAAATGGGAGTCTTGCGCACAGCCCACGGAAGACAACTCGAGCAACGACACGTCCAAACGTCCGCCATGGTATGCCGTACTTTTGACACTGCCCTTCGTTTGGAGTTTGTTCTACATAACTACCGTCCCAGACATCTTCATCCCCTTATTCTACACCCATGCCCCCGCCAACCGAGGTTGCTAACACCAACGGGAATGGGATTCTCGTGCACGGTCCACGAAGACAACTCGAGCAACGACACGTCCAAATGTATTTTTTGTGAGCACGCTTAGGCCTATGATGAGTCTAACTTGCATTCTCAGGATAGCCGTGAGTTCACCGTCGTGTGAGATCCCGGATGTTGTCCACTCATTCAACATGACGCCTTCGACTTGATGGTTGCTAGGTTGCTGGGACTATCGGAACGGCTTTATTCCTTGGCTCCGGTCAGGCAATCAGTGGTGGTGGACCCGTCGGAGCTCTTCTCGCGTACGCTTTCGTTGGTTCGGTCGCATACGCGTGCGTATATGGTTATTATTGTTGTATTACATGGGTTATCACTAACACATGATAGTTCCCTTAGCTCTGTAGGAGAAATGACGTCGTTGGCCCCCGTCGCAGGTTCCTTCGCTCACTATGGCAAGTATGCTTCCTCCTAAATTCCATTCTCAAGATTTTGATGGTGTACACACTAGCGCATCGGTGGGTTGATGAGGCTACCGGCTTCGCCGTAAGTCGTATATCTTGCCTCGTCTGGAAGACTACCTGATCTAATCATCTAGGTTGGATGGGTGAGCCGAATCAGTGGAATGTCCCGTTACTCGTTCTTAATTATTTACAGATTTATTTCTTCGTAAGCTTCGCTTTCCTCACTCCTACTACCAGTAATTTATCGACCTCGACGTTCTATATTTCGTAGACAAATGCGTTCGTCTCCTTATAGTATTGTCAGATGTGCTAAATACTGACGATTGTTTCATAGTGTGACCATACCTGCTGAGATTGCCGGTGCCCAACTTCTTCTATCGCAGTGGACCGTGAGTTGATGATACACTACATGCCTCACGAACCTCAATCGGTTGATTGGCTACACAGGAAAACACTAAGCCATACATCGTGTTAATACTGGGTGTTACTTGTCTGGTTAACATATTCGGTGTTAGGTGAGTCTTGACTGTTGCTAGTTCAGTGCTGCCTTAATACTGCCGGATAGATATTTTGGGGAAGGTGTGTCTCTTCCGTGACATCCGAAGGAGTAATCCAAATTATGATTCAGTTGAATTCTGGTTCAGTATTGCGAAGTGTAGGTTGTATCTCTAGTCCTGGATGCCACGCATTAATCAACATCCCAGTGACCTTAATCGCCATCCTGATATTGATAAGCATTGTTATTGATCTTGGTGGTGCTCCAGAGCATAGAAGACTAGGATTCCAGGTTTGTCTCCCGATGTTGCCGGTAAATCGAATACAAACATTTGATTGCCTACAGTACTGGAAAGACCCAGGTCCGTTCACAGCGAACGTACTCCCCGGGTACAAATTCCTAGGTATTATATCTGCTGTTATACAGGCCGCAGCAGCCTTTCAAGGAATCGAAATCTCCGCAATGTAAGGCCGGTGATTCTCAGGCTCATGCTATAGACAGTGACGCCATTCGCAGCGCCGCGTCAGAAACAATAAGTCCCCGTCGAAATGTCGCTAGAGCTATGAAGAGGGTTTTTATCCGCATAGGCATCTTCTACGTTCGTGGCATCCCCCCCTTTTTTCATTAAACTTGGGTCCATTAGTCTTGTTAGATTGCTGGTGTTTTTGCTGCTGGTTTGGATTGTAGGAAGCACTGATCCAGGATTATTGCAACGTGTGTTGATACCGTAACGTGCATCTTTGACTCTGTATTCTAACATATAATACAGCTCCGGGGAACATCACCCAGTCAAACAGCACAGTACAGGCACACAGTCAACGCGTCTCCGTTCGTCATCGGAATGCGGAATGCAGGGATTCAAGCGTGAGAAAACCACTTCAATTCTTACAACTAAACTCATCCTCTTCTTAGGTTCCGTGATTTCTGTCGTTAATGCCGGTGTGCTCAGTAGTGCGGTCTCTGCTGGGAATTCATTTATGTTCTCTGCTTCTCGCATCCTATATGGGCTCGCCCTTCGTGGTCAAGCACCGGCGTGTTTGGCAAAACTCAACACCCATACGGGGACTTCCATACCTGCTGTACTATTCACGGTTGGTTAAATTCTTGCCTCGGACAGACTTGCGATAGTGATGGAATTAGGCAGCCTTTGGCTTGTTAGCATTCATGGATTTCAAGAACGAGACCTTTCAGTCAGTACTGTGTGCAACTTATTGGAGGGTTGTTGACTTCGGTTCTTAGGTGGTTTTATAATATGGCAGCAGTCGGGCAGCTGATCACATGGAGTGTGATAAACTTCACATATCTTCGCTTTTGTTGGTATCTTTCCCAGCGGTGCTTGATCTTCTCATTCATTTTGCAAAAGACAGGGGCATGGCAGTACAAAAATTTCCCAGAGAGCATTTGGAATATTGGAATAGATTCCAAGTGAGTGACTGCCAATGTTCCATTTTGTATGCACGCTCATCCAAAGCCCATCTAGCCATGGCTCGCTATGTGGGGATTGTTTTGGTGTATCGTTTTCCTTCTTCTTAGTGGTTACCCCGTCTTCCTGCACTTCTACCAGGCAGACCAGCCATTCATCACTAGCTGTCAGTCAAGTTGGCTTTTGAGCAATTGTTGCATTCTTACCCGAGTTTAGATCTGATCCCACCTATCTTCCTCCTTGGTCTCATCGGCTGGAGACATTTGTATCAAACTCAGATGATTTCAGCGGCTGAAATGGATTTTGTAAACGTGAGTACATTCGCGACACGTGCACCAGTAGCCATAGACATGATGATCTGGATCGTTGGATGCAGAATATACCCTCAAAGGACGAAACTGAAGTTCCCGAGGAAGTGCCTAGCGGCTTCTGGGCGAGGCTTGCTTATCGTCTCGTCTGAGCTGTGCGCTAAAGCCCCCTCCCGATGGAAAGTTTGTGTAGTATGGAATGCAACCAAACCGAATGGACAAGATACAGATGTAGCTATTCCTCACCCGCCTTTTTTGTACACCAGGAATCAAATTAACATGTAATAAATGAAGATACTAGATCACTGTTAACATTCGAGCTCGTAGGCATCGCACGTACCCCCTCCATCAAAAGGACACTTTCTAAACTTCCCCTGCACCCACACCCGATACATTTTTAGTTGGCGTTTTCGATTCACCAATAAACGTCTGTCTACTCCAAGTTGTTCGATGATAAATGGGGGACGGGGCGGATGCGGCCTGAGGAGGCTGGGGTGAATTACCACTTCAGGTAGTGGGGAATGGCCTCCAGATATCTGATCATCACGACTTCCCGAGTACGGTGATAAGGTTAGGGGGTCATCACATGAACCGTCCTGAGCTTCTTCAACTGTCTCCAATGTATTACTGGTTTTCTGGGCTGAGGTAGGTCGTGCATCCGTAAATATCAAAGCCAGTTCATCTGTAAACGGTGAAGTTAACCACAACACGAGAAAACAATCGTGAAACTACCGCCTACCAAGTTCAAAGAAGTAGACCCTCGTTTTGTCTCCACGGATGTAGAAGTTATCCTCCAGTAGTCTCCCCGACTTGAAACGTAATTGAGTGAGATCATACCGACCATAATCCCGTAACAAGATAATGCCGCCTGGTTTCAGCATCTATAGAAATAATAGACTCGTCAGCCATAAGGCAAACATCGTGAAGTAGATGGGCAAACCCGGTGTATATTGGAAACGGCTCTTTCCCACTCGTCGGGATGCAGAGCACTGAGGACAAAAACCAGTACCACGATGTCCACTGACTCGGGTGTTACTCCAAGCGGAAGGCTATTCTCACATGAGAGGTCCCACACTGCAGCTTGTATGGATCCGACAGGCGGATCACGATACAAACTGTTCGCCTAAATTTAACAAGTAAAAACCCTGCCATGAGATAGAACACCAGTGAACGGACCTGGACCAACTTCACGGCGTGTGATGAATAGTCGAATGCACGTATCGCGAGTTTAGGGTTTTTATTCGCCAAAAGGAGAGGAAATGCGGTGTTACCCGCACCTTTTCCGGGCCAAAAGTGAGAGTCTATTCTTTTGAAAACATCCCTGTGGAACTCACCACAGCCTATTTCACAGATCGTGATGTCTCCTGCATCTGGCTGAGCAGCTGCTAGTAAGTCGGGAAATTCCAAGTGCAGCCTGGGCGGATCAATCTTCCGTGCATGTAAACCAAGGCTCGAACAGACCATTTTCTATCCCGGAAGAAATTGTCGGCATTTGTTTTGTAAAAGTTATCCCTTCCGCACGGATATCAGCATGCGCGCAGCGCACCCGGACCGGACTACGTACCAATACTTTGCAGGCTTGGCGTTGTACTTCTCTTTTTCAGGCTCGGGTACTGGTGCAACACGTTGTCTCGCTAGTGATGCAGATATGGTCTCAGCCTGATCATTGGGAGGTGGAACATGGTCCCAGGCGTTCTGAGTCCATACGTCAGACTGTTCTGTGAGAAATCTGAACGACTGGATATCAACGTACTTCCCAGTCGTCATTGGATCTGTACTTACCTCGAACCAAATGGTGGTTTCTCAGCAGCAATGTCATGTACTGATGAAGTCAATTTTGGGATCCGTTCAGATGTTTCGATGGTGGTTTCGTGGTTCTGATCCTCAAGCATCGGCGATCGACAACACGATGGTCCAATATCTTGTGTACTCATGTAGTCCATACAGACCAAGTGCATGAAGATCGCAACCAGCAGTATGCTATCACCTCCATAAATAGGGAGTCCACTGATACTATCCCACACTTTTCGGGGTCCCAGCAGGCGGTGGTCACACTCCTGGACAATGGGAAGGTCATAATGATGACCGTACTGCAACAAATAGCACAGCATATAGACTTAAAGTATGAATTTTGCTGTAGCTAAATTTTGGCTTGTTCGAAATCCACGTGTAGTGGTGCTACTGTTGATGGTTCTTTCAACGGCGCTGCTCTGTCCAGTGCTACCGGTGAGCCGGGGTCTCCGCAGTGGCCGAGCGCTGTGCTAGCGGTAGGCGTGCGGTGGACAGGTCCGCTTGGCCTGCTTCGCTACATCCAAGTGTTCGATTCTGTCGGTTGTGTCAGAGCTCGATTTTAACGTTGCCGAGATCCTGATACTCTACTAGCATCAAGTTCCCCAACGGCTTGTGATATATAGGCCACCTATTCTGCCTCTCACCCCCGGAAGGGCGGCATCGATCAACCCTTTGAAAGCAGCGAGTGAACGGTTGTCATGTCCACGCTTCAGCCTCTAGCACGATCGCCTGCACCTGGAGATGACGATCTCCAGCATCTGTACGACGAAGTGTGGCGGATCTTTGACGAGGAGGCTTCTGAAACGGAGCGGTCGCCTGTGGCAGCGGTAACAACCTCCAATGTCCGAGAATCATTCAACAATAATGCACGCGTCGACGTTGACGCCCTTGGGCAACCCATGTCGAGCCTGAGGGCTGTGACTGCTTCCCCGCGTCCCCCACGTACGTTTTCTGGCTTGCTCTTCGATACACTTGCATTGATATATGTGCCCAAGTCCCTCCCGCGCCACCAGCCCTCCCCGCTGAATTGCGCGCAATTCCAGACTCTACTTTGTCCCCCACAACTCAGAAGAGACTAAGGCCATTGCCTTTACCTCCTGGCGCGGGGCTGCCATCGACAACTGGCTGCGTAGACTCTCGTAACAGTATCACTCCTCCCATTCCAAGTGCTTCGAGATCGGCAACCACGGGAGTCGAGGGGTATGTCTAGGTTCTAACGAAGTGAGATCTCTGTCTGACATTTCTGGTCGCAGGAGGCGTCAGTTGCCCCAAGCGCCGGGCGCCCAACCAAATGGTTACCATAGCAGTCATCCCTCCATAGGTTCCGCCACTTCACCGACAGTATCTATCGGCAGGATGCCTGCTGCGAGCTCCCCTCTGGACGCTTTTCCAAATCTTAATAAACCAGTTCCAGCTGTGCCCATGCTTGCCAACGGACAGGCACACAACATAGAAGGGTATGGCTTGCAACTTCCTGAATGTATTCCAGATCACGGATCAAGGAAACCATTCGTGCGTCCTCCTGGTGCTTCGCCCCCCATGATACCGGGTCATAGCACTTCTTATGACGAGTCCTTGTTGCTTGATATGTACGCTGAGGAGCCTCAAAAGGCACCACTGGGACACCGCCAGCGCGACGTAGAACAAGTGCAGCTTTCAGAGAATTTTCCTTCGCAAACCAACATACGATATCATGCAAATGGCAGCCACAATGAGACTGCAGTCCCTTTGCACCAAATTGATAATCGAAGTCCTTCTACATCACCGGATTCTAACCAACAACGTAAGTACCAATTCGTAGTTAAACTTACCGCCATGCTCAATGATACAGACCAAGATGTCAATGTTGGTCTAGGACGCGCAATTTCTACAGGCTCTACCGCATCATCTATACCCGGCGGTATGTTCTCGAGGCACCAAACAACGTCAACTGCTGCTACAGCGTATACCGCCTACGAGCCTTCGTCTTCGCAAGTTGGCTTGACTACTCTCACTCGAGATGATTCTGTGGGTTCTTACATCATGCCTTCTGCTGGACCGTCTACTTCGCATGTGACGCATACGTTTGCTGAATCGGTCGATGACTATCATCGCGGCAGCGCAGATCCCTTCGATCGCTCTCGTCCTAGTATCTATGATACCACTGGCAGTGTGCTCGATCCGCTCGATAATCAGGCGCAGGACTACGATGAGGAAGACTTCACAGATAGTGACGACCCAGATCCAGATAGATTCGTCAACTTCAGTCTATTGTCGCATCTCGCTGTCAGGCTACGTGACAAGGTGCCAAGGGGTACACACGTCAAAAGCAGCATACCATATCCTCGCGCATTTACAGGGAAGGACATAGTTGTACGTGTTTATCTCTTTTCTTCGCACTTGGTCCTGATATATGCCCTCAAGTCGACGATACAGTCGCAGATACAACGCGAACTGCTCATTAATCATGGTATCTCGACTGCGGATAGGCGTATAGCTTTGCAAGTGGCACGAAGTCTCCAACAACAGCTGTTCTTTTACGAAGTTGAGTGGGGCGACAAACCTCTGCAAGATGGGGTGGAAGACGTCTATATGTTCTTGGACGATTTAGAGGGAACTTCTGAAGGTCCAAGAGAAAGAGAAGAACTTCCGACTGCGGTCATCACGACGCTCACCAAATGTTATGCATCAATCTGCAGCGAAGGGGAACCATGCTACTCATTCACGTGTCCTAGGCGCCGCGTAAGTAATTCGGCTATCCCCAAATGTTGTTTCGCTGATAATATTCTAGCCTGCCAGTGTGGCCGACGTTGCCCCGTTACCTGAACCTGAGCCACCGCACGTGAGTTGAAGCATGAAAATATTGTTCTCGGATTACTCACTCGCCTTCCAGCAAACCGAAGATTGGCAAAATACAGTTGACCCTGCAGTTATTAGTAGCCTTCCCGAAAGTGAGATAAACCGCCAGTCGTGAGTTCTACCGTATTTTCGCCCGTGGACAATGCTCACTTGACAACCAACCAGTATCATATACAGGACAATCAGCCAGGAAGAGCAGTACATCCAAGACCTCGATACAGTTGAGGCAGTATGTCGACGAGCTTCGTGACCATTCAGTCGCTGACGAACCGACAGTTGTTTATTAAGCCCCTCCGTCGTGCAACCCACATTATGCCTGCTGCCCAGCTGGACGAATTTATCGAGGAGGTGTTTGGCAATATCCTTGACCTTCGTGAATGCAACAAGCGGTTGATAGAAGCGTTGTACGTCCGCCAGCGCGAACAAGCACCAATTATACAAAAGATTGGCGACGTATTTTTGGAGGCCGCTAGGAGCTTCCGGTATGCGTATCCGACTTATGTGGGGCATCTTCCACTCGCAGAGAAGAAGTTCAAAGACGAAATGGAAGAAAATGCGGAGCTTAGACTCTTCTTCGAGGTTTTGATGCTTGTGAACCCAACGAAGCTTAGCTGATGCATATTCACAGGAATGCGCACGACAATCAGCAAGGCAGCAGGAGTCTCGCCGTTTAGACGTGAAGCATTTGTTGAACCGCCCTCCCGAGCATCTCCAGAAATATCCGCTTGCACTAGAAGCAATCATGAAAGCAACGACAGAGGGTAACCCAGATGCATATTACTTGGCGGAAGCCATACAGGCGATCAAGAGCCTACAAGGAGTTGCTCAGCTGCGGACCTTCCAAGCTGCTATGGGCAAGGGCCCGACCGGTAAGTGGGAATGGCATGATCTGGTACCTAAGGACGTTAGGGAGGGCTTGAGTAAGACCGAAGCGAAACGGCAGTCGTAAGTATTGGAGTTAAGGTGCAAGCAAAGTCTGAGCTGCGCTTCGCAGTATAATATTCGAGCTTATCAAGGGTGAAATGGCATACGTCAAGGATTTGGAATCCATAGAAACGGTGAGCGCGACACCAATCGTCCCTTGACTGCTGAGCTTATGATTGTAGATGTACATCCGGCCATTGCGGGATGCAGATTCCCCGATTATTCCCCGTGATAGATTGAACAGTTTCATCTCGGACGTCTACCACAATTCTTCTGAAATATATGCTCACCACAGGAGACTTCTCGATCAACTGCACGAGGTCCAACGCGAAGAGCATCCGACCATCAAGAGCGTTACTGCCCCACTGTTTGACGCCGCCCTGAACTTTAGGGATGCTTACATGGAGTACATCCCCAATTATCCGATTGCTGCTTACAGGATAGACGACGAAAACGCCAACAATCCTGATTTCAAGGCATTCGTCGAGGTACGTTACATGACAACGTTTTCAAGAGCTTTCATTCAGGTCGCTTTAGAAATGTGTCCGGCATCCTGACGCCCATCGCCTCGATATGAAGAACTTCATATACCGTCCGATCCCTCGCCTCCTGAGGTACGAATTGTTACTCAAGAATATTCTGGAGGAAACGCCCGCCGGTCATGAGGATTGTGAAGCTATACCGGAAGTTCTTGAGATAATCAAGTCTATTGGGAAGGATACGGAGCCTGGTGTTCAGTCTGCGAAACAAAAGGTGCAATTATGGTGCTATAACGCCAACCTTGTATTCAAGACCGGGGAATCAGTCGTGAGTACAGATATCGTTGTTTAATGACCGAGGCTCAGAGTTTTCTTTCCTAGGACATGGATTTACTGAATGAAAGTCGATCCCTCGTGCATGCCAGTAAACTTTTGCGCCAACCAGACACTGGCTTTGAGTGGAGCGGATGGACCGAGCTATTCGTTCTGCTTTTCGATAACTATTGTAACCGCACATCCAACTTCCTTGTGTGTCTTGCTTTGCTAATGGCTTGCTTACAGTGGTATTAACCAAACCTAAGGAGAAGGATGGGATTACTAAATACCACGTCAACCGGAGGGTAGGCTTGTTCTGAGTATATCCATCCAGACCTCGCTAATCAACAATAGCCTATCCCATTGGATCTGTTGAACCTCGCCAGCTTTACTGATGCGCCAATTCAGAGAAGTACAAGTATATTGCGGCTCGGACTTGGTGGCAATAAACACGCGGACGACCGTGGGACACCGTCAGCCCCAGGAAGTGGCATGCCTGACAGTGCCGGAGATCCCCGTCTTCTCTATCCTTGCACAATCTATTATAGCGGGAGACTTGGTGGGCTGCACACCCTTTTTACAGAAAGCCAACAAGCTCGTAGTGAATGGAAGCAAAAACTGGAGGAAGCTCTTGGTCTGCGGAAGGTCGTGCAGGAGTCAAACAAAGTGTTTGAAATGGATCCCCTTAGTACTGACACCTTTTTCATTCCAACATTGTCGGCAAGCAACACTGCTCCGTCTTGGAACCACGAAAATGCTTTTACGGGAAAAGTTACCTGTTCTGTGCCATTCAGTATGCTTATCTCTGCCTATCGAAGTTGGGAATGCTCATGTATAAATAGATACTCCGGATGGACGAGAGCTCGTCGCGATTGGTTGTGCAGAAGGGGTATGGATTGGATTCAGACACGATTCCAAATGTTAGTCTGTCGTTTTACTACCTGGCCCGCTGCTGATCTTTGTCGGATACAAAGCAATGCGTCGTGTGCTGCACCTGAAGATGGTGACGCAGTGCGCAATGTTGGAAGATTTCGGCATGTTCCTGGTCTTAGCAGACAAGGTTAGCAAGGTTATTGCTTTGGGAGTGCTACTTGGTAAATGTTGCCTTTGCGCAGGCACTTTTCGCGTATCACATAGAAGCCCTTGTGCCATCGTCACCTCAAAGTGCACATACTTCCCAAACTCCCCAACGGGTCAATGGGACAAGGGACGTTCATTTCTTCAGTGTTGGTCAGCAAGGTGGTCGAACGCTGGTGATCTACATGAAAAAGAAAGGGGTGAGTTGTTTTCACGTGAAGATGTCACGATCTATTTCAGCTGGGAGTAGCTCGACAGCGTTTTCCGTGTGCTCGAACCTGTCGTGGAAAAGATTAATGAACGCACGAAAACACCTGCTTCCTTCACGTCCCGATTTGGTATACGGCCGGCGCGTTCAGAGTGGTTCCGCTTGTACAGGGTAAATTTAACCACCTTGCCACAACTGCCTCGACCTAACAGTGATCTAGGAATTCTTCCTACCATCAGAATCATTCGATTTGGTCTTCTTGAAAGCCAAAATTGCGATTCTTTGCACGAAAGGGTTCGAAATCATGGATCTCGCCGAGTATGCACGTTACTGCGGAGAAATTGATATATACGCTAACCTTTGTCTTGACCAGCTTCAAGAGTGTCACTATTCCTCTACGTGATGACGGCCACGAACGGCTCGCGAAACGGTGCGAATCATGTAAGCCCGTAGGGATGTTCCGCGTGGACAACGAGTTCTTACTTTGTTATGATGGTTTGTTCATTTCATGCTCTCCCGCTTTGGAGGTCTGACCCTTTCCAGAATTCGGCATCTACGTGAACAAACACGGGAGCCCCAGTCGGTCTTCGGGTACGATTGAATGGGAAGGCACGGCGGAACGTGTTGCAATGCACTGGCCCTATATTCTTCTCTTCGACTCACGATTCATTGAGGTGCGGCAAGTATCTACTGGTCTTCTTGCCCAGATCATCCCTGGAAACGAAATCCGGTGCATCTGGGATGGGCGGGGGACGTCCAGCGGAGCTGCATCGACAAGCGGAGAAGGACCCAAGCAGTCAATGAACCTCGAGCCACGAATACATGCAGTGGCCTCGGTGCCGGAGCCACCCCATGGACAACCTAGCCAGAGTGCTAGGGTGCGATCCGTCGCGCAACACGTGTTTGAATTGACGCCTACGGTTCCCCTCTATCCACCGGGACCACTTACTTCACCTTCCAATTCAGCTTACTTCCCCCAGTCCAGTTCTCCGCCGCACTCGCCTAGCTTCGTACAGAATACATTGACACACTCCACGTCGTGGAGGTAAACAGTGCATTCACTCAGCCTTTTCATCATTTCCCGTGCCATGTAGTATACTACGCTGCTCGTTCAGTTGCTCTGTGTCATTGCTTGAGAAGTATCGTTTACATAATTTGTACATCTTGTAGTCAATGAATCTTTTCGCACTGGCGCTGCCGACGTGGCTGCTGGACAGTCACTTCCCTCCATCGTGTGTGCCACCGTTCATTTTCCGACTCGAGGTAAATGGATATTATCCTATAAGTCTTATGATTCACGAACAGGGATCTGGCTACATGGATGTGTACCCTAATGTATACACGGAGCCGCAAAGGCGATACGATACATGCCCTACAATCGACAACCCAAGAAAAACGTGCCGATTGCCAGAAATGCAATATACAGTCGATTAGAACAGGACCGCCGCGACCTTCTGCCAGAAGGTTGTTGGCGGAATTTCTGGACTTTCTGTCTCTTCTGGCGTAGGAATTCCCTAAAAACAAGTATGTCAGCATCAATCCGTGCTCCTCAAACCGAAATGGTTGGAGTGGCAAACAAGGGGTCGGTAAAATATATCCCACATGGGAGGAAAGAAAAACTCACGGTGACAAAGTCCATCTCCTCAGGCTTCCACACTTTGGTGCGTCTAGTGATTTTCCAGAACAAATAGAGACCAGCAAAGATTGGGATGTTGATATCTACGTTTGATAACGGGAGGATGGGTGCCGTTAAAAGACGAGATGTGGCAAAGACGCGAAACTTACACGCGGTGAGGAAACCTGCAGCATTGAAGGACCAGAAAACCTCAAACCCATTAACTAGAATGAAGATAATGCACCACGTCAGGCCCCACACAGCGAGGCCAGGCTGGAGATTGATAAGGGGATCGTGAGCTGATGGTGTTGATATCCACGTGTCATACCACACACCTGCAGAGGATTCCAGTAGTGGAGGCGCTCTTTGCGATCGATACCCTGAGCACTTAAGCCTCTACCTGCACACTTGTGAGCCGATTTCTATATAGTGAATGGCATGGTCCTCACGGAAGAAGAGGTACGTGAGATTGATAGAGCCCCATGTGAAGAAGCCGCCAATGGTCGTCAAGCTCACCAGCCAGCTGCAGACAGCAATTAGCTCGTTAGTCTCTGTATAGAAAGTACTCACTTGAAGACAGTCTCCGAACCAGACGAGACGTTCATAAGTGATAAGAACCCAAACACACTAGTGAAGCCGATTGCAACTATCGGGAGGCCGCTTGACGTGCAGCGAGCGAAGATACAGGGAGCCTGGCCGCGAAGAGAAAGTCCATAAAGGATGCGCGACGAGCAGAACAAGAATGAATTGGATGCGGAGAAGGCACTGGTCAGGACACCGGCGTTGACGATGCTGGGAAGGACTAAAGGCGACAATCAGCAGCGTGGTGAACTCGCTCAAGTGAAGACCCACCCTTAATACCAGCCCGAGTCATCGCGATGACATACGGAGACTCCGCAGCGTTACCAGTAGCTAATACAACATATTTAACATATATTTGGGATAAACCCATCGAACTCACATTGTAGGAGCGAGGGATCATTGTAAGGAACAATGAGACCAGTGACGAAAATCCCCAGAATCTGCCATGCTTCATCATCAAATACCGCGATGAAGGAGGGAAGACAGCACCACTTACGTAGAAGATGCAGATTCGGTAAAAGACACGACGAACAGCCTTGGCAATGTTACGGCGAGGGTTTTCTGTCTCAGAGGCAGCACTGCAAACGGTCAGATCATGGAATAACCATAAATACGGCGCGTCACTCACACAGCGACTAGCTCCATTCCCTGGAAAGAAAATCCTGCTTGTACAAGTACAGAAAGGATCCCGAGGAAGCGATCGAGGCCAATGTGGTTCGGTTCAAGCCCAGCGCCAGCAAGCACACCAGGGTTCTTCCAATACTACAACATCCTTAGCACTGTTTTTTTAACGCAAGACACAGTGTGTGTCGGACTAACTTGGAATCCAAGCCGCTGGTGGTTTGGCGCGCCGCCCAGGTCGATGACGAGGCCCAGGAGAATAAGACCGGTAATCAAGGTTACTGGCGCCTGTTGGTACGAGAAAAATAGAAGGCGACAAGGAGACTCACGTTTAATCAACGCAAAGCCGAATTCCGCTGGAAAGAGCATTGGGTTGAGACGTGGTCGTGACACTGCAGCTCGGGTCCCCCTTACCTTCTCCAAACCACCTAGAGACGTGCGACGACTTAGATTTCCTGACATGTAATGAGTGTTTGGAGCACACCTGACTCCGAAAATGTTAATGAGAATGACCAGGCAAGTGATGACTGTCGTATAGATCGCTACATGTTTGGGCTGGAAAAAATGAGCATTCTCTGAGGTGAGATCGTTGAATGTTATTCACGTTGTTGTCCCAGAATGTAATAAGTAGTTGAGCACCGGTAACTTCTACGGGCACACTCATTCTATGCTATGTTGAGAATTGCAAGCCAACGTAAGCGCGTAGGAACTCACAAGTTTGTCTACAGTGCAATGTTCAGCACGACTAGTGTTCATCTTAGAAAAGAATACCCACGTAGTAGTAGTTCTAAGTGCGGATTTTCAACCACGGCCAAGGGTGAGTCGATGGTGAGGCAGAATAACGGGGTGACATACCCAGCCAACCTAAATTGTCAGGAGTCAGGCAATGATGAAAGGGCAATCTACAGAAAGCATACAGCAAAACCAAAAGCAGGGTCGACCCATCTTGCAGCTAGCAAAAAAAGCAAAAGATCCATGTATGGTATGCAGGGAAATGAGTGTTGAAACATACCATAATGCGGGAAGGTACCGGATATGGGGGCGTGGCAGGCCATCTCGCCGATGGAGCATAACGAGCTGGAAAAAAATTAGAGGACGGATAGTGGGATGGATTAACATGAATTTCCACTTACGAATAAGCCACAGTTCCTACGAGCGCATAGGCAATGAGAGCACCGACAGGCCCAGCACCACTGAGGGCTTTCCCTGAACCAAGGAACAGACCGGTTCCAAGAGTACCAGCAATCTAGAAACATCAAGGGTATGGACGGAGGTGATGACAGGATGCTACATACGGCTATCCTGAGGTCGGGGAGCGAGAAATAAACAGGGGGAAGCGGAAAGGGGAAGAAACATACATTTGCACATGACGCTGCTTTAGACGGCGTTGAACAAGATCGATGGAGGCAACGTCGAATTTATGTTCAGAGCCGGCGATGACAGGTTGAAGGTTGACATCGACGCCGAACTTCTCAAGGCTAGCTCTACCTGGGTAATCATCTCTCTGCTGACTCTGTGCGGACATCGTGTATGCCCGCGGGGGTTACTGGAGAAGGTGGAGGAGTGGGGCTGAGTGGGGGGGGACAAAGAACGGCATCCGGTTGCCTTTGCAGTGCCATTTTCTAGTAGAGGAGTGGAGATGCCTTTGGTAGAGCACATGGCAGCCGTTCCTGTATGATCGTTGAACATTCTTATCAGAGATGGGGATTCCACGGTCCAACCGTGGCCCACGGGAAATGGAAATTGGAGCATACATAAATCCGGATCGAGCACTGCGGCTAACTTCAAAAAAGTTGGCACCGCCATTTATCCCTGGATACACCGGAGAAGTACACGTTCAGAAGCCTTGTGAAACTTTTAGACGGGCCTTGCGCATTGATCACAAATGGGTACTATTGTGACCGTCTGTGCAGTACAATGCTAACGTACTTACCCCTCGTTTTCAACGTTAACAACGTTGACGTTAACCCTTGTCGAACCCCGCGCGCCGTCACCCCAGTACGTCCTCTGGTAGCAGCTGGCCCCAGAGTAATACTGCACTTTCACAGTATACGGCCATTTCTTCGTGCCCGTTCATTTCACGACTTTCATCCACTTCTAACGCCCCCGAGATGAAATTCCTTCAGGATCAGTTGTTCCTTCACGACAACTGCGCTTTATGTGAGTCCAGCAGCGGCTCAGCGTCCAAGAATCCAAGATCCAGCCCCACCGTATGACAGCTTATCAAATGTTTCAAACTGTTCCTCGGCACGGGTCCAGGAACCTGATCAACGAGTACAATGTTGCAACTATCACTGGCTCGGAGAGCCCAGGGTCGAGATAGCAATTTTTGTCAGGGACCCGGTTATGGCAACGTTGACTCTCGCGCCACAGCTCGTCACAAGATACACCCCAGACTGCTATGCACTATTCCCTGAATTGGCCTTCGAAACGCAGCTCCAATTTTGCTACCTGCACAGTACAGTCACTGCACGGCCAGCTTACGGCAACCGTTCGCCGGATTTTCACACTGCTAAGTGGCTCCCACGTATTCCAAATAATTCCGCACAGCAGGTGTGGATATATATTTTTACCGCGGTGGTACGGCGTATGCTGTCTAGGTAGCATGAATTACTTCTGATCATATGTTTCTCATCCCCTTCAGGCACAGCATTGACTTGCAGGTAACGGGTGTGCGAACTTACATAAAAGTCGCGCCCATTTCACTCTTCCCCAAATACGGCGGTGATTATCACCATCGTCCGCAGTTTCGCCAATCTGCAAAAGTAACTGACTTTTCATGCTTCTGAGATCGTTTCTGCCAGTACAGACTTACTTATCCCGCTTCCCTCTCTTGTCCATGAAGGTTTTCTCCACAACTGTAGTCTCGCCTAGAGAAGCTGTCAATGCTTGAAGAGCATTGAATGTTATGACCATGATCATAAACATGTCCTGATCTCTGGGGGACGTGGTCCGGTGCGTGCACTCGAACCAGGACGCGACCACGTTATTTGCCGGGATTACGTCTGAACCACCAGCTCTTGCTTGAGGTAAGTTCATGGTTACTATGTACACAATGTCTGTAAATAGCAGCCAATCTCCACGAACAAGTTCGGTGGTCCGAATACTGAGATATAATACTTGTCGCAACAGGCTCGACTGAACCGGGGTGTCAGCTCTTCCGTGTATCGGATAGATGACACCTCTGACTGTAGACCAGCGATCTTTAGAGATGTCTTCAACTGACTGACACGCGGTAATGTACAATACTACCTCTTCCTGAGATTTACACCCCTGCGAACGCAAGCTGCTGGTGATGCTAGAGTTGGACAAATCTTGCAAAGATAGCTGGCATCCAACATCGCGGAGCACTGGTCTCGAACCAGACATGCTATGAGAGTACATGGGCCACACCCTCGGAATCCTCTGTAGTCTGCGGCGTGGCCGAAGGGAGCCCACAGGTGAGCATCTGGTCCTTCATCACACACTAGTAGCACACAAGGATCAGACTCCATATAGCTACTGAGTACTGAGTAGCATAGATAGTAGATGAACAATGATTTGGAGCTGATTTTCACAAAGATAGACATGTCTCGGGGCGGATAACAAATGACAAGGCTGGAGATGTACCAACCGGGCAGTATATACATGTCCGAAATGTGGAAAGTCATTCTATTTAGCAGCCAGACCAGATATACTTCCTACAAACATCGTGATGACCGAATAGCAAAAAATACATCAGACTGGAAATAGCATGCATCGAAGACAATGTTGCTTCCTGCAAAAGCTCTGCTGACCCTCCATCCTCTGACAAGGCATGAGCATCTTCCATGCATTCAAATATTTTTTCGATATATCTACCTGCACTGAAGACATGGGCAAGAATGTCACATACTTCGGGTACTGGGAAATAAGCCAGTCACAAATTCCTCTAAGTTTATATGTGTTGTGTTCCTCTTATGATGTGAGGTCCTTGTTCAGATGCCAAAGACAAAAGGAGAGAAAATATGGTGCAAACCGTTGCAGCTGAACCAGAATCCATAACCGATCGAAACGGACACGAAGCGATTTTTCCATTGTCACTATGTTTTCCAATCGATGCATATTGGGACCATTGAGCTCCTTCCATAGTCCCAAGTAACCAAAGCATTCAAGGGCCCCCCAAACGGAGGCAGCATATGTCACCTAGAGTAATGATCAACAACGAAGAACGTGGTTGAGTGAAAAATTAATTTCGGTCGAGTCTGGTGTGATATTTGCGTTGGTAAACTCTGGAAAGATGTGAACACACTGAGTGAACCCTCCCTCCGCTCCTTCACACATAATCTTCATTTCCATCTCTCTGTTGCACATGGCAGCGTCCCAATCATACACCTTCGTAACAGGACACTGAAAGCTGTTTCTAATAAGAGCCTATTTGGGACATATGTAAGACAACGTGTCTAGATTATGTAAAAGGTGATGATACAAACATGTTTTTGTAGCCGTTCGATGATCTTGAGGGGCCTCTTGCAGCATACACTCTATCAGCTTTGTGACATTACCAGGGGAGTGTGGTGATAGAAAAGACGAAAACGACGGCAGTTGTCCTTCGTTAGACTTAAGCATGCCACGAGTAAAAGCCACCGAGGACGTACACGATCGAATGAAGAAATCATAATAGATCTCCCCTAACTGGAGTAGTTTGTCTTGCTGACTGTTGGTTGTTATGATTCCCCTGACAAATGGTTTGATATCGCGAACAGGAAAATGATGAAAGAGATAACCAAGGATTCTACAGTGAGTCAAGTGCTTCTCTAAGTCTTTCCCCAATTTGAATGCTCCAATCAAAGTCACGGCGCAAGTTGTAGCTGTTGGCGATCTCGTGGATGGCCTCATATCCTAGGAAGCATGATGCACCGAATCCGGGTCTAGGGGTCCATTAGTTATTATGGTAGTAACTCCTCACACCGATAGCTCGACGCTCATGCATATGCATCACGCCTCACTTCTCTCTGAGAACAGACGCTCCGCTGTCACGTCCCGGCACGGTGCCTAGATACACGACCGATAACGGCTTCATGACGGGCAAGTTGGTAACTCCTCACACTGATAACTCGATGCCATGCCTGACGTCTCTCGTGCCTGGTTGCGTAACTGATAACGACTTCACGACGGAGATCTGAAAAACGCTGATGCGGCACAAAGGCATCACGGAGTCGAGTGATATGAGGTAGTCTCCTGCTACAAGTATGCAGCTATGCTATAGTTCAAGGGAAGATAGTCGTTCTTCAAATGCGCAGTATATGTTAGGCGGTAGGAATGCTCAATGCTTTCAGAGGCCAGTGGCTGGGTTACATGAAGTCTATGGCACGTTTGCGACCTCGGGGAGGACCTATGTCGTATGGACTATTCATGACGTCTGGATCAAGAGAGGAATCAGGGGGCAAGTCTTTCACGATGTCAGGTGGGGGTTTCTCCACCCACGTCTCCTCTCCTCTCCCTCCCTCCCTTTTCTTTCTCTTCTTCGGCCTGTCACGATCACGGTCTCTTTTATGTCGTAGACCAGACAGCGAGAGCGCTTCTCCACCCTCTTCATCGAGATCGAAGGAGACAAGCACGCCACCCTTAGCACCTTTCGATTTCTTGCTCTTTTTGTCCGTCCCAGAGTGCTCCTTCTCTTTCGCCTTAGTTTTGGCTTGCGGGTCGCGGGGTATGAATGTCGGTTTAAAGTTAGACATGTCAATGTCAGCGGCCAAGGTTTCACTCGGCAACTCCGCAGGAGTAGCAGCCTGAGTTGACGATGACGGTTCTGGCACTATCGAACTGTCTGCCGTCTCGTGCGCCTTGGTATCTTCCTCGTCACTATTTTCCGCATCGCTAGCGAAAATAGCTTTGAATATGTCCATCGCTGGCCTCTCATAGGTGAGAATATCGTCCCCTTGACTGTCATCCTCTCCAAGGCCAATGTTAGCCAGATCGCGTTTGTAAGCGATGCCGCCGTCACTCTCTACTGGAGTGAAGCCTAGGGGGGCAGCGCCCGACGAAGTGTCATCTGCAGAAGGGGGATTGAAAGATGATGCAGGGGCTCCTGAATCGTATTGCATATCAGGGTTGGGATCCTTGACGCCGAAACGTTTACAAAGCAAGCGTGCCGGTTGCCAGGGCTTAACTTCCCTCGTCATTGGACCATACATTCCCAGTCGTGCCGCGTGCGCCTTTTGATCCTCTTCCTTTGGATCCTCCTTAGGAGGCTCTTCAGGAAGGTCCTCTGGCAATGTTGGCTCTTCCATTGGCTTATGCAACCCCTCGACAATCTTGGGCCCTGATTCTAGCACAGCAGCGCTCGTAAACCGTCCTGCCATCGCACCAGTTACAGGACGGAACAAAGCCGCAGCCTTTGCGTACTCGTTTAACTCAAAAGCATACGACTCCGGCTTCTGGTCGTGCAGGCCGTGGAGGTATGGATGCATCCGATCCTGGTTCAGCATATGTACGAAGGAAAGCGGTATATCGAGCCTGCTTTTTCGGATTGGAAGCAAATGGCTGGAACCCACGTAGAGCTGCCTCGGCGATATGGGCTTCAACATGAGGTATTGAAACCCCACGTGGACCAGGGGGAGTCTCAGATGTTGTAGGAACAGCAGCCTCACCAGGGGATAGAGAGGGCATCGAACGGCCTGCCGCGATATTCTTGATTTTTTCTTGATCTTTCTTGGACATGTAATCGAAAACAGACCGCGGCGCAGCAGGGAGAGACGTTTCTCCAAGAGCAGCACCTCGCTTTGCATAGACATGAATCAGCTGTCGGACAGCACACACGCCTGCACTTACCTGATCAGGGGTGATGCCTGACTTCCACTGAGCATGAGTTTGGGGTTGTGACGGGACAGCAATCGATGTAACATTCTCCTTGTCCTCGATTTGTGCTTTTGCTTTCTCCCAGACTTGCTTTGGATTGGGAGTCCATCCTTGTGGCACGTCCGGTATGGGAAACCTGACAGAATAGGAAACTTAAATCTTTGAACTGTGCGGCGAAACGCGATTGCAAGTACCACATATCTTCCGCCACTGGTTTATCAGATAAAACGAAGCCGGACAACACGGGGGTACCGTCCCGGAAGGCAGCATGGACAATTCCTCGTCTCTAGAAGTACATCAGCTGAACTGTACCGCTAGAAAGTGACTAGTAAGTATCACCTACATCCCTTGGCTGGGTAGTCTGTGCCCGGAGGCTCCGCGATTGCGTTGATGAAGGGCCTTCCTTTCCCAATGACAATGCGCTCGTCATCCTGAACGTCGGTAACATCGAAAGCAGTCCTATTCTTGCCGAGACTTGCAGCATGGTCATATACGTCCAGGTCATCTTCATCCGCATCGTTCATCACGCCAAGTCCAAAACCGCCTGAGAAACCTAAGTTGCGAACCCTAGCGAGAGAAATAAGCGGGCAAACCTGCCAATCTAGGCCCTTGTTTTGCACTCGAACTCCCTTGAACAGCACCTGAACTTGCATGTAAGCCGAGTCCCTTGTTGTATCCAATCCCATGAAAATCATCTTTACGCCCCACAACAACAAGCGGCGTGTCTCGCGGCGGATAAGTATGCTTCTTAGCCTCCTCGTCGACCTCCGTTGCGCTGGGATCCCGGCCATACTGAATTTCATGTTGTCGCCATGACACTCTAGGTCCTATCCCCCAACCTAACCTCCAGCCCATCTTCTTGAGGATACGCGCACCAACCGAATCTTTCGGTGGAGGAACGGTCGCCTCTTCCAGGGCAAGTGTAATAGGGCTGGCGTTGATATGAGTAGCGAAAACAACCAGCAGAACAACAACAAACTCTTTCTCCGTCTCCTCCAACCCATCCTTTCGCCCTCTTTCTGCCATAGTCCCTCCAACAATATCCATCTCATCGTGCTCAGCTACTAGCTTCTGGTCCTGCGCGCAGTTCTGCAAGGTCTTCTTCGTCCATAAAGTCCTCCGGCCGAGCGACTCGGCCTTTGGCACGGTCGGTACGTGAGGATATGAATGTAGAAGGTGTCCATCCTACGTAGCTGTTAGTCTCCCTCGACGTTGAAAAGTATCGTGAGGAGTACCTTCCTTGGAACCGACAGTGTTGAAAAACCCGGCTGAGAATCCACCGCTGAAAGCACCATGCAACCTTTTTCGTCCCTTTTCATCTCTGACCTAGGCCGTTTGTTCAAAATCCACGTAAGCCATTGATGATACGATACCGACCTCTTGCTTCCACACCGGTACAAACTCGCCCGTGTCCTTGGACTTCTCGAGCGGCGGCAACGGAGTCCCGATCTACAGTGAACTTGTTATGGTCTGGTCGGATGGTGGGCACGAGCAGAACTCACTAGGCAGAAGTTTTCATTGGCTCTCCTGCTAGAAATGTCAACCCCGAGGTCTCCAAGTTTCCGTTTGAGCTTTGCCGTGCTCATCGTCTGACGCCTTGTCATCCGAATCCCGACTGTTTGTAGCCGAATACTATCCTGACCCTAAGGTTGGGTTTACACGGCATGAACACCTCAGTAGTTCACATTACATAGTCATTCCATCAAGTACTCCATTACTGACGAGCCCGAGGGAATAATCAAGTCTTGCAGATGACACTTGTGGTTATGGCATCCACTCCTGGCCACCCAGTCTCGGTTCTCACTCCTCCTCCTCCTCTTCCTCTGCCCCCTTTTCCTGGTCCTCCTCCCCACTGTCTTCTTGATCTTCGGTACGTTTCCGCTTTCCAATTTTTGCGTTTTCAGCGTCGGACTCATCTCTAGATCTATTTCCTGAGACAGTTAGGCACGTTAGTCGTGTGCCCTTAGTATCGTACTCCGCCACGGGGCGTAACTGCATTGGTTCTGTAATGCCGTCATGCAACACTGCTAGATCATACACAAAAATGTTTCCGTCGGATGAGATGGTACAAGCTATTGTCGTCGACTTCCGGGCGTTCTTTGTGTTGGTTTCTGGTTCTGGTACAGCAACTTCGAGCGTTTCCACGGCTTTGACGCTGAAGTATCAGTACGACGTAAATGATGTGTTCGCTCATACGCCTTGGAGAATGTACAGACCGATTAGAGTGGCCAGTCATTTCAGCAATAATTGATGGAGGCTTTTCTGGGTCCTCCAAAAAGTGATATATAGATACCTTCTTATCTTCCGCCGCGACAAGCATTAGTTCTCCGCTGCCGGCCCACCTACAAAATCGCACGCTGTGAATCCTGGAAGCGTGTGATAAGCTATGGCGCAAAACCATATCCTACACCGGGAAAAATGAGCAGATGTAGCAAAAAGATAATGCGAGAGAAACCTACAGTGGAAAATATTTCGAGGGTCGAGTGATACTGTACAATGAAAAACGTCGTTCCAACTGACCACCGCACGATCTCTCCCTCTGATGAAGGCAATCAATCCAAGGCTGGAGCAACATGGGAGGGTAAATACCTTTCCCCAACTTAATGCTAGCAGACCCCTTTCCGCGCATCAAATCCCACATACGAAGTGTGCGATCTTGTCCAACACTCAGTGCAATTTTTCCAGATGGATGGATTGCAACAGAGTTGACACGGCCCTTATGACCTTTGAAGGTGCGGAGAACGACCCAGTCGCGTGCATGGAATAAGCTTAGTGTGCCGTCCTCGGACGCAGAGAGTAGATGGGATCGCGATGGAAACTCCAGGTATGTGATAGATCCTGGATAATCGGGAATTGTGTCCACGTGAGGTGCACCTGGTAATTCGGAAAACGTTACCTTCGTGGTGCATCAAACCTCCTATTTCTTTCCTCCTTGCCAGATCCCATACTTTGATAATTTCATCCGCACTTCCTGTTGCTAGCCATTTTCCACCTGGCGAAGCTGCAACAGCTTTGATATGAGAGACATGCGCGGGGAATATGAAAATTGGCTTCAAGTGAAACTCGTATCCAGATTTCGAGGAAGCTGCTGTGCCCTCCAATCCGTAGAGTAACTTCTCATAAGAACCTGCGACAATTTTGAACGACGTTGGGAAGTATTGATTGTTGAGAGGGTTGTAAGGATGTGCCGTCGACCTCTTTTGCTTTTTCTTTACCCTTCGGATCAGAAGGAATGACTGGCTTTAGTTTTGAAGATTTTTGTCGTAAATCCTTAGGAGAAGAAGGTTCGTATCTGACCCTCTTATCCTTCCGATACGCCTTTTGTTTCCTGGAAACTTCTACCATCGGGTGGATTGCAATGTTGGCGGCCGTGTCTGCAGTGGCTAATGTGCTTCCCAAATTCGGAAGTAGATCGTTGACGGAGGGAGCCGGGCCGCTGCCAGTCCAATGATGAAATCGGACACCGCGCCCAGCTCGACGCCATGAGATCAAGACCTATCACCCGGTGTCAACGACTGTTTCGCAGCTCAAGCACAACGTCAAGCAGCACCCTACGTACACCACCGACCGGGAGTGATGTTGAGGCTCTCGACGCTGGTGTCAATGCCCTCACTTCAGTAAGCTCCGAACGCAGCACCGGAGGTTATGGCCAACTGCAGGGTCTTTCAATAGCCATCAAAGACAACATTTGCACATCGTCTCTGCCGACAACATGTTCCTCCGCCATACTGCAGCGTCAGTCTTGTGGAACTTCATTTTCATCTGCTGGCCTTATTTTTTTTACATGTGCAGAATACCAGTCCCCTTTTGACGCAACTGTCGTCAGGCTTTTACGCGACGCAGGGGCCCATATCGTCGGAAAGACTAATTGTGACGAGTTTGGAATGGGGTGAGCTTTCGTCTCTTCTGTCCATCTCTTCCTAAACCAATCCCCCATTTAAACCACAGTTCCCTGAACCTGAATTCAGTACATGGACCCGTCATAAACCCTTTTCAAACCGCACCAAACGTCCCTGCGGCCCAGGTGGAACACAGATCAGCAGGAGGCAGTTCTGGCGGAAGCGCTGCAAGCGTGGCTGCAGGCATCTGCGACGCGTCAGTGACGATGGATGTCGGTACACCGCGCGTTGTGCTCATGAACTATTTCTAGGGCTCTTGGTACCGACACTGGCGGGTCTGTGAGACTTCCCGCATCATACTGCGGCGTCGTGGGCTTGAAACCATCCTACGGTATTATTAGTCGGTTGGTTTGATTACCCTCGTCTTTTCCACAGTTTCGCCCACCACACATTCTCAGTTGGGGCGTCATTTCCTTCGCAGACAGCCTTCGACTGCGTCGGAATATTGGGGAAGTCCGTCAGGTATTGTAAAACGCGTATTCGGTGGGTGGTTTGAGTCCAGTCAAGGCGTTCACTCATGTAGATTTAGACACGGTAGCAACGTACGATCCCCGGGATCCCACTGCAGCTACTCCTGACTTGCGCGAGAGAGCACGCCAATTCAATAGCCCTTTTCTCTCTGTCACGACCTCAACGCATCAACCACGTTCATTAGAGGGCCTTCGGATCGGGATTCCTCTCGAGTACTTCCCCTCAGAACTTGATCCTAGTATCGTCGACGTTTTGCGCACTGTCCTCCGTCGTCTCGAAGAAGCCGGCGCAACTCTTACATCGGTCACCGTTCCTGCAACACAGTATACGCTTAGCGCATACTATGTAATTGCGAGCGCGGAGGCCTCTAGTAACCTCGCCCGCTTCGACTCCGTCCGCTATGGTATGTTGTGATCTTCGCATTTTCTAAATAAAGCGCGCAAGCGCTGACTTGCCTGATACACTGATACACGAGCAGGACTTCGCACCGCGCCACCACTTGGAGCCACCGCCTCCAAATCCAGTGATGTATTTGCCCACTCACGTTGCGCTGGTCTTGGAAAAGAAGTTCAGAAGCGTATTTTGCTCGGAACATACGCCCTCACCGCCGAGTGAGTGCTCGTCGTAGTACTTTTTGTTGTGTTAATAGTTCTTTCTTTTCTTTCAGTGCTTTTGATAACTATTTCTTGCAGGCCCAGCGTATCCGCGGGCATGTCAGAAGAGACTTTGACAGAGTGTTTCGCCATCCCTGCGCCCTGTTGGAGCGGCCATTTCCTCCTGAGGATGGTGTCGACGTCTTGCTCCACCCTTCCGCCATTCGCACGGCACCTCCACTTGATAGAACGGCGCAGGAAAGTCATAGCGGTGATAAAGCTGCTCTCGACCTGAGTGAGTATTTACAAGATATTATGACTGTGCCTGCGTCCCTTGCTGGGCTTCCTGCGCTCAGTATCCCTGTTGGGACAGGGGCTGATAGCTGGCCAGTGGGCGTAAGCGTAGTTGGCCAGTGGGGATGTGACAACCTCGTGATGCATGTCGGGAAGGCAATCGAAGAGCTGAGCTGAGAAAACAATTCCTTTGTTCTGTCCTTCACTCCTCAAAGTAAGCGCGAGATATTGGAATAGGAGGAAGTATATCTTGTCACTAGGGTGGTGAATGTAAGTGTGCTCTGCGGGAACTAGATAAACAGGTAGATAGATGGCGCGGAATCTATCGTCAGCGCATATTAGGTGAAGGAAACAGGGACATTAGATCGGCAATTATGGGCTCACGACACACCAGTACCCTTCGCCTTCCGCAAAGGGACCGTGCGCCTTCTTCCACATCCGAACGATGGCGGGGTGGGTCTGTAAGGGCCTAGGCTTTTCATTTCGAGGACGTCACGTGACCGGCAATGAAGATCTCATTGCGAACGAATCTGATTAATTCTTGCAACTAATCTCAGGTGGACACCATTCCACCGTCCTCTGGATCATCCAGCAGACATGGAGGGCAGGGTAATCACAAGGTCGCCCAGCACATTTTCCGCATCGGCACTTCGTGAGAAATTGACACACCTAAGCTACCTCTCCACTACGCCCAGTTGTCTCACTTCATGCTTCCATCGAGTTGCGTAATAGTCTATAACTCGGAAAGATCATTGCTAAAGGCATCTTTCACTCACTACAGCTTTGTGCCTGCCAAGATACCGCGAAAACGCAGGTTGCAAACGTTGGCAGTTGCTGTTTGGTCCACAGTAATTATAATTTCCGTCTCCCTGTTTTTGTATCTCTGGTGCGCCCCTTCCTGATTACTTTGTTGACTAAAGACTAGTTACGAGCTAAAAAAATGAACATAGTTCGATACCCGCCCTCTGGCCTTTGATCGCAGTATATCTCATCTGGATGTCATGGATAGATAAGAGTCCCTGAACATGGCACAAGGCTGAGCCCATGGTTCCGCTTCCCTGAAATTATGGCGGTACTTTGCTGAATACTATCCTGCATCGTGCGCAGTACTTTTCTGGTGTCCGGTGTTTGTGTTGCTGATGCCTTCTGTATGCTCGCAGACTCTTGAAAGTGAGTGCTTCCCTCTAAAGCTGGAGTAGTAGTGACCGGTGCTTCTCACGCAAGGAATGTGATCTTCCCCCCGATCGCCCATACGTATTCGGGTATCACCCTCATGGTCAGTGTTGCCTTTACCGACTCTAGATCAGCGCTTTTGATGAACAAATGCAGGAATTATCGGAATGTAAGAAGGTCGCCTAAGTTAATCAGAAGTACGCTGTTTTACCGAAATCACTTTCTAGGGGTGCTCTTGCTACCTTTGCAACCGAAGGTATATACTTGGAATCAAAGTTTGGTTCACTCTGACAATCATCCGGGTTAGCCACCGGGTTCTCCGCGGCTTTCCCGGGTATCCGGCCGCATCTTCTCACCCTTACTAACAATTTCGATGTTCCGGTGTACCGAGAGATTCTTGCGGCCCTCGGAATTAGCAGTGTTTCCAAGCAGTCCTGCTCGAACATTCTGAAACGTGGACCAGGGGAGGCAATCACCATTGTCGTAGGTGGCGCAGCCGAGAGTTTGAGTGCACGTCCAGGTACCGCAGATCTCACTCTGAGACGGAGGTACGTCCTTCAACCCTCCCGCTGTACCTTCTTTTGACTTGCCACCCTTCAGACTTGGATTCATCAAGGTTGCTATCCAGCACGGGTATTCTGTCTCTGCCCGAGTTTAGGCCAATAGACGTTGACACGAACCTCTTTCCCCCGTAGCGCTGACCTTGTTCCTGTATTTTCTTTTGGAGAAAACGACGTATGGACTTTATGACTTCTGTTTGCTCCTCGCCTCACCGTGATTTTCTAGATATACCAGCAGATGGCCAATGAAAGAGGCACCACGATCTACGCCCTGCAGAAGAGGTTCCAGAAGATGTTTGGGTTTACCCTACCGCTCTTCCATGGAAGGGGGCTCATGAATTGTACCATATTTTTCCGAGGTCGCGTCTTACGATCGATAGCTGATGTATAACGTAGACAACTTGGGGTTGCTCCCCTACCGCCGCAGAATTGTGTCTGTCAGTGAGTCTACAGTTTGCATACCCATCTTCTTTCCTCTCTTATCCCCTTTTAAGTCGGCTGCCCTATTCATATCGAAAAGTGCGAGAAACCCAGCCTAGAGGAAGTGACACGAGTACAAACGAAATATATTGAGGAAATCACCAGGTGTGTAACCTCCAAATTTTCGTGCAGCACCATCGATCGAGCTCCTCTTTGCCTAGAATATGGAACACGTATAAAGACGAGTTTGCAAAAACGCGAAAGAGGGAACTCAGCATTATTGATTAGGACAATACAACCTTGGCACGTAACAGTTATTTTCTTCAAGTTTAACATTAGCGTACGTAGGTAGTAAGCGTAACGAAGCGGACTCTATACAATCGACATCACAACTAGTATTATTGTAGTGTCTCAGCCATTGAAGTTGGAATGTATTCATATGGATGGATCACGCTTGAATATGGAAGAAATTGTAGATAGGCTGCAACATGTCGAAAGCCATCAGACACCAAAGGAGAATGCATGAGCTTCGCCATGCTCGTCCCGGCGAATACTACAGACACGTGAATAGGATTGGTTTTGCACCTGGGGCAAAGCGCCCGCCCGTCTGTAGATATGGTCCTAGATCTCTTCGTCATCAAAGTCGATCTCTTCAGCAGGAAAGTCTCCAATTTTAACTCTGTCTGGGCGTACGAAAACGCCATAATTTGGACGACAGGCGAAATATCGTTCCCCTTGAACACTTTCGAATGCGAATGAGCATTTGTACAGCTGGAGAGGCGTGTCCACTCACGATCCGTCATTGCGACCGATCGGCTCATCATACTCCACACCGACCCAGACACCGGTCTTAGCGAACTTTGTGGGTCCGACAAAACGCACCGTGCCGCGCTTGTGCAAACCTTCCTCAGTAGACTCGACTTCGCATCGCGCACCGATTGGGATGTTTACTTGTGGCGCAGGTGAAGATGATTCGGACGGCGGGGCAAAGCGACCCATCTTGTGTTGTTGCTTGTAGGCAAGGACGGTGTCTGAAGCATGTCAGTGTATGGCAAAGCCTCGCGAGGCAGCACCTAAACCTGTTCTTTTGGCGTAAGCTTCCTCGCTAAGTTCAAACTTTTCAACATTAGAGGTATCGGACAGCTGCCCAGTGAAGGACGTCGAAGGGTTGGTGTCTATAACCTGCAGGGAAGGAACAACGTGTCAATCCTGCGAGAACGGTGCACCTGGACGGCCAGATTACCTTGAGGGTCTGCAAGTTCGACAGGCTATAATACCCAAGCTGCTTGGAATCATCGGTAAGCTGCGCGATCGTCTGGCCATCGTTGTTTTCGACCACGATCTTCTGATTCTGCACTGGGATGCCCGTGATGAGCTCGAGCTTTGCCTGTGTTGCGATGCTAGATGATCAAGTACATCATCATGCGTGTACCTCAAACAGGTACCTTGAGCTGTTCGACAGTGATGTGGAGATCGAAACGCCGCTCCGAGCGCGTATCCGGGGATTCCACAAAGACGTTCACGATGGTCGACATGTTCTGGGAAAAAGGGAGGCGGGCAAGCTTGGCCCCTTCCTCCGTACATGTCGGGTTACTATATTTGTGGTCATAGCTAACATCCAACATGCTCTCAGGATGTGCCAGACCTCGTCTTTTGCGAGCTCGGTTGTGTCTGGACAAAGCGTTCCTCAGTGGCTCTTCGATAGAGGTGGGCCTGAGGACTTGCACAACATGCATGACCTCCTCTGATATGTACTATGTTCACCGATAGTCTCTCCAAGCGGCCTTCAGAAACCCATCTTCCCCGTTTCACATACCCCCAGGCGAAACAGGCCCGGCATCACCAGACGACCCTCCACCGTCTTGTGAAACCAACCGCTTTGATCTCCAACAGGACACTGACCCACATGGCGCGTTGCCCGCGGAACGTGCTGAAAAGGCACGGGAGGCTCTGATATCCATGGGGTGCGACGCAGATACTCTGTGGGAACAAAGTATTGTCTGGGGATATCATGATGCATTCAGGCAAGAGCTTCCTCTGGAGCTTCCTTAGGCTTTTGCTGACAGTCCGACGATACAAAAGGCATGTCAACAATGCTCATTACTGTAAGAACGGTCTCTTAGCAGTATGAGGATTAGTTCTGAAGTTCCCAAACGAACACAGTGCGCTTCATTGAGTCGGTGAGTCTATAATCTATCCTTCGTACCTCGGCGACCATGGGGATTACTTGGATGGAATAGGGTCGTATGCAATGGGCCATGAAGTTAGGGGATATCCTCGGCGGAAGGGAACGTGTCGACGCGATGCTTGCGGGGAAAGGCGTATCCCTCATCCTGAAGTCCATTAATATCAACTTCAGAAAACCAGTCACTTTTCCCGACACGGTATCTGCGATTTCTCTACCGTGAATTGGGATCCATCCCACTGAACCATGTTGCAGCTACTTGTCGGTCACAAGGCCATAGTGTCGTCAAGCCGCACTCAATTCCTGCTGAATGCTGTCCTATACTCGTACGCACAACAAAAAGTGGTGGCGGATGCTGAGGGTGTTATTGTCTGGTACGATTACGACCGACTGAAGAAGTGCGATCCGGGTGATGTTGTCTGGAGGGCTCTCAGAGATGGCATGGGGGCTGAATACAGGGAAGGTATCGGACGTCCATCCCGTCGGTTAGTCTAGATACGGTATTATGTGCACTGCCCCAGTACACAGTGGAAGGTTCACGAAAGGATGTTGTGGCGTGGCTGGACGCGCGGCCTCTGCAGTCGCCTTACAAAAGCTGAAAACGAGTGGAAACCAATGATCTGCCTGACACTCTCCCAACCAAACCAGCGTGATGGCTGATCCCAGTGGTGCACCACCTCAGCCCGGTCCCAATGATACCGCAACCGCTATTCTGCGTCCCAAGAAATCGTACGTATCCGAATACTCGAGGCGAACTAGTCGGCTGATGTGACCGAACCTCCACGAAATCCAGCCCAAATCGTCTCATAGTAGATGAAGCAACGTCAGATGATAACTCGGGTAGGTCAACCATAGTGCTTTTCGTGGTCCTCATTAATGCGATCGCAGTTGCTACCCTCAACCCGGCAACCATGGAGTTGCTCTCCTTATTCCGAGGCGACACCATCATCGTCAGGTGCGTGAGTGCACAACTGGTGTGCCTTCCCCTGACTTGACCTTCCATATCATCATTAGAGGAAAGAAACGGCATGATACCGTCCTGATCTGCCTGAGTTCTGACGATGTCGAGGAGGGCCGCATTCAGATGAACAAGGTAGCTCGTAATAACCTGCGCGTGAAACTCGGAGATCTTGTCAACGTGCACCAATGTCTTGACATCAAGTATGGCAAGAGGATACATGTCCTACCATTCGACGATTCCATCGAAGGTCTCAGTGGGAACTTGTTCGACGTCTACCTGAAGCCTTACTTCCTTGAGGGTGCGTCAAGGCCAAATTCCATACAACTTCCAAGTGCTAACTAAGTACCAGCATACCGCCCCGTCCGCAAGGGCGATACATTCCTTGTGCGAGGCGGCATGCGACCGGTCGAATTCAAGGTCATTGAGACCGACCCTGCAGAATATTGCATCGTAGCCCAAGATACCGTTATCCATACCGGTGGGCAGCATCGCCCGTCCCATGTATTGGGTTGTTGACATCTCAATCTCAATTAGAGGGAGACCCCGTGAAACGCGAAGATGAGGAGGCAAACCTCGCGGATGTTGGTTACGACGATATCGGTGGATGTCGCAAACAGATGGCTCAGATTCGTGAACTCGTGGAACTGCCTCTTCGACACCCACAACTCTTCAAAGCCATCGGTATCAAGCCTCCACGGGGTATCTTGATGTACGGTCCTCCAGGCACAGGCAAAACACTCATAGCTAGGGCCGTGGCCAATGAGACGGGCGCATTCTTCTTCCTGATTAATGGCCCTGAGATTATGAGTAAAATGGCTGGAGAAAGTGAAAGCAATCTACGAAAAGCTTTTGAAGAAGCTGAGAAGAACTCGCCTGCAATCATCTTCATTGATGAGATTGATTCTATAGCTCCAAAGCGTGAAAAGGTAAGGCTAGTATTACTGTACCTTTCTTCTCCTTTTGACTGCCTTCTAGACCAATGGCGAGGTCGAACGTCGTGTCGTATCCCAACTTCTTACTCTAATGGACGGTCTTAAGGCCCGTTCTAACGTTGTAGTGATGGCTGCCACTAACCGTCCGAACTCCATCGACCCCGCTCTTCGACGTTTTGGGCGTTTTGACCGTGAGATCGACATCGGTATCCCAGACCCAACAGGCCGGTTGGAAATTCTACGTATCCATACTAAGAACATGAAGCTAGCGGATGATGTGGATCTAGAACAGGTGCGTCTTGTCACACAACGTTAGGAGAGTGCTTTATTTTGATGGGTGTTTAGATTGCCGCTGACACTCATGGCTATGTCGGGTCCGACATCGCATCTTTGTGCTCGGAGGCGGCAATGCAGCAAATACGTGAAAAGATGGATCTTCATCGACCTTGATGAGGATACCATAGATGCAGAGGTGCTTGACTCGCTAGGCGTCACGATGGACAACTTCCGTTTCGCTCTTGGCACATCCAATCCCTCTGCCTTACGCGAGACCGCTGTGGAGGTACCCACCGTCACCTGGGACGACATCGGAGGTCTGGAGAAAGTCAAGAAAGAGCTTGCAGGAGACTGTCCAATATCCTGTCGAACATCCCGAGAAGTTCCTCAAATATGGCATGTCACCATCAAAGGGTGTGCTATTCTATGGCCCACCGGGAACTGGTAAAACGCTGCTGGCAAAGGCCATTGCGAACGAATGCAATGCCAACTTCATCAGCATCAAAGGGCCTGAGTTGCTCACGATGTGGTTTGGTGAATCCGAGGCGAACGTCCGTGACGTTTTCGACAAGGCTCGCGCCGCTGCCCCTTGTGTTATGTTCTTCGACGAGCTTGATTCCATTGCCAAAGCTCGTGGTGGTTCTTTGGGAGATGCGGGAGGAGCAGGTGACCGAGTACTTAACCAGCTGCTCACTGAGATGGATGGAATGAATACGAAGAAGAACGTCTTCATCATTGGCGCCACAAACCGACCTGACCAGATTGACCCTGCGTTACTTCGTCCAGGACGGCTTGATCAACTCATCTACATCCCTTTGCCTGATGAGGTCTCGCGTCTGGCGATCCTGAAGGCTGCTCTGAGGAAGTCGCCGATTGCTGATGATGTTGACCTTACCTATCTTGCGAAGTCGACACACGGATTTTCCGGAGCTGACCTTACAGAAATATGCCAACGTGCTGCGAAGCTCGCCATCCGCGAGAGCATCGAGGCGGATATTCAGAGGCAACGTGAGAAGAGGGAAGAGGATGACGACAACAAGATGGAAGAGGACGCAGAGGAAGATCCTGTACCCGAGATCACCAAAGAGCACTTCGAAGACGCAATGAAATTCGCCCGTCGCTCTGTCTCGGACCAGGATATCAGGCGGTACGAGATGTTTGCTCAGGTAAGCCACGCTGGACCGGGTAAATTCTGGTGTGCGACCTTAACTTTAACCTTGCAGAATCTACAACAATCTCGCGGGTTTGGTATGAACTTCCGCTTCCCTGACGCACCAGAGAGCAGTGGGGCCGGGGCCGGATCGGCTGGCAACGCTGGTTTCCAGGAAGAGGCGGAGGATGACTTGTACGCGTAATGCATTGCTATGCTCGCATGCCGCGACGTTTGTCGTGGTTTCTGGCTTTGAAATTCTTGTATATTTCCACTCCTCGAGGGGGTACTGTACTAGACATCGCCATCAGGGTTTGATATGATTTCGAAATTCTACATTTTGTATCATAGGAAAAGCAGTAATATTGCACACTCATTCCTAGTTCCATATCCCCGAACTCCTGGGCCCAATGAGTCGATCACTGGTTAAGTCATCCCAATATTGCATGTACCGTATCCTAGTAGTATCCAACGAAAGGCTTGCGACCACAAGGGCATCTCCTACGTAATTGTGCCAGGGAACTCTGGCTTATCTACCCCAATGATTGTGTTACGCATCACCAAGTTTTCACTTTAACATGAAGTAAAACCATGCAAGATGGTATTACCTGAGTGTTGGCTCTACGGCACCGATCCTGACGTACTTTTTTGGGGTCAGGTTCCAAGGCCAAACAGTGTTCTACTCCCCCGGGAAGCTTATAAAGAACAAGAAACTTGCCGCGTTCAGCAAAGCGGATGCGGACCACCTTCTCTCGCCGAATAATAACCCATCCGAATCGCACCACTCCCAACTGTTTCCGTATCCCACCTACCTCGAGTATCCTTCAGAGTAATGCAGTAGAAGAATTTCAATACACGTCGCAGTGCCCAAATAAGCTTGTCTTGTTTAGTACTCTTGCTGGTCAGCCTACTTGTATCAAATTTATTTGGACATTGTTCGATGGATACCCACCGGTTCTCCGTATCACTGGAATGTGCATCAACCCTCCGCGGCTTCAACGCGCTACATGGGGGGATGGTATATGGTAGTGATGGATTCACTGGATGGTTACGTGCAACTGTATGATATCGTTGTTGACCCGCCTTGATTGGTTACGTGGTAAAGGCTATGTTCACGGTGACATTCGTAGTACCAGCATTATGGGGTCGCGATTTGACATGACAAAGTTCATGTCAATTGATTTTGGCTGGAGGGGCGCGGTATCCCCTCAGCGTGAACAGAGAAATCTAGCGTCCTGCCGGCGCAGTCGACGGGGTTCTCATCGAGGCTCAGCATGCTGTGGACATACTGAATCATATAATCGCGAGTTTCGAGAAGGAAAGCAAGCGTCGAGAGCATGTTCAGATACGGAGGAAGAATGCAGACCAGCAAAAACCAATTATCCGCGGCTGACTGAGTCCGAGGTTCGACGGGTAGTGCTAATTAGTTCGGAGCTATATGAGTATGACTTACATACAATAGGGGCTCTGTGACCCAAAGCTAGGTGCGGTGTGCAATGAGCATGAACAACGAAGGCTGGGGGAATAGGACAGGCAAGTTCGCTTCCTGACCCAATGGCTCGCCCCTCTGATGCTATTGACATCCCAGGTAGGTGTTCACCAAGAAGTGATTGAACGTAGACGAGCGAAGGGAGGCTAACTGTGTTATCGTCATGAAGGGATCCAGCACGTACACCGTGGCATGACCTGTGAAATTTTGAAAGATGCAACTATGTAACAGTGACCGTGATGACAGTCCAGTGCGAGGTGCGGCTTACATACGTCTCCTCCCTACGTTCTGCACAATTCCACACCAGTAGAACCACATCAATGAACAGATCGTCGGCCTCGAGTTCTTTCTTGAAGGAGACGCCGGACACCCGCACTTGAATAGATGTATTCATTCCTTTCTCGACTTTCGTCTCCCCATACATGATGAAATGCATATTCGATGTTGCAGTCCATGAGTCTCTGAAGAACGACTGATGCTGCACCTTTCACTGTCACTGCTGGAAGAACCTCCATCCCTGGTCCACCCGTCGTACAACTTTGAAGTCAAGTAGATCCGCTTGAGCGGCGTATGATCTTTAGACATTAAAATCTCCCATGTAAAATTATGGGGATCTATTATGTCACATCCATAAAAAAGGTGCATGCTGTCCGTCCCCGACGGCCCTATGCTCTAGTTTTGGCAAATACAGGGTAATATGGTCGTCAGGAAAACAACAAAATACTTTCGGTACTTTTCCCCCCCTACCGCTGTAATGATAAGCAGCGAGTGGATCTCTCCACATGGCTTAGGCCGTGCGAATTTTGCTAGGTTTTGTCTTGATGTCATGATGCTATGCACATACCTGAGAGGTGCCGAGTAACTCCCTCCTTCACAAATGTCGCAAATTCCGCCCCTTCTCGGTGATGGCCATGGCCGATACCGCGTTCACATAGTGGGGAACAGCGGTCGGTGCCTCGACCACAAGCGCTTGCCTAATTGCTAACGTGTTGTAATATTGTCAGGCGCGGGCAAGGTGAGAAGCGCCCGCTGCCCAATAGCTTTCTTTGATTACATATCCTCCTGGTCAGTCCACACTGGGTGTGGAGCTCGCCTCCATCCTTGGTGTGCCGTACATCCCGCTCGACCCTCTCTTCTGGAACCCGAACTGGACTCCAAGCACTCCAGAGGAATTCCAGGTCAAAGTTTTAAGACGCCTCATGGAAGATGAGAGAGGCTGGGTGGTCGACGGTAACTACGGATCCAGACTCGGGGACCTCGTTACGGAGAGAAGAACAGACATCGTGTGTATGTATGCAAGTGTTATTGGTCCTACGGCTGCATAGAACGCCTGCTCCAATGACTTTTGCAGGGTTGGATCCGCCGTTCATGCTATATTTTGCCCGTCTCGTCGTACGTACGCTGCAGAGGTTGTTCGGCCTCAAGGACAATTGTGCACCTGGGTGCAGCGAGACCCTAGCACATATTTTCCTATCGAAAGAGGAGAGTATCCTGTACTGGGCGATTGCCCACCATTCAGTCGTGCGTCGCCGAGAAAGCGAGAATCTGCAGAGGTGGGGGGTTCACGTGGGAGGGAACATGAGGCGTATCGGAGGTTGGGGAACAGTGCTCAAGCTGTGGAAACAGGCGGTTGTGGACATGGTCAAAGGAATGTAATAGTCCACGTCGATAGCTGCATTGGCGGCTCATAACAATATTAGCAGCGCTCGAGATACTTATGTAGTGTGCTGCAACTTACTCTCGAAAAGGGGTCCCTTTGCAGCTTGGGGTAACCGACTCGTGTGTTACTCAACAGGCTGCACTGAATTTATACCCTAGTAGCGTAGTCAGCTTATCCAATCCAATCCAGTAAACAAGGGTCTATGGCATAGTACATACCAGCATCCTATAGCTTTTCCCATCTGCACTACCAAGCCTTGTTTTCATGCAATCTGTGGAGGCGGTGGAGAAGGAGACGAGGACCGATTGATAATGAAATCAGTCTGTGCTTCAGCTCGTGAGCCAACTTACAGGTACTTCCTCGTCTTTAGCCACAGAAGTGGGAGCGGGCGCTGCTGGAGGGGGAGACGGTATGATGGAGGCGGAGGCAGGGCGGGGATACTGGCTCAGGCCCAGGTTCGGGGATAGAAACAGGCACAAGTCCTATTTGTGGGCGGGTGCCAAACGGAGGGAGAGGGGGAGGGGGAGGCTAGGTCAAGACGCGTGAGTGAAAAAGACAAGAAAAGAAAAACGACAGGATTAGACACAGGCCGGAGGCGGAGGCGCCGCCTCTACCTCTGGCTCGCTGGCCAATACGGAAACAGCAGTTCCTACCGCCGCGCCTCCGATAACCACTGAACCTACACGGGAACCAAACAGTCTAGAAAATGCTGTGGGAGCAGGTGATTTCCAAGAGGCAGCCTTGCTCCGTTGTTCCTCCTCCTCTGCTTGCCTCGTCGCTAGAGCCGGGCGCGCACTCCAGGTAAACTTTTTAGGCCCTCCGGAGGGTGCACTCCTCACAACGGATGCCGCTTGTGCCTCTTGGGCCCGGCCTTCGAACGGGTTTTTGAGCTTTCCAGGGGAAAGCTTGATTGGAATATACGACGTCTCCTGGGAGAAAGGCACAAAAGTTGCAAACAAGGGTCTGAATCCTCTTCCGTAAACTTCGTCGGAAGGTTTGATGAGGCAAGGGCAGCATATATGTCTATGACAAGGTAGTCAATTTTGCTGTGCAAATTACGAACAGGAACTGGATCATTACTAAAGGGCCGGTTCCAAATCAGTTGATATTGTAGGAGGGCGAGAAGAAGCCGGAGGAGGAAACGGAGGTGCGGCGGGAGTGTCTTCTCATGTACCGGCAGGTGCCCTTGTTGCTGCGATAGTCTTGGAGGTAATTGGTATCGTCGTATAGACAGTGGGACGGGGAGCCCTCGGGACCGCAGGCTTTAGTGCCGGTGTTGTAGCTGCTGGTCTAGGTGCCAGCGATTGAAAGGGAGCAACAGAAGGGTTTGGCGAAGGAGGCGCCTTCCGCATTGCTGCTATATCCGGCCCAACAACTGGCGTGTAGTTTTTCCCAACAGGTGCGATCGGTTCAAATTCGCGCGCCTGCTTATCGTGAGTAAAATACAAGGCACCGGGAGCCGCTTCGAACCGCTTCATAATCACCAGTGGAGCAACGTCCACCTCCGAAGGAATATCAGAATGACGTAGAGGAAATTGCAACGACAGACCTCGTAACGAGCATTGACGACGACGTGAGGTTCTCGTAGGAGGCTGACTACAGAACTTGAATGCGTAAGGAAGAGACCTTTCTTCGTCTCTGGAACGCCATCACCACACCAGTTGATCTGAACGAATTCGACCAATCGGTTCTAAGACGACGGTGCGGATGACGGACAAAATAACTCCAAGTGTCCGTTGGATCACTGGCATTAGGGTCAATAGCCCTTGCGAGTGCATAATGAATCCTTCGGAATGCGTCAGCTTAACTCTACTGTGCGATGGGCAGTTTGCTTACCTGCCATTGGAGAATTCCTTGACCAGTTCCCCGAGCCCGCCATCGCCGGTAGATTGAACTCTTAAATTTCCACCTCTGTCGTATGTCAAAAGTGCCCAATCGATGTCCTTTCCAGCGACGATCTTCTGATACACGTCGCTGATTTCTCTGCTAGACTAGTTCACTTACAAAGATATCGGTCCCGCATACCCCACATACAACCTTGGTTCAATAAGTTGAACTGGGATAAAATACCTGGAGGTCAACTTGAACACTGTCTTCCACAACAGAAACTGCACTCAGGTTGTGTTTTTTGTCACAAGCTTCTCCATTCAATGGGGTGCATACCCGGACCCCACCAGCAACAGAGGCTGAGTTCAGGGCAGAGTCTTGTCATATGACGAAGCTGCCCCAAACTCAGTCCTGTGGCTGCACCCAGATGGCACCCAAGCTTGGCAAGTGGGAAGCCAATGCAAAGTGCAGAAGTTCGTCGTACTATCTCTTACTTAGTAGCACCTTGGGTGTACTGACCTCGAGGTCGAAATTCATGTTGCAATTCGGCATTCCGCCGAAAGCACTTGCCCCTTTGGGTGTATGATTGTCCAGTTTCTGCGGTGAAAATATAGTTGCCGCTAAGCTTTGTCATCGCAACCTCGCAGTGAGCGGTGAGCACAGAGTACTGAAGCACTGACGTCCGCCGCTTGCTGCCACTCTCAGCGATGGCAAGGCCAATTTCGACTGGGTTCAAGACAGGCCTTGCCTTTTGGTTGTCTAGCCAGGCACCTGTGGTATACGGGCACAAGCATGAAGGGAACCTCACCGAGGAAGAACTACACGCTCCGATAGATTCTATCTTATGGATGCACATGGCCCTCCAGGCTGCTGTCTGGGGAATTATCTTTCCAATCGGTATGGTCTTTGGTCTTAGTCGAAGCCGATGGCACGTCCCTACCCAGGTGCGCACCTTTCCCTGGCCGGCTAACGAGCTTCGTCGTTTCATCATGTCTCATACAGAGCATCGGGTTTGCCTTGAGCTTAGGTGGTATCTTCCTTGGGCACGCTCATGGGGGTCGCCAATTCCGCCACTCCATGCACGGATCTATTGGCTCATGGATCGTTGTTCCAATATTCACACAGCTCATCCTCGGCATCTACCTCAAACTTCACATACACCAAGAGACGCTTAGACCGTACGCCGTGCGTGCGCATGGAATCCTTGGACGCTTATGGCCCATATTAGGTTGGGTGCAAAGCTTGTTCGGAGTCATCGTTCTCAGGGACTTGTGTGGCCCAAATGGTGCCGGTCAGTGTGCGGCACATTACATCATGGTGAGTATCGACAGTTACGACTTAAGAGTGTGCCGACACCCCAGGCTCAGGGAAGCGCCTTCATCGGATACGGAATCATTCTTTCTTTGGTGCATGTTCTGGGCGAAAACTGGGTCCGCAGAAGCGGGAAGAGTCCCGAGTGGTGGGATTCATGGGTGATTATGCTCTGGGTCCGTTTTCTGCTAACCCTTAGTCGTTTCATCCCGTTTTGACGTTCTTCAGGGCATTGTAAATACTTTCACCGAGCATTGGGGCGGTGCATGGTCCGTGAAAGATTTACAACATACGTACGTTGCACGCTCCTGAGCGTGTCCAAGCCTTTTGACTCTCCAGGCTTTCTCTAGCGTACTGGGAGTTCTTTGGTGGACTGGTGGCGCTTTGGGCATATTCCTTTCCCGGAACAACCAGGTAAATCCATGTCTGGTTCCGATCCTAACCCAATCACTCATTGAACTCGCAGAGAAATGTCATTCCGGCGCTAATGTCCGTGCTTCTCCTCCCGAAGTTGTGGTAATCCTGACTAGTTCCGCAGCATCATACTTACAGGTTGGGCTATGTCTGATCACATCCAAGCTCTCATGCTCTCTACCAAAGTGAGTTTGTTTATTGCTAAAACTATGGCACTCGATTGATTCAGGGCCCAGGTTCATGCGGTCTTTGGTTATACTCTCATTCTCGCTGGAGTCACTCGTATGATAGAAATCTGTTTCTTACCTGCCACTCTTCACACCGCAGGGTCATTGGAAGACAATGATAGTGAACATACTCTGTCACCATCGCAAGGTGTTGTCACGTCACAGATAATAGCAGCTCGAGCTTTCCGCCATTTGCCACCTTTCGTAAGTCGCAGTCACTAGCCATGAACTATGGATTGCTTTAACAATCGCGTTACTAGTTGCTTGTTGCTTCTGGGTATGCGCGTTTTTGACTTGTAGATGAGACACGGTTGTTAATAATAAAACCAGGTTCCTGTTCATGTCTGCCACAGACGAAGAACTCGAAGTAGCAGACGACACAGGCCTGGATCATGTTACGTACATTCTTGGCATGTACAGGTGAGTACTGGGCATGCTTGTCGTTTCCACTTCTCTGACAATCATCAGCATTGCATTTTTGCTGTATCTTTTTACACAGTTCCTCTTCCACCTGTACGTGACGACGGGCCAAAACGCCAACTCAATACAGGCGGGAAGAGATATAATCTTCTCAGCCCCTCCAAACGATGGGATTGAGCTCACGAGTCCACGGGACGCCTCCAAATGGTATTCCCGGGTCCCTCGAGAGGAGCGTCCAGTGCATGTGATTGGGGAGGTCGATGACTGACCTTATTGATGAGAAATATACCATTCTGTTGACCTCAGCTTGTGCATTTGCGCGTACGGTAATTACTTATTAGTGGAGATTTCCCCCTTTGTATTTCAATGTGTTTCTTTTTTTGCGGATTTAATTTGGCTTCAAAGATCATCGGACACAAAATGCCTGGCTGAGTGATGGCTGATGTTTTCACCCGAAATTTTGAACGGTCAGAGTGGCTACTGCACAATCAACGTTCACGGCGGCGCAATTATTGTGTAGCTTCACGGTAGTGGCTTGGGGCCGTGCCTGCTATTACATGAATTGTACTATGTAAGTGCGCCAGTTATTAGGTCGGAGCACTCGGTTAATTCGGATGCCGCAGTTGTGCCGCAGTGACGCAAGTGCTGGAAGCAACGAAGTTCCCCACACTGAACAGGGGTAAGCTGCAATTCCAACCAGTTCTTACAACACCCATGTCATCCCGTAAATCTGCCCTCTTACTTGGAGCAACCGGCGCTGTGGGGAAGAAGCTCCTAGCAGAACTTCTTGCGCATGACGAATGGTGCAAAATTGGGGAATACGGGAGACGAGTGACGGCACTCGAGAACCTCCCTCCTGGTCAACGAGAGGGCAGACTGGAGCAGAAAGTGATCGACTTCGAGAACATCGAGACAGCTGGGTTAAAAAATGGCCAGTGGGACGTCGTTTTTGTCACGCTCGGTACGACGCGTGCACAGGCAGGGAGCGCGGAAATGTTTGAAAAAATCGATAGAGAGTGTGTAATCTTTCAAAACCAGATTAACATTGACTTCGAACCTTTTTGTTGAACGAATTTCTTCTACTTGTTATCACAGATACGTCGTCAACGCATGTCGAGCTGCCAAGTCCGATAATCCTGCACTCCAACAAAGACTCGTGTATCTTTCTGTAAGCTGGCCACTTACCCGCCCTATTGTCCATTAGAAATCACACACCCTTCTTCAACAGTCTAGTGGAGCCAGTGCAACTTCCCCATTCCTCTACCCCAAATCCAAGGGTTTAACTGAGCTTGCGCTCGCTCGGCTTGGGTATTCAGACACTATAGTCTTTCGTCCGGGCTTGCTGAGAGGTGCAGAACGTCCTCAAAGGAGAATTGGTGAGACACTCTTGGGGTATGTCGTTTTATTCTTTCGAGTCAGGTGATGGTTGCCCACATGTCAATTTCCCAAGTTACCTGACAGACGCACTCTCCCATGTAATTGCGGACCTCGAGATCTGGGTATGTTATCTTTTTTTTGGCGTTATACTGCCTTGGCGTAGGATTTTCTGACAATACAAACATCCCATACTTTCCACACAGATCCCAGTGTTGGCTAGGTCCATTGTAAACGCTGGACGACTCGGGTCTTCTGGCTTGCCTCCTGAGGTCGGTGCAAGCAAGGCAGGGGAAGAGGGTGCTAAGTTCACACTTCTGGGTAACAAAGGGGCCAACATTTTGGGTCGAATTTAATGAATCTGATAGTACCAGAACTTGCTATTGATGTATGATAATTGAGGAACCCTCACGTAGCAACGTGGTTGATACGACAACCAGGGGGTGTAGGGCCTGATTGACTGAGCTTCCGTCACCTCCATGTCGGCACACACATCCCGGGGGGAACGGCCCCGCCTATTATACGATAATACAAGAGACGCTCATGGGTAGTAGCTGTGATGAAAAGCGACGAGTACGAAAGTAGTGGGTAAAGTAAGCGTAGATAGCGGGTATTGCATACATAACAGAGGTCAGAAGCTCAGGATGAGAAACGAAAAAAAAGGGTAGACCAAGGATCGTAATCATTAATGAGGGACTCGTTCGAAATTTTAAGTTACCGAGTTGACCAGCAGCCTCAGTCGCAACCACTCCTAAGTTCCAATCGCCCGTGGAAACCGCAGAACCCGACACCTTTCAATCTGCTGCAGGCAGGAAGCTCCCCTCTTCGTCCCCTTCCTTCATCTTGTAGGCCGGTAAAGTGCTCGCGGAGTAATGTTTCGAGCTTGTTGCCTGCGACAACCTGCGGAGGACCGAACTCGCCCTACTAACAAACGAGCGCGCGCCATCATCATGATAGGTTAGACGCCCACGGGCAGAACTTGGTCTCTCCGGCGCCACCTCGGTTCGGTCGTACAAGATCATTGGGGTGCAAGGGCCTGGATCAGAGTTTGAAAAACTTGTAATCAGGTTGCTCCGTGTTTTGTGATACGAGCGAATATTTGGTGACTGGTAAGTGCGTTGTGGCTGTGATGCTGGTGATGTGGCACGCATTGGCAGCGAACGGTTGTTCGAAGCAGAAATCTCAGATAGGGGTAGACCAGGAGGCACAGATTTCGGTACCGGGTGGCCTGGGAGTAGATCAATGAGACAAAGGATATTTAAAGTAAAAGCTGAAGGAACGTACGCTTTGGGAGCCATTTTCGTAGGGGCCTGACGAACTCGTTGGAGACATTGCCCATGTCGAGGAAGGAGTGTCCATGTAGATTGTCTGGCAGCGCTGGTACAGGCGGCTGACTTGCAGATGGAACCGCATTGGACGGTGCACGAAGATTTCTCGGTAGCCGTAGACTTGCGTTGGAGAGGGTGCGACTTCGCAACCGTGCGGCGGAAACGCGCGAGAGACGGCTCTGCGCATCGGAACGCTTGCTCCGTGTAGATTTTCCGGACTTGGCAGACCTGATGGATTTGGAATCTGAATTGTTTGTACTTGGGATTGTTGGGCTGAGGAGGACCGCTTTGGAGGCAACGGCAGTAGCGGTGACGCCAACCAGCTGTCCAATGTCGGTGGTGACAGTGAGATCCTCGAGTGTTTGAGTGTTGTCAATGTCGGACTGGTCAGCGCCTTCCTCCGATTCGTTGCCTGTATCATTCTTTTCTTCCCATTCGTTGTCCGCATCGCTCTTTCCCTCAGACTCGTTGTCCGCGTCGCTCTTTTCCTCAGACTCGTTGTCCCTATCATGATTTCCCACCGACTCGTTGTCCATATCACTCATCTCCTGCAGCTCGTTGTCTGTGTCGTTTATTTCCTTCAACTCGTTCTGTGTGTCAGTGTTTCTCTCCAGTTCATTGTATGTTTCAGTCCTCTCCTGTTTAACGTTGTTCGCTGCCCTCAAAGCATCGAGTTCGGCGGCAACTGTTTCTGCTTCCTTCCACGCTTCTTCGAGCTCGTCTTCAAGGTCACGTATTCTCGTTAATGCGTGCTTCAGTTCTCCAGCCTGCCGTTCGCACGCCTTGTTGAGCTTGCGCAAAGCAAGGCTGAGCGCCGAAGACCAATGCCTATTTTGCAGTGAAGACAACTGTGTCTGTTGATCCATTGCTTGCAGGATGGTAGACATCTGGGTATCGCAGGATGCAATGGAAGTAGCGAGTTGTGTTACTAAACTGCCCATCGCGTTATCTTTGTCATATTCGCATCCGTTGGGAAGTGAAGCCACCATGGAGTTCAGAGCTTGCATAAGCATCGTTCGACGGCCAACCTCGAAGCGCCATTTCCCCTGCGCCTCAAGACGTTGGCTATCCAGACGTTGCTCCGCTTCCATAATATCTGTATCGAGAACCTGTAAGGAGAGGAGGCGGATGAACGATTCTCCTGCACTAAGACGGATTGCTCTGGAGACTATTTCTTGAAGCTCTGATGATGTGAACGTCCACTGGGCGGATTCCAGAGAAAGACTCTTCCAAGGGATAGGAACGGGTTCGAATTTGATCACAGGGGGTGGTGGGAGAGGTGGTGGGACAAGGAATGACCCTACAAAAGTCTTTGGTGCGGTAGAGGACTGAGCCGGAAGGTTTCGCAGTGTCGAATCTGGCAATGGGGAAGGTGGTAATGAGGGTATCTGTACGGCAGCGTCTACCATACGAGAGGTGATGCTGATGGATGGATCGACGGAAGCCGGGGGTATCTCGCGAGCAGGCGATGTGGGTCTGCTCAGGACGCTGGGCGAAGGGAGAGTCGATGTTGGTGAGGAGCTGCCGTCAGCTGGGCTACCGGGACCGGGGATAACCACATCGACCGAGTATCTCGGATGGGTGCCTACTCTTGGGCCATATGGAACACGAACGGGCCTGTCCCGCAGGGGTGGCGTTGGTCTTCGCGAAGTGTGCTCTTCCTGGACGACCCTTTCCATCGCAGGGGTTGACGGGGAGATATGCTGGAGATTGGCAAAACAGCCAGAAGGGTCTCCCAGTCGATGCACAAATAGCACGACTTCGGGCGCTCATAACTTAGGTTACAAGTCCACACACCCACCCGGCTGGTCACGGAACCAGTGCAAAGCTCCTGCATCGCAAATTTGATTACGCTCAGCTTATCACCATTCAGCACCCTTTCGACAACAGGTCTACTAATCAAACTCTTATGGCCTGCCCTCCAAGTTCAGGTGCGGTCAACCCCGCGGAAGCGAATCCGGACCGTCGGACTCACCCATGACTCACCATCATGATGAGCGCCGCTGCAGTGTAGTAACAGCCCTCCAAAGCAATGATGAAAAGGTATATGTCCGCTTTTGATAATCTAACCAACCGTTTCAAATTGGTACTACCCATATCACTGCCGCAGGTAGCTGTGAGCACTCCCATCATATCTTGGTATCGTCAGTCTTCTCTCACACCATGTAGTTCAAACTCCAGAACCCAGCAATTTCGTCATCTCCACAGGTCAGACTGGCACTCAGAGTTCTGGACATTGGTTACGACGGTTAGATGGAACATGTAGGGATGCCTGTGAATCCTTGGAACCAGGGCCAAAAAAGTAAATGACCGAAGTTGTTTTTACCAATATTCGAGAACGTCTGGAAGCACTCCCACGGCGCTGGTAATATTTCACGAACACGCTAGAGCTCCGAAAATATTTTTCTTTGGGTTTCATCTAGGAGACTGATAGGTACTTTACCCAGCCATGCACTCCGCGCTTTTTGTCCATATCGTCGTACCCTTTCCTCGTGGTTACCATCCTCGATTCCTTATCTATGTCGTTCTGGGACGAACAAAAAGGGCGGTCGCTCTGACACCTTTTTAGCGTACTTGGGAGGACGGGGAGATGGGCGCCGTACTTAGTACATCCGTACCGCCTGCTAACAGTCAGAGGCATCAGACTTACGTCACGTCATGCCCCCAAACTTATCTGCAAATCCCAAGGCAGCATAACAGCAATGGCCCGGTCTCTAAGCTGGGCGAGCCAAAAAGTCACTGAACCTGAATCCCACATATACCCGTTGACTAATGAACCAATCCCCCCACACCCCTCCCAGCTAGTTGGTGGGCGACTTTTGTATACAGTAATCCTGGCATCTTTACATCGAATGTTCACAATTGGATTCACGAATGACCAAATCCTCCGGATTCTCCGGATGTCAAATTTACAGCATGCCGCTTTTGCGTTGGTACAACTTACGGATCCATCAAATATCTTGGTGGTTACTTGGTGTGTACTGCATATCATCGTCGCCCCCGCGATCTCTTTGCAGAGCGCTACTATACATCGCGTCATAAATCTAGACTTGCTCAATTCTGGTCGTCACACCCCCTAACGCCGACTGCGAAGCTATGAGGACCTATTAACCGGATGAGTTTGTTAATCGTTTCCTGGGGCGAAGAAGCATACCGCTGATGGGGTTAGGCCCAACTCCCGCAAAGTTTTGTTGAAATCAGTGCGAGAAAATGTTTTCCTAGGGGGTACAGTGTCGGAAGGGGTGTTCAAGGGATATGTAAAACAATGTACGCATACCTCGGGAATTGCTGCATAAAGCTGACTGTTTCCACACTCACGGAAAGTGTTTGCGCAGCAACGAACTCAGCGACGTCGTATAAAGCTGTCAGGGGTCCATCAATGTCAATTTTAGACTGATTTACATCGGACGCACTGGAGTCACTGGGTAGCGTCGTAGTGTATGGAGTACCTCCACTGGCCAAACGAATCTGCAGCCGCGTATCTTTAAAATCCTTACCAGCTACACCACTAGACGATGATGCCGCTGTAGCTGGTGAGGGTGTAGAATTGCTGGTCCCAGACTGGCTGTCGACTATGGGCTTGCCTTCACGTAGAGCCCTCTCACGAGCAGCTTTCTCTGCCCGTGCTTTTTTGTCGGCTTCAATTTGGGCCTTGATTGCAGCTTTTGCTTTCGCATCCTCCGCCTTTTCTAATAGTTGCGTGAAAAATTGTGCACGATGCTGGGCCACTTGGAACCTACCCTTCCGTTTTTGCTCAGCCTCCTTAATCATCTCTTTGGCCTTGATCTCTTCTTTGATTTTGTTGAGATCCTACGCGTGTGTAGTTGGTTAGTGCGTTGATTCGCCAAGCGGCATTAACAATTCAATGACGGACCTTGCCCTGTTTTCGTCTAATCACTTCGTTTGCTTTCGCTTCCTCCTGGTCCTTGGCAGCACGTTTCGCGGCAAGCTTTTTCCGCAACTCTTCCAACTTTGCCTTCTTTTCTTCTTCAGTTAGAGGCTTGATCTGCGGTAAGAATCGCAGAAGTCAGCATTCACTATAACAGTGACTCCTAAATAATCGTGTCACCTCTTCCGTAGACTCCTCGAACTGGTCATGGCCACTCTTCTCAGCATGGTAATTAGCTAAAGCAGTATTTTTGAACGTCTTCCCACACACTGAGCATTTTATGCTCTATCGTTGGTCCATACCGCGTTCGACGACATGTCATTAGGTAGATCATTGCTCGTTGAAGTCGTATACGTACCTTTGCTTCGACATCCCCTGCAGTAGCAGCGGCAGAGACCACCCCTTTCTTCCCGATGAGGTGGCGTAGAGCCTCAGCGTCATCGTCATCGCCATCTGCATCCATAGCCGAGGTAGACTGAGCTGCATTCCAAGACGGCAAAGAATTTCCCGCTGGAGTGCTGGCATCGGATATTGGCTCGCCCTCGTGCTCAAGGAGATGGTCCATAGCTGGTTGCAGACCACGGTGGCTGGTGGCACGCAACGCCCCTGCACCCGTTCAGATTTCCAAAGTAACCAACCGATAGCCCAAAGTTACGCATATGGGTCGATATGGACACAAAGTTGCCGCGGGTCGAATGATGTTGTTATCCATCCATGATCAGATTTAAAGGCACAGTTGTAATCAAAGGAGCTTACAATCGACGCGCGATGGGTCAAAGCCCATGCTTATAAGTGTGTCTCGATCACTCGTCATCTCTGGTGAAGGTAGGATTGATATTGGCCCCCAGGCAGCTTGGAAGTACTTTCAAAGTGCCTTCGTGTTATACGGTAGGCTTGAGATACAAGTGGCGTCACGGGAGCCTAATGACAATAGGCGTGCTGCTATATTAGGAACATATTCCGAAGAACATGAACAAACTAGCATGTATGTAAGGCTAGTGAATATCGACCAGTGTAAGACCGCCCTTAAGGCGGTCGACCAAAGATTATTCTCGTCGTAGAATCTATGGTATTGGCCAGACGGCATGGAGGGAGGAAATTTTTACGGTGTTCCATGCCCGGACTATTCACAACCTTCCAGCTTCAAAGCTGATGACACTGGCAGTGGCAGAAGTATATCTAGCATGTACAGACACCCTCTTTGAAATCCCTCTGAAGCGCGGATAATTATTCCATGTCCTGCTGCCACGTCGTAGCGAACGCCGCCCATTTCGACAGGAGGCTATTTGTAAGGATCTCCACATTGAGGGTCTTTGGAACACGTAAAACAAAAAAAGCATGCTCCGTAGATGACGAGGTACTTATACCATCTCGGTAGAGAAACGTGCGCAGATGAATCCGCATGCCGAATGAATGTGTCCCACCTGGACACCTCGCAATAACATAAATATGGGTTCGAGCTTTCACTGATCAGTCAAATTTCACGAAACGATTTTCAAATTGTCGCGAACGCGCGACGTGGCAGTGGCCAGAAACGAAGGCAGACGTACTCACTGTAGGCGTGGGCACACTATTAGGCTTCAATTCGTAGGCCACTTATGTGGATGCATATGTCAAGTTGGCACGAGAATGCTAGTTAGATGACACGAAGGCCTGAGGAGTTAGGGCAACATATCCCACCCTCGAGGAAAGGAAGCGAAGCATCCGAACTCACTTTGGTTAAGACCAAACCACTGTTCGATAGGAAGTGTCATTTAGTTGCGCGAACGTTAAGTTTAATGCAGCTGAGAGTAACCCATACAATAAGCACGGCATACTTCTGGTATAATTAGTGGAACCCGTCCGCTTAAAATCCGGGCCTAAGGTTCTCCATAAATCTCGAGTACAAGTAAAAGGAGAGAGTATTTACAAAAACGAAAATCCAATCTGCTCATGGACAACATTAAAACAGACGATAAGGAACATATTGAAGCTGACTACATGCCATGAATTCGAAATGCATGCTGCAAACTCAAGTCAAAAGTTTGGAGTTCGCATTGCAAGCGCAGTGGCGACGAGGAAATCTACCATAAATCGGCCAGGCTGTAATGAAATGAACATGAGCAGAATAAACTACTAATGCATCGAGTCATCCTACTGGATTAATGCGGAGCTCTCCGTCCTTTGACACGGCCATCATTGTTATGCGATATGTCGCCACAACAACTCCCTTCGTATCTGAACACTGTGAACGTCAACATTCGTGTCATCGTACAAGCGTAATCACGGACACACCTGCATCTCGTTGCGTAGCAAGCCAGCGTTCGACTTCCAGCGGTATGTCCGGCCATCGGGCCCCTTGAAGGAGCGGTCCCCCCTGCTTGGTAGTTGAAACTGAGCCTGTCGGGGAGTGGAAAGCATGGTGATGACGATGTGTCCAGGTGCATAGTCCGTTGTACATTGAGCAAGGCAAGGCGAACTGACATGGCAAACGGCGATTCCAGTCTGGCCGCCTGCATGCAACCCGAATTGCCATTGATTGGAGGTACGAGACCCTCTAAGATAGTATCTATCACAGGCCCACACACATGGACCATGTTCAGCTGCGACTATGAACAATCAACGTGGAAGGGACGCACAAAATTGTGGCTCGATCATCTGCCTTGATTACCTTGTCATCACCAAGCAGACCCCCAACCCTGTATACATGGAAGGAAGAGTGATTAGTTGCACTTATCATTGGCCGTGCTAGGCTCTGGCGAGGTCAGACCAGAGGTTTAATAAACCTTGGGCCACGAAAGCGCACACTGCAGACATGTACACGAAATTGGAAGAGATCTTGCCTTTATGTGTAACAAGGGCAGTGTGAAATCATTAATGCGGGCGTATCATAGTTCGTACTATTCATGGCGTTTGAACGTTCCAAGATTGCTGCCGGGTATCGGGAATCGAGATTTTAATGGTCGCCTTTGTCTAAAGGTGGACAGTAGGATCCTTACGAAGTTGGGAAAGTACTTCTGGAGGCGTTTGCCGAACACGTAGCCCTCCGATGCAGCGGGCGCCAATCAGTAGGCCAACTTCTCGTCAAGAGACTATGTATCCGACAGGACGGCGGGGGGCGTATAAACCGCCCTCGACAAATGAGAGAGCCAGAAACACCCTGTAGACTCCAAAACCTAGTGCGTAGAGCTGCCGCTGGTAGGAAGAAGGATCAGGCGAATTAGAAGAGTGCCGGGGCACATGAACCGGGCATACTAACTCGTTTGCATCAGAATTGCGATAACCAATATATTGGAATACATCACGAGGTGGCGGTCGTTTACCACCATCCTACAATGCAAAGCACGAAGACAGCATTCCTACCTCACCGGCACCATTGATTGGGTGGGTACAGTGTACTAGTGTCTTAAGGGTTGATGACATAATCATCGCGACAAGTCGGAATAATGCTCTTATTCCCACGATGGTTTGCTTGTCGTTCAAGGACGCCGGGACTGCTGGTTCTGTCTACAAAATATCGCAATGGCGTCCAGGATTGCACTGAATACGTTCAAGGCATCTGGTTTGTTCGTTTACACTCACTGATACGTTTTTCACTCACGGCCAGCGAAGCCCGTACACGCGCAGTGCCCACTGTCGCCCGCGCTGTCAATGCGTGCGTTTCCTCAAGTCGAAAGCCGTGTTAGTTAATTGACCATCTCACCTCCAGCCGTGTCATGAGCACGTCAAATCCCCCTCCTTCCGAGCGTGCTTCGGAAATCATAAATTCCCTCCCGTCCTCCCCCAACCTCATCACCAAGACTGGCACTGCCATCCTCGGTACTGGCCTTCTTGCTACGGCCATCTCCCAAGAACTCTATGTCGTAAATGAGGAAACTGTGGTTGCGGCAGGGACATTTATTCTCCTTGCTTACCTTGCCAGGGTATGTGGCTCCGTCAAATACACTGTCACACTCATAACCGTTCGTTTAGCTCATCCGTGAACCCTACCGTGACTGGGCCAACGGCCACATTGAACGTGTCAAGACCGCTTTGGAGAACTCGCGTGCCGAACATACCCAAGCTGTAAAAGACCGCATCAACTCTGTTGAACAGATGAAGGACGTTGTGTCGCTAACGCACGGTCTCTTTGCCGTTTCGAAGGTCCGGGCATGGACTCTCAGCATTTTGGATCTGACGTGTGACTTTGCATATGTAGGAAACTGCCGAGTTGGAGGCAGGAGCCTTCGTCCAGCGTCAAAAGGTTGCACTGGCTTCTGAGCTCAAGGCCGTTCTGGACAGTTGGGTGCGGTACGAGCAACAGCTGAAGGAGAGCGAGCAGGCTGAGCTTGCAAAAACCATCATTGCAAGGGTCACGTCTGATCTTACGGACGAGAAGATGCAGAAGGAGATATTGGCCAACGCTGTGGCAGAGCTTGAGCGTAAGTTCGATCATACTGCAAGTATCTCACAAATCACGTCTGACGGTGGACGACAACAGAACTTGTGAAAAGCAAAGCGATTTAGGGAGGTCGTGGCTAGCTAGATTACCATTACCGATAGAAAACGTAGCACGACGTGCCCTTTTTTATCGTACTTGTTTGGCTTGAATACTAAGATGGTCGCATGTCCAAACAAATCCAAACAGTCCTTGCCGCGATGACGCGCGGTGGGCCATCCGCGTTTCCGGCAAGCTCAGCGCTGGGTGACTGACATTCCGTTCCAGGTCAACGCCGTTCGGCTCCTGCCAGGACAACCCAGCTACCACGATGGACGTCGACCTCATCAAACTCGTTAACCGTCTTCAGGACACATTCAATAACCTTGGTGCGTACAATGAATGTTCCTGGGCAGTGGGCTTTGAACTCATGGTGAACATATACCACAGGCGGGGAGCTGGACATGCCCCAACTGGTCGTCGTAAGTCGTGATACCATATAACCCAGCCGGCATCGCGTAGACATACTCTCTTTCTTAGGTTGGCAGCCAGTCTTCGGGCAAATCTAGTGTGCTAGAAAAGTGTGTGTGTGCATCTGCCGTTGCGTAGTAGTAACTCACCGGCATGCTTTTCTCAGCATTGTTGCACGAGACTTTCTTCCGCGTGGCCAAGGCATCGTGACTCGCCGACCCCTCATTCTCCAGCTAATTCACACTCCCGTCCCGGATCCGTCCGCCAGCCCATCTGCAGATGCCGAGTGGGCACAGTTCCTCCATATCGACAAACGGTTCACAGACTTTAACGATGTACGCCGTGAAATCGAACAGGAGACTTTCCGTGTTGCCGGACAGAACAAAGGCGTCAGTAAACTCCCGATATCGTTACGAATATACAGTCCGAACGTGTTGGACCTGACGTTGGTCGACTTGCCTGGTCTAACAAAGGTGCGTGTACTGAAGCACGCCATGGACTCACCTAATAATTAACTAAGATACCGGTGGGCGATCAACCGAGCGATATTGAGCGCCAAATTAGGAACCTGGTTTTGGACTACATTTCAAAGCCTAACAGGTGGATTTGGAATTCGACGCGATGGTCCTGGAACTCTTAACTAATGTTTGTTATAGCGTTATCCTCGCAGTATCCCCTGCCAATGTCGACCTGGCCAATTCAGACGCACTCAAGCTCGCCCGTTCCGTAGATCCTCAAGGACGCCGTACCATTGGAGTTTTGACAAAGCTAGACCTCATGGATGCTGGGACAAATGCGCTTGACATACTCACGGGACGCGTCTATCCTCTGAAATTAGGTTTCATCGGCGTGGTGAATCGTAGTCAACAGGACATCATAACCGACAAGAGTATGAAAGACGCGTTAGAGGCAGAAGCAGAATTTTTCAAAAACCACTTGGCATACCGGAATATTGCGCATAAGAATGGCACCAAATATCTAGCGAGGGCGCTGAATCAGGTGTGTTTTTTTTTGACGCCTTTTGTGGAGCTACTCACAGCCTCTGTTCAAGGTCTTGATGAGCCACATACGCGATAAATTGCCTGATATGAAAGCTCGACTCAATACCTTGATGGGCCAAGCACAACAGGAACTGAACTCCTTTGGTGATGCCGCGGCATTCGGGGACAAGAATCAGGTAATGAAGCATGAGCATCTTTTTCCCTCAGCTGACAGCCCTACAGCAAGGAGCTCTTATTCTTCGGCTCATGAACCAATTTGCTCAGGATTTTATCTCATCCATCGAAGGTACCAAGGTGGATATGTCGACCAAAGAATTGTCAGGTGGTGCAAGGATATATTATATATTCAATGACGTCTTTGGCCATGCTCTGGCATCCATCGACTCCACTGCAAACTTGGATAACCAAGACATTCGAACGGCTATCCGCAATTCCACCGGTCCGCGCCCAAGTTTGTTTGTTCCCGAAGCCGCCTTCGACTTGCTGGTCAAGCCACAGATAAAACTTCTGGAAGCTCCAAGTCTTCGTTGCGTCGAGCTAGTATACGAGGAGTTGGTCAAAATATGCCATAATTGCACAAGCATGGTAAGCAACTTTTCCTTGGCACTGTATATCTAATCTTCTCCATTACTACAGGAATTGGAACGCTTCCCCCATTTACACGCCCAACTCATAGAATGTGTCTCAGAGCTTCTGCGGGAACGCCTCGGACCAACGTCGGACTATGCGCAAAGTCTTATTGAGATTCAAGCTGCGTACATCAACACAAACCATCCGACATTCATTGCGGGATCTGCTGCTGCTGCTGCGCAAACCGCAACGGCACCTTCACCAAAACCAACGCCACCCTCACGCGTAAGTGTTCGCTTTATTATAGTGTCACGCTTTGTCCGACAGAACGTCCGCCTATCCCCTTGGATCGCTCATTGATTTTCTCAGGCTGTAAGCTCCGACCCGATGCCTGGCGGCCCAACACGTGGAGATGGTGACGATTCATCCAGCGAAGAGCCAGTAGCTGTGAATGGCGTTCCAACGCGAGATGGTCGTTCCGTGTCGGCAACGCTTCACGATCGCTCCCGCCCAACAGCATCTGCTATCTCCGCTGCTAGCACTTCGGGGAAAACAAAACACCCTCGGCATTCGTCCGTTCTGCCGCCATCATCGCACTCACACGCACCTGCTGTGCCGGGAACGTCGCCCAACTCTACACGGGAGACCTTCCTGAATTATTTCTTCGGTCAGAACGGCCCCGGTCCCCTTGCAGGTTCGAGCGTGGAACGGTCTCATGCAGGTTCTGTACCACTTACCACTGGCCGTGATGTATCCGGAGCAGATGTACCGGGTCCTACTGGGATATTGGCGCCTAAACGATCACTAGATGGAAATAATGCGGCGTTTGACATGAAAAGCCTGGGTAAACATATTGAAGCTGTGAGGAAATTACTATATTCCCTGCGTTCAAAACGCTAACTCAATGATTGGCTGGTAATGTCCCACAGGTCTCGTCAGCCGGTGACAGTGGCTCTCAATTAACGCAACGCGAAGAGATGGAGACGGCCCTTATTCGGTCATTGATCGCTTCGTACTTTTCGATCGTCAGACAAAGTATACAGGACCTCATTCCGAAAGCGATTATGCATCTTTTGGTCAATTATTCATCCAAGCACGTGCAAAATCGGCTAGTAGCAACGCTCTACAAACCCGAATTGTTTTCGGAGTTATTGGATGAAGATGAAGCATTAGTAGCGGAACGGACACGGGTGAAGGCGTTGTTGGATGCCTACAAGGAGGCTTTCAAGACACTTTCTGAAGTGAACCTCAAGACAGTTTAGACTACTTTTTTACCCTGACGTTTTGCATGCTGTCTATGGCACTACGACTTTATTGTAGTATTCTTTTATTGATCACTGGAGATATAGTTGTGACCATCCATTGCATAATATGTAGACACATCAGCATCAATATGCAACCCTACCGACAAACAGGCAAGTCTAGATAACAAGACTAACAGTCACCATACTTATATAGCGAGTACCAAGCGAAAGAGCAACACTAAATGGGACGCACGACTCATCTAAGTAGAACGACTGACGGCGAGCAAAAGCTAGAGGTAGCGAGTGGCTTAGTAGAACAGCCCGGAGGAACGCCGAAACTGAACACATGGCAAGTGCTTGGGAACGGCTTCGCTCAGTCAGAAGCCTCCAGTTGCCCCTTGACGGCAACCCACTTCTCCTTCCCAACTTCTTTGGTGACGACATTGATTGATCCACCAATGGGTTTCTCCAGCTCCTCCTCCGACGTTATGCTCTCCTCGGTGTCGGCCTCAATACCGCCATTGCTGCTATCCGATTCGGATGATGATGATGACGACTCGCACTTGACGCCAGCAACGACAGCAGGCAACGTAACTTCCGTAGGAGTATTTGGGCCGCTCGAGCCAATGACTGGTGTTGCTGGTGGAACTATTTGCGCCATCGAGCTTTAAACTTGCCTCAACGCGATGCGCTTTCTTGGCTTTGGCTCGCTCCTTCTTCTCCAGCTTCTAATACGCAAAAATAGCAGTTATGAGAATGCATGCAACTCGCCTCTTCTGTTAAGTCGCACCTCCTTGATTTCCTTTTCCTCTAGCTGCACGAGGGCGCCAGATCAGCTACCGTGAATAGCGGATGTTTCAGTTTCGAAAAGATAATTTACCTCCTTGGCGAGCCTGTCTTCCTTCTATGCAAAAAGTCATCAGTACAGTGGATCAGAGAAATTTAGGATATTTTCAACTTACCTCTTTCCGTTCCTTCTCCTCAGCCTACGAATTACGGGAGGAATCAATTCCGTCATTCCGCACCGTACCATACTACAAAGTGTCGTCGTACCTCTTTCTTTTCCTTGGCTTCCCGCTGAAGGCCGAATTAATATCCCGCATGTCACCTGCCAAGTAAGGTAGAATGATCACACACCTCCGCCTTCTCTTTCTTGAGTTTCTCGCGCATCTCACGCTCTTGGATCACCCTTCATCACATGATCGCTTCAAGATCCGGACAATGAAATATGGGCGTGCTAACGTACCATTCACTGACTTCGTCGACGCATTCTCGGGGGCGGAGCTTGTTCTTGAGAAGATACCCCTGTAGAGAGGCGACCTGTGGCAGGACATCAAATAGGCGCGAATCCCACGCGAAGGGACACGAGTTGACACTTACACTGAGTTCATTTTCAGGAATGGTATCTGCGAAACGTTTAGCCAATTCTGCAATTTCGGCCTCCTCCAGAACTGGAATGGTGTGTCCAGATGCTTTACGCTTTGGGACTGGAAGATTCTTCTGCGAAACGTCAGTCTTCTCGTCGGCTGGAGACGAGGTCTCAGCAGAATCGACTGGGGGATTCTTAGGCTTAGAGGGGAAGAAACATTTGAATATGCCTTCCGCTTGCCACCTCGTCGCATGGGTGAAATTCACCCAAACGTCCATGCGCCCTGGACGGCTCAGTGCAGGATCAAGGCGCTCGATATGGTTAGTGGTGGCAAAGAGGAGGCTGAAGACACCATCGGGTGAATATATCAGCGAAATGGGCGCGGGTTAGGGGACTCAAGGATAACGCACCGACCCTCCGCCGCAGCGACACCATCCAGGCTGTTCAGGAGCCCACTTAAACTCAGAGTGGATCCGTCAGATTCATTATTGGTCGTAGTGGTACCACCTAGGGGAACTCCAGTTGAAGATGAATCTCGACTGACGGAACGCGTAAACGCCGCGTCCAAATCTTCAAGCAGCAAAATACATCTATAACCACGAATAGATGAGACTTAGTGACACGAGGAGGAAGTATCCACCGACCTGGAAGGTACATGACTCATCAAAGTGGTCAAGGTATTATCACTCATCCTGTTCTCATTTATGTTAATAACCCGCTAGAAGGCCCTTCAGTGGCGTCTTACCCCTTCGACGACAAACTAACGACGTAAATGTCCAATCCGAGTTCACCTGCTAACGAGTGTATCAACGACGTCTTGCCACTACACGCAACGGGGAGCTTTATTAATTGCATCAAAAATCGGAATGGAGACGCCAACCTTCCAGGAACACCATGCAAGAGATAACCCCGACGGAAGGGAATGCCTAGACATGGCTTAGAGTGAACGCAGCACAGAGTAGTCACGCTTTACCTCTTTCGGCATACCTGCGAATATGAATGAAATCTTCTGATTGAGATAAAATTCAACACCTTGTAACTCACCAGTCTTCTGAAGCCAAGAAGTCCTTGCAATCGGCCAAGAGCATATCCTTTACTCCCGGCTGCAGAACAATAGAACTCAGCGGACGTTTTTGCCGAGCTCCGTTCCACCGCCAGCAGGCGTAGGTACTTTGACAATGTCTGTGACTAAGCTCCGCGTGAGGTAATACGGGAAAACTCACGTATCAGCCATGAAGATGTGGACGCGGTGCTCAGCATCTTTCTCATACTCTCGTTTTGCTTCGAGGACAAGTTTCTTGAGGATGTCGTTGCTACGAGCGACCACACTGGTCACACAGTCAGGGCGAACCACGCGGAGCAGGAGTTTGGACGTACCTGATTTTTAGCGCAGCGCCATGTCCGTAGTCGGGGTAACGCTTGGTCCTCGTTATCTGTGGAAAGGCATGAGTCAATAACATTACCAAAGACGGACTATTAGTTGACATACCCGAAGCCAGTGGCCACGGTAATATATAGTATGTGTAGTATCTGCCGACAAGCGTCAGCTAGTTTAGACAGTGTTACGAAACTGTGTCTCCGTAAGGGACACTCGCCTAAGCTAGGGATAAATGCAACCTTGCGCTTTTTCCGACCATGTATGAGCGCGTCCTCGTCCTCGTCGACGTCCTCTTCATCCAAATCACCGGTTGTCGACTGCGTAATGCCACTGCGCGACACTGTACGCGTCGTTATCTCAAACTCTCGACTTCGGCCCCATGCCGGTTGCTAGTCACAGAATGAGTACTGTAGTCAGCCAAGATGGATGATGTTTCAAGTCTTGCCTTGGAAAGCCAATGCATGAGCCTAGCGAACAGTGTCAGCCTCCGAGGTCGGCTGGGGGATAAGGAAAGCGCATTACCAGTCATATGGATAATCCTCCTGGCTGAAGTGCGCCGTCAAGAAGAAGGCTAGGTGGGAAGGTCATTAAGGCGACACACGGGAGATAGGGCGGGAAGACGCACAGTCGACAAACCCATTCCAGGCTGAGACGGATATACGCCTGGCTGTCTCCACAGTACCACCTATGACCACTAGTTTCTGAGCAGAGTGAGTGCGAATGACGGCGAGGTGGAATGGGAAAGGTCTATACCAGGGTGTCCTGCAAGGCATTCGTGTTCATCCCTAGGGGGGAGAGCATGTTTTTCAAGGCGTCCATTGCAGTAGGGTTGGGGATGTGGAAAGCGAGAAGGCCAGGCCGCTTGCCACGGTCGGTCTTTTAAGTAGTTTATTAGCGCCGCGTGGTCACAAATAATACAGGGTAGCTGAAAGGTGCATTACTTATGTGACGGAGCCAATATCACGCAAACTCGGTAAGCTTCCGCAATGAAAAACCTTCAATGAGTGCGGGAATAGCAATGAGTCATGAAGCGCGCGATCTCAGAGGGCATTCCGAGTCGCACACCCACAGCTGCAGGCAGCAGTTCAGATAAGGAGACTGTTTTTTATTCGGACGTCTCGCAACGCATCGACCGCCGACCTGAACAGCGAGCCGGAACGGAAGTCTCATATCAGCCACCTGGCTCGCAATTTACGTTTACTTGACAAATGGCGATTGGGAGATTATAAGGCATTGCAAACTGCAGCGGAATGCGGCGATGCGGCGTGGACCACACTGCGCTCTGGGAGAAAGCATGAGCTTAGCGGGGCAGAATGCATTCCTCGTAACCGGCACGTGGCCAGACATGTTGCCTATTAAGGCAGGTTTCCCTCTGCGCATTACCGGCCGGCCAGGATCGGTTGTCGCTGGCAACCTTTGATCGGGATCCCACAAAAATCCCACCCTCTTCGCCACACCGTGGATGCAGAACATGCATGCATCTAATCTCAAGTACACTAATTAACAGCAGTCCAGGTAAGTTCTGGCTGCTGTCAGCAATATGCCAGGACCGCATCGAATCGTCCCAAGATCCTCAGAAACTTCATCGCACCGAGTTCCCGGCGTCAGGCTCACCGCTAACGATCTGCTTTGGATCTCTGTGCGTGCTCAGATCTAGTAAGCTTGTGACTTGCAACTCGTCCACCGCCTTATAACGCTCAGACGGTTTCGCAATAAGCAAACCGAATTCTATAGGGTGCGGGGCTCGCTGGCGCTGGCTGCATGCCACTAACACGTCACACGCACTGCCATTCTCACAGATCCGCCCCACACCTGTATCGACTTCCTAAACAAGTATTATACAAGTGGTCAGTGGCGTGCGGCAGCTTGCAGTCAGCTCGCGGCCCCGAGAATGAACGGTCTAGACTTTCGTTGGCGACGGCTAACTAAGGTAGATGTGGCAGACTTTACTTGAAGCTTCAACATTCAATCCAGACCAAGTGAGGCTACGCACAACTCATCTCCCTTAGCGCTGTCATCGGTGGCCACCCTCATATACATCATATCGAGTACTTCGTTGGAGCAGAGATTGAAACGGGAGAACGAAGTCTAGTGCACAGCTGCACCGGTGGCCCGTATCTCATATCAAGGCGCCACCGCAGGGCTGAATTTCGATGTCATGAGGAGTTAGTCCGCCCTGTTAATAGAAGTTTCAGCCACCATCAACCTCACAGCGTTACATTTTGCACCTGCTAATGAACAGTAGTTTTTCAGAAACCGTGACTTACCCAAGTCGACTTATGTAACATGCGGACGGCTTCAAAGATCTTATGTACAAGCGGAAAATTGATAATTCCCGCTCGGCAACTAGTAGTGCCGATACTTCTGGAATTGGAGCCCCACATCTCAGACCACTTACCTCGGCAGGGCAGATATACAGTCTTATATGAGCCCTGTTGTGACCAGCTACCTTCCCGCATTTTCTACCCCAAAACACAAGGCCAATGTTGGCAGCAGCAATTGAGGACACGGGATTACACATGGCGCTGTGGATAAGCCACCCGGCGGCGGATTGTGGAGTGGGTAGAAGATCAAAAAACAACGCAGATACTGACGCCTCACCACGCCGCCGCCACTTCGTGTGCGGGGCCAGTAACAAAATTTGGATACTTAGTATAAATGGCGCCTCTTCATCCGATCACCGCGTTTTCTGTGTCAAGCTTCGCAACCAGAAGGGCGGGTCAAGTGTTGACGTACACAAGTATAGCAACATATAGTGCAGTGGAACCGCTTTGTAGGACCTTATGTTGTTGTCCGTAATATGCCACACTGTCTCCGCGGATTTTACTTACCTCACCGAACTGGTCATGTGGCCGATCGCTTGTTCGCACTACGGTTAGACGAACTCCATGTACCGGTCCGTTTCGAGTCGGTAAAAATGCCGAACGACTCTTCAAGTGAGGATGAAAGTGAAGAGCCCTGCACGGTTTAAATGTGAAGAAACGACTCACTCGAAGGTGCAAAAACCAAACTTCACCACAAACACGACGGTGTATTGAGGGAAAGTCTGATTATACACAGAGAACCCTTCCTTGATAGGCATAAGCATCTCAAATATGTCAATACGTACTTGGTTATTATGCCTCATGGATCAGGATCCAGTGACTATGACATGTGATGATAAAAGGAGACGAAAGTCGTTGAAAATACACTTGTAAAGCAACACATGAAATCTATAAGGCTGCAAAAGAGTATCCCTGAGAGCAACGCACTAAGAGGAAGTGCACAACCTACTTAATCACTACGCGAAACTCCGCCCAGTTCCATTTCTTCATCTTCGTCCCTTGGACGGGAAACCACCAGTCCTTCAGTCATTTCTCTCTTCACACACAGCTGTTCGGCGACAATGACTGTCCATGCCGACCCTGCCACTAGAATAAACCAGAAAAACAAGGAATTGGGTATCGAAGCTGAATAGTAAGTCGTGAGTACGAGATGAATGAACACCAGGGTCAGCGCGAAATCTAGGATGAGGCGCGGCCGCCGAATGAGGGTATAAAGGAAATAGATACTATGAATAAAAGAATTAAGTGGTCATCTGACTCGATGTGGGGCACTCACTCTGCTGTGCAAGCGATCATCCATGAGATTGCGATGACCCAGCCTCTTGTAGGGTCTATTCGTCCAATACCACTATCCTCCCATCCTTCACCGACTCTCCTTCCTCCACTCCAAGCCCCATAATACGAACGCCAGCGTTCTTCTCCAGGCATACCGCGTACGGTGGGCTTCCCAGCCATTTCGCGCCAGTCCATGATCATACCTGTCGAAATTCGTCGGTCCTCGATATGACTGCTATGTGTGTTATTTTGCGTACCGACATTAGTGGCTCCTCCTTCGTAAAGTAATGACGATGGTTCTGCGAACAAGGAAAGCAAAGGAGGTATTAGGACCGAAAGCACCAGATAGTGCAGCGTTTGCATGGAAATGATCTGTAGCAAAGATTCAACAAGTCCAATCCACAGTAATAGTTTCAGATACCTGGGAGATCAACAGTGCTGGGTCCCAGCTTGTGGGATGTCGTGAGGGGGGCATGAGTCGAAACGTTACCCGCTCCATATCCGCCACGTTCAGGTGTGCGGGCAATGGTATGTCACGTGACATAGATTACCTAAGCCAGCTGTGTGGAGGAAGCAAGTTTGGGCGCGCAAGGCCATTACAGGCTTCCTCCGGACTTGGAGATGGCCCCGCATGCATACCAACACCTTTCTAATGCAGAAGAGGGGTACTTGGATCGCGAATTAGACCATCCTAGAGGTCTTTCCCCCTCCCTTTCCGACCGTGCTGCGCGACCGCTCACTTACTACGGTGAGGGACCCTTCGACGCACCCAGTTCGGACGATGAAGACGAAGAATATCTCGTGAAAGAGGCACACGGCCAAGGGGAATCCGAACTAGACAGTGGTCTTCGAGTCGGTGGCAGCGGAAAGGTTAGGTCACGAATCGGTTGTGAAGATACAATAACTGAGCCATGCTAATTGTCCAGCGACCAACCGCACTCAAAGCTCTAGTCCTATCACTTGCATCCCTTGTCATTTTGTCAGCTTGTATTGGCGTTTTTGCTGCTACCGTACTGTACAATGGCAAACCATTCCGTGGACCGAGAGCCCAGAAATTCTCCCTTGACCACATTTATAATGGAACGTTCAGTGCTAGCCTCCATTCAGTTCATTGGGTCCCAGAAGGTCTGAGGTCGGCTTTGTTCCCTTCCGAGTGCTCATTTCGACTGTAGCTGGGGACGGAGTGTTCTCAATGATGGAAAATGGATGGATAGTACTCGTTGACCTCAAAACTAACGAGACCAAGCCTTTGATTTCCACCGCAGATATCAAAGACGTAACCCTCCCTATTTCGTGGTGATACAGTATTGTATTAACACCAACTCGCAGGAAAATGGAAGCCAATTAAACTGGACCGAGTGGAAGCTTTCGCCGGACATGAAGTACGTTCTTGTCAAGGCAGACAAGGTCAAAGTGCGTATGCACTTCTATCAACTTCATCTGCCAAACGTGAATGCATCAATAGCAATGGAGGCACTCCAGCTTCGGCAATTACTATATCCATGATTTGGAGACCAAGGCAACCAATCCCCTGTTGCCCCCCACTAATCCCCCAGTCACAGCCCTATGCAACATGGGCACCAACCGGCCAATCTATTGCATTCGTTGCGTCCAACGACCTTTATGTTCTGCCGTCTCCCCGGTAAGGGTGTAGCTTCACTCTTACTTAGCCGTTAACGAACCAGTTTTCAAGCTCCACTATATCTCCCATCCGTGTGACAAACACTGGAAATGCATCGCTTTTCCACGGTATACCCGACTGGATTTATGAGGAAGAAGTTTTCGGAACTGATTACGCTCTTTGGTGGTCCCCTGATTCTTCACAAATTGCTTTTCTTCGGCTCGATGAAACTGCTGTCGATGAATATCGCTTTCCAATCTACAACCCAACTAATGACGCCTATGCCGTTGTGCCCTACACCGAGGATGTGGTGATTAAATACCCGAAGCCTGGCTACAACAACCCCATTGCCTCGATACACGTGTTTAATCTGGCAAGCTATCTCGAGTATTCCAACATCTTTTCTGCTGCGGCGACTACGATCGAGTTAGTTTGGACCGGTCGCTTTTCGCCTGACAACAGTATCATTTCTGAAGTTGCTTGGGTCGATGACTCGAGTTTGATCGTGAGGGAAGTTAACCGTGCTGCTGACAACGGCAATGTCATCCTCTTCCACCTTGATGAGTTGATCCCAGAGCAAGGAACCGGGTCTGGTGTGGTCGTCAGACGACTTGGAAAGAATGGTGAGGAAGCTGATGAAGGCTGGATCGAGTCGGTCAGTGCAGTCCCCGTTGTCCACAAATCATGATGTCCATTCTTCTGCAGCATCAGAACATTTACCCTCTTCCACCAAGCCTGCGATCAGGTGATTCGCCAGCCTACCTTGATATCGTACCATCAAAGGATGGGTACAATCATATTGCTCTTTTTGACCCGGCCGACTCCACTACGCCCCGTTTTCTCACTTCTGGACCCTGGGAGGTGACAGGAGGTATACAAATTGTGGATGCCCAAAGAGGATTGATGTAAGCTCTAACTCTTTAATGTCCGACACTTTCTCCCCCGCCACATGACACTAAAGATCAGGGCAGCTACTTCCAAGCGGCTCTGTCCTCCATCGAGCGCCACCTGTATTCTGTCCCAATCTCATCACCGAACACAGCATCGCCTATAACGCCCTCCCCATTGACAGATGAATCGACCACATCTTCATACTCTGCCAGCTTCTCACCTGGAGCTGGCTTTTATCTATTAAACTACCGTGGACCTGGAGTTCCTTGGCAAAGGGTGGTCCGTGTTGACAAACCAGGTACTGCTGTCCAATTCTGAGATATTAATTGGAACTGACGGTGGGTTTCTAGACTTTGACTATGTTCTCACAGATAATGCTGCGCTTAACTCGACATTGACTGTATTCGAAACTGCCACAGTTACCTACACCACCATCATCAGTGATGGTTATGGTAAGGGTCTATCTAAATGTCGACGCATCGAAGGTGGTGGGTTAACTTCGGAATCTTTTAAGAACTAAACGTGAAGGAGATGCGGCCACCGCGAATGGATGATTCGGGTCGAACGAAGTACTCTGTACTTTTCCATGTGTGGGTATTCCATCCGGATGTGTGCCATAGACTTACTTGGCATCTTTTGTAGATACGGTGGGCCCGAGAGTCAGAAAGTTGATGTCAATTATAAACGCGACTGGCATGACTACCTCGTTTGTACCCTCCAGTACATAGTGGTTATCGTTGACGGCAGGGGCACGGGCTACAAGGGGCGTCAGTTGCGCAACCCAGTGAGGAATAATCTGGGCTTCTGGGAGACCCGCGATCAGATCAATGCAGCGCGGTGCATACCTTAATCTTTTTAGTATCAACCTCCCGCTCATCCACTTTTCACAGCATATGGGCCAGTAAACCTTACGTGGACCCGAAACGTATTGGCATTTGGGGCTGGGTGAGTCGACCGTGTGCAAAGCCGTTTCTTCATCCCTCTCATGAATGCATTCAGTCTTATGGTGGTTTCATGGCTTCCAAAGTAGCCGAGGCAGACGCAGGCATCCACTCGCTAGCGATGGCCGTAGCGGTAAGCCTACGCTGCATTTCAAGTTGCATTATCTTACGATACATATGTGGTATTTGTAGCCTGTGACAAGTTGGCGTTTGTACGGTAAGCTGAACAACCAGACGAATCATCCTCGCTGGGCTCACAGATACCCAGATTCCATTTATACAGAACGGTACATGGGTCTTCCGAACGACAACCCTGGCGGTTACATCAATGCTTCAATCTCGTCTGTCGAAGGGTTCCGCAATATTGACTATCTCCTGATGCACGGAAGTGGCGACGACAATGTCCATTTCGCGAACTCGGCACATCTCCTTGACATGCTCACAAATGCCCAAATTCGAAATTTCAAGTTCAGGATGTTCACAGATAGGTGAGATCTGTCGATAAATCCTACTCCTACGAGACTCACTGACATTATAATATGTAGCGATCACTCTATTAACATGAGAGGTGCCAACAGGGAAGTGTACGAGTACATGACATTGTTCCTTCTCGAGAAGTGGGGTAGGGGGGGTCACCGTCGGGGTTGGTGAGGGTTTCTATTGGCATACCCGAGGCCTCAGCTGTACAAAGGTTCCAATAGTATGATAAAGACGATGATGTTAGGCGTAATATTCTTGTTGTGGGTCCAGGATATCCGGATGCTATATTTCATACCAGGCGAAACATGTCCGAATTCAGGGAGCACTTCTTCACTTAGGGCACACTCCTCACGGGTTGTCATTTAGCGCCCAGCCCCACATGATGTCACTGTCATGAATCTTAACTTGGATACGTATACCCGGCACGCGACGCCTAGCCCCCACACGCTGGCCCAAGAGGATGATCTGCCGGGGCTACTTATTGCGGATGAACGGCTTGTGACATACACAGATGTATCGCCTTCGTATCTGCATTATATGAGTACCACGTCACTCGCCGAGAGCAGACCAGCGAAGATCCTGCGCGCAGGCTTCTCCCACGATGACTGGCTGGGGCTTAAAGCCCTCTTTACGAAGGCCGCAAGGCTTTTCAACGGTGTGGATTGTCATTACCGTCATCCGAACACATGAGTTGCTCATGTAGACCTGTTACCGTGAAACGACAGATAGTGAAGGTGCAAATCGCGATCTCATCACGCTGACACGCGCTGTAATCCATCAGTGCCACCATGCCCTTGTCTCCCACCTAGACATCATTTTGGGTACTCCGGAGGATAAGGAGAGGCAGCCATCTATACCACTGAGATCCCTAGACCTACATTTCCTTCGCCTTCTCGAACATCGCAAGTTTCCGACAACAGCCCAGGAGAAGGGGTGGACGACATGTAACGAAAAGGAAAGGATGTATGTATACGATGACCCTAGGTTTCTACCTTGGCTATCAGTTGACTTTGCGTTCTTTAGAGCAATCGATTTTCTCAGTGAACTCCATGGCATCTTGGGAACGGCCCTGTTCTTTTTCGGAAAAATCATTGCCAAAGATGGGTCTCTTGCTTTGCCAGGTGAACCCAACACCGCTCTGCCCTATTGGTTATCCGCCCTCGACGTTTTCGAGTCAGGGTACAACCTACCCGTGCGTACCAACGCTTCCTACGCGTGTAGGGAACACTGGTTGCTTGCTGTGTCCGACAGTCGAGTTTTGATAGCACTCATTGGTCAGTTCATCACAGAGAAGGAACATAAACGTAGCACCAGCGAACTCTTCACGCGCGACAGCAAGTGGGCCCGCAGTTCACCGCTCGGAACCATCGTTGCTCTACGCCCTCCCCCGACGCAGAGGATGGCACTCTCTCTTATGTCCCTTAGCGAGTTGATGCTGATTGCCACGGACCAGTTTATGAGGGGGATACTTCATATGCCCCACCAACCCCCGACTGACTTCCCATATTTTTCACGCGCCGGAAAACTACTCACAATTGCAACGGAGGTCCTGGAAGTCGTGGAGCGCTTGCCATCGCTTGAAGAGAGACGCCGCTGGGCTGCGTGGGTTCAATCGATCCTGAATCTCATCAAGCCAGAGAAGTCTACTGAGGGAGAGGGGGAGCGCACAGCGCTCACCAGACTACGCTGTTGTTCACTCGTGTGTCCTCCGGGTCAGGGGACAGAGGTGGCAGATGATCATTGACAGTTCAGCCTCCCTGGCCCGTGGCGCGGAACTCTTCATGGTTTCAACATTCTCTGGTTTGCCCTTTCCTCCCAAGCTCTTGGATCCGTGTTCAGGTAATGTCCTGCAATTTCCAAAGCTATGAATATGTAATTTCTTTCCTGGCTATCATTGATCGTAGAATATACACGCGTTTTCAGGTTTGTTTCTAATTGTTGTATTATGATAGTGAGTTTCTAGTCATCCTTGGTGTCAGTTAGACCTTGTTGCCCATCACCTTGGTTCTTGTAAAATCAGGAGTCGCCATGCAATGATTCAACGCATGAAATCATATTTGCATAAACTGAGGTCAATATTCGTGCCCAAATCCCAACAGTGGCAGGAAGAGAAGATTGTAAATATTAAAGTAACGACTGATTTTTTTTTCCCAACCACTTCGGACCACAAGAAGGGGACAAATCTATATAAACCGAAGAAAAAGAAAGGTATCGACGAGTCGAGGCTCGTTGGGTTGTGGGTATGCCTAGAAGCACATTCAGCCGATGTAACAAGTCGGCAAGGTATCGCGGACACAGCTGAAGGGCAAAACGACATCACAAGGTCACGTATGGGCAAGAGATAAAGGAACAAAATGCACTACACGCTGAGTGGCACAAGGCCGGCCTGTGCACTATAGCAGTGCACGTAGTAAAACCAAGGTACCTGGACCAATCGCGAAGGGAAGTCAAGAGAGGGTAAATAAATAAAGAAATATTACAAGGATCAAGACATCAGCCAACCATACAATTCACAAGAGTATGAAAACCAGAGTTGGAGTCGAAACAGAAGATAGGCGAAATTTAAAACACGGGATTTATATTCCACCATAGGCGTCACCATCCTCGTAGACGGTGTAAGCAGACGAGGGACGATTCGCGTCTGTGGTGACCTCCCGTGTTCTCGGAGCCGGAGTCTCGGAAGAGTGAGCCACAGTGTTAGCGCCAGAGGCAAAATGAACCGGAGATGGTGCACGAAGCGCAGCAGTTGAAGCTTGAGGAGTTCCTTGTGGCGGGTTGTCGAACGGCGATGGAAGTGGAGGAAGGTTCAAGTCATCCGATGTGCGTGGTAAACGCGGTTCCATATCGTTCAAGTGGCGCGAGATAGCGGCATATTGTGCGGCTTGGAAGGGCGTCACGCTGGAGCGATTAAGGTCAACGTAATGTGGCTCGTTGTCCTCAGGAGTCGCGCCATACCCGGCGGCACTCCGTTGGCGATTCAGGGTAGTGACGCCAGACGGTTGTCTAGCGAGTTGGGCAGGGTTACCATATCCAGTCATAGCACTCGGTTGACGCGTGAGGAATGCGGCGTTCGAAGGCTGTCGGGCGAGTTGTCCAGGGTCCCCATATCCCATGACGGGTTGACCGTAAGCCGGCTGAACGACCTCTCCCGGACCCAGTGACTGCTGGCCATACCCGCCATAGAAATTGGAACCGGGACCGGAAAAGTTGCGCTGGGCTGCAAGGGCCGGAGAAGCATTGTGAAGGTGGCGTTCGATCATGGTGGGTGGCCGGGGGTTGTGACTTGGTGCGGGTGGGTCGTCCACCAGAATGGCAGACTGGCGACGGAATATGCTGGCATTAAAGTCATCGTCGTAATTCTCCTTGCGGCGACGCTAGAACGAGTAAATGAGCCACAAAGGAGGATTTTTGGTTTGAAACATACCATCAACCACATAACGAGGAATCCAAGAATAGCGAGGCCAGCGAGCGTACCAGCAATACCGCCAACGACGGCGGTGACGTCAACCGAACTCGAAGAAGAGGTCGATGTTGCTGATACAGCGGTTGAAGGTGTGGTAGCTGAGCCGACGCTGCTAGTCCAGAGAGAAGCGGAGGGAGAATTGACTAGACTCTGAAAAGTAAAAAAGATAAGAACGTTGCCTGAACAAAGTAGGATGAATCGTACGGTGGAGTGAACGGTGACTACAGCGGGTGCAGCTGAAGTGGGAACGGTTGAAGTGGTTGCTGATGAGGTAGCAGAGGAAGCTGTTGAGGCTGAAGATGTCGTGGTGGGAGTGGTCGATGTATTGCCATGTGCGGCGCTTGAAGTGGATGAAGTCTGCACAGATGTCGGGGTATTTTTGCCAGCATCCTGGGCCGTCGTTGTGGGAGTAGCTACTGATATGACTGGTGTAAGGGTCAAGTATAATAAGACTGAGATTGGCGTACCTTGAACGGATGCTGACGGGGTGGAATGGGAGTCAGTAGACGACGTTTCGGTATCGAAGGAGGCCGTTGGACTGAAGCGAGCAGCGAGGCCGCGGTGCATCTTATTGTTGGAGGAGCGTCTCTGTACATCGAAGTGGTCAGACATGACTACGCTTTGTTTTTTTCTGGGTGTTCGTAAGGAGTGGAAACAATTCGAAAGGAGTGAATGGAATGAGTGGAAGGCTGGGCCTCGTCGCCGTCAGCTGTGCTGGCAGACTGGGAGGAGAGTCCGAGCAATAACCACAGAGTGTCACACAGTCACACGTCACGCATGTCACACTAACCGCCCAACATCCGCCACAGCCTCGCCGCATGCCCGCAGCCGTGGATATTGGAATGAGGTCGCAAGTATGTCTCACGTCCCCATTCGCATTGGCGGGTATTGAAATATTGACGGGTCAGGATCAGATAATATATCACTAGATTCGTCGATGAGTCGTCGACTGCCTGAGCGTCTCTCCAGAATTACCCCCGCGCGTGACTGTAGGAAATTACGCTGCGATCGCACTTGGCACTTGGGCACGAGGAGCCCTCCTTCGACGCCCACGCTTGGGCATGGTCCAAATCTTGGCTTCCTGTGTCTCGCTCGTTCTGAGTCTCTGTTTCTCGACCACTCTGATATCCCAGGCATGTGCCCAGCAGATCGTCGTCCTCTCCAGCAACGATTCAGATATCATCTATAACCCGCCTCTGTGTTCTTCTTCCGATGTCGTTTCTGGCTGTACCAGCCCATGGTAGGTTTGTTCCGTTTCTCAGTAGTCTTCAATTGCCAACGTGCCGTCTCGACACCAGGCAACTCCTCAACGACTCCTCGGCCTCTACGACAGTGATTTCAACCAATGGACCGATACCACAAGCCGGGAATGTGATACCCCAGATGTTTTTGACGTTCCGAGGCAATTAAATCATTTTCTCCTTGCATCGCAAGCCGTCTGATCTACTCGTCCGTACAGCCTCGAGTCTGTATCTTTATCCGTCCCCCCTGTCCAATGCGACTGTAAACTTTACCCTCACTGCTGAACCAAGCGATACCTCAATCACGAGCATGGTAAACACGTCCATAAACATCATCACGGCTGTTGGCCTTCCGCTAACACAAGCGACAACCTTGGGTATCACCTTTATTCCTGGTGACTTACCCACGCGGTTTGACTGTCGAATCCATCACATTGGTTGTTGCGAATTCTAGGCACGTCGTCTTCTGTGTTTTGTTGGTCAACACAACGTGTAACCGCTCGTTTGTCCTATTCATCAGTGCAACAGCTTCATATTTGCCCTCGCCGCTACTACCGTCATCTAGCTCCCCTCCTTTATTCACTTCGTCATCGACCCCCACAAGCGCTCAAACGTCGAGTGGGGTGAGCGAAGTCACCATCCTTGGTGCAACACTGGGTTCCGTACTTGGCGGTTTTGTGATTTTGGTTATCGTACTCTCTGTTGCACTCTATCGAAGACGTGTGAAGTGTCGGACAGCGTGGTAGCTGTGATCATTCATACCTATTCCACTTAATTTAAAACAACGGGGTGTGGAAGCTGACTGAGTGGTTGGCTGTGTCAGTTAGCGCTCGGAAGGTGTGTCTTCTTTCAGCGAGGTTCGGCGGCTTTGATCACGATTCATGACAACGTCCAACTGCGTTATCAACGCCTTGCGTAACTAGCCTTCTGCACTATCTATAGAAAAGTCTGAGGGACTGCACCTGTGCAGATGGTCAATTTCAGGACATGCTGTCAAAGGGACATCTGATTGCATGGAGTGGTGGTCAACCATAATGACCTCAGGAAATGACAACACTGCCTTTTCCCATATCCTTTGGCCAGCTGATGGACATGGTGTGTTCCAATCGTCTGCGAGTTCTCGTGGAGCTCTTCGTTCTTTTGATGTGAGATAATGGATAGTCGCATCACCACAATGATAAATTTTGACCCCCCTGAAGTGGGTCCATACTCCCTTCGTGTTGACAGTACCTGTCGATCGTTCATCATGGTATACAAACGAGCAGACTCGGAGGTACCTCCTTTAACCAAGACAGCTCAGAAAGTTAGGACTTCTATGCTCGATATGCTGTCCGGATTCTTCCAATGACTTCTGTTGAAAGTGCATCCCAAGTGTGGTGTGTGACAGATTGAACATTCACAGCAACATTTTTGACCTACAGGGTTATATTATGCTGTTCAAACATTCATCTCTCTTTTATGGCATTGTGCTTCCCCCACAGATTTCAGTGCTGTTTGCTCTGGCACGTGTCTTATCTATATCATGATCATCTTTCTGGGTGAGTGCCCCCAGTCTCGTCTCATCAGGATCAGAAGCAGCAGCAGTCCTACTCTTGTCTGTTTGCCATGCATCATGGCATAACTATTTTCAAGGGCAAAATTCTCTCTGTGATCTTTTGTGGTGCATATATGCCCATGGTAGGGCTGCATCCTTGGGCCACACACTCATTGGTTTACTTGAACCTTCGGATCTTAACCCTCTGAAACCCATCATTGGATCTTTGTCCATCAATAAACTCTCCACATGTTGTACGTACTGCATCCAAAGGCAGAGTTATCACAAAGCTGGGATGCTGGGGGGCAAAAGGCAAGTAGGATTCTCTGTTTGGCAGTTATGATGGGTCCATGGAAAGGTTTTGATTTCATCTCAATGGACTTGTACCTGATATAACTTGGGGGCATGCATTTGGCTCTTTCCTGCATGTTCTGTTGTGAAGTCTTCTAATGCCTGCTCATTGGATGACTACAGAATTTCATACATAGTGATCAATGAACCATAGTGTTGGTGCTGCAAATTTCAGCTGCACTGGGACATTCCTCTTGGTTTTTGTGTGTGCAACTGCAAAAATGGAAACTCGAAGATACATGAGGCATGGCCTCACTTGCAGGGGCCATACCAACAAACATGGCCATGCACATAGTTTCATTTTCTATAAAGGCAGGGAGCTAACAGATGAAAGTGAGACATCAAGGTTTCCTGCCTTTGCCCAGGTCCATGTTCATTCCCTCATCATTCAAGTGTCTGACATGACTCACCTGTGGCAGTATAGCATGTCAGACTCACAAGGTCTCACTCCCTACACATCACTGTCCTTTGACCATGAGAAGACAGACATAATTTTATGATCATCTGACAACATAGATTTCCACATCTTCAAGCTGTTCCTCTCTCTTGCATCCCTGTTCTTTGAAACCCTCTTTGATCTTCCCCAGCCATCAGAGGAGATGAGCACAGACATGGAAATCAAGGATGGACTACCAGTTGTTCCTGTCTCAGAGGACAGCAAGATGCTAGTGTATGCCTGAGCACAGTGACTTCTTCAAATGGAATAGGCACGAAGCACATGAGGGGGAGTCTACAGGCTGAACTTGTCATAACCCCTATGGCTCAGTTATTGCTGAGGTCTGGCAGAGGTTTGCTCCTTCTGGTGAGTTCCTTTGAGATCACAAGGAGGAGGGAATGAGGACAAAAGCAAAGGAAGTTAGCTGAGTTGCAAGCTATTGAAAAACTGAGAATACAAGGTAGAGTATGTGGGTTTATATACCCCTAAGCATGAGTGCCATACCAGTCGCAATGAGGCATGTTGCGATGTGTATCCGCAGTAATCAATGAAAAAATCAGACAAATGGATAAGTCAAAGGGAGTCATATGGTGTCATATGATGGGGGTAGGCAGGGGAATGAAGGCTATACTGGCTGCACAATCAATGTGCAGCGAGGAGCCAGACACTGGATCTATAGTACAACATATGAGCAACATAAATGAGTCAGAAAAGAGTCAACTGGAACAAGAAAGTAACATGTCATCCATCAGAGAGGGTGGTGGAATACTGGATCAAAGTGGGAGTGCAGTCTCAACAGGTATTGGAAATACCTTGACAGCAGGGGACCTGGGTGGGCTTTGAAGCATATGAGCCCCTAGGATGGTGACAACTATTAGAGGTGTGACTAGGCATGTGATGCATGTGACCATGAGAAGTCAAAAAAGGAAAGACCCCTGATGCAGGCATAACATCACCCCCCCTCTAAGGTCTTCAGACCCTTGAGGATGAGGTAGGCATGTTGGCGGGGTGTGCAGAAAGGGGTTGGTGGGTAGTATAGATGTGGGAACGAGTGCAAGAGGTGACAGGCAATGATGGTGATGAAGTTGGTGGCTCCTTGAGGGCCGGAGTAAAGTGGGAGCCATGTCCATTGTTGCATGACCAATGTCCCAGGTAATGGCACTGGAAACATGTGTGTTGGTAGAGAACATGGTCAGCCAGGACAGGGGACTGGCCCCTGAGATAGAACTGAAGTTGGTCCAGAGGGATGGGGATGAAGGGAGCTGCAGGGAGAGGATTGGTGGCATGGATGGCATTATGATACTGTTTATGGAGTCTGGCCCACAACACATCTTGTAGAAACACCTCCCAGGTGGAGGAATGAGTCCCAGTTCCTAGACAAACACCAACCTCTTTAAAGAGGGCACCAGAGTCAACATATGTCAACTCGATTGCCTTCCACCCATCTACCTTCTCCTGATCCATCCAATTCTCCTCATGTGAAGCCAATGATTCCTCTTGCTTCAGGCAGATATGATCAAGAAGTCAAGAAGTGGGCAGGGTGAGAAACTTGCTGATCTGTTGATGGAGAAGATGATGATAGGCACCACTGGTTATGGCTTCTAGAAGCCCTGACAAACTTCTTTCCAGCATCAGGTCCTGTGCTTTCTTGTGCACAAGAATGGTGACATTGTGGTTCAAGGCTAGCCTTTCTAACCTTTCATCTACTGAGGGGACTGTGGTGAGCTGCTTTTCCAGATAGGGGGATGGGTCATATCCCAAGAGCAATGAGAAAGGTGTCATTTGATGGACAGAGTGGACTCGAGAGTTGTGGGTGAATTCTGCAGATGGGAGTTTGGCTGCCCAGGAATTTGGCACCTCAGTGCAGTACAAGTGGAGGTATCCTTCCACTTCTTGGTTGATGTGTTCACTTTCTCCATTGGTCTGCAGGTGATATCCTGTCGAAAGTTTGGGAATTACCCCTATTGCTTTGTAAAGTTCCTTTGTAAAGGAAGAGGTGGACTGTGGTCCATGATCTGAGATTACCGATTCAAGGACACTGAACCAGGAATAGATGAATTGATGGAAGAGTTGGGCGATCCCAGCAGAGTCAATTGTTTTATGACATGGAACAAACAGGGCAGCTTTGGACAGCCCCTGATCAACAACCATGAGAACAGAGTCATATTCTTGTTCTCCTGATACCAGAAGATCCATGATGAGATCCATAGATATTTGTTGGAATGGAAACACGGTTTGGGGAGTGTCATGTGGGACAACAGGTGGCATAGGTGGGTGAGTCACCACTTTGGTGGTCTGACACATAGGACAACCTGCCATGTAAGCTTGTATATCTTTTCCCATACCTTCCCACCAGACTTCTTTCTGTATTTTCGCAAACATCACCTTCTGTCTGGGGTGTCCAGTGGACTTGTGATCATGATATGACCTCATGCAGTGGTGATGATCCTCCAGTGGAATTTACAACCAAGTCATTCTGAACCATTTTGTTCCATCTTCCACAACTGCAATGTTATCTTTGGGTTCTGGACCTGTTGAATCCTTTGGTGTATTGTTCTTGATGCATTCATACAGGTCCACAGATATAGTGTAAACTCCCCATGCTCCTTTTATTGGTTTCCTCAAAGGGCAAGCATCAAGCAGCCTATTCTCCTTTGGCTTTTCCTCAATTGGGCAAGAATATGGCTTTGAGTTGTTTTTGGAACATTGGATCCATGCAGGTAGATGTCTGATGCAGGTGAGATGGTTAATTTTTAGTTGTTTTTGGGTTTTCATAATTGAAAAAGAGGGTGAAACAAGGCAAACCTGGGGACCCACCCCCTCCAAAAGCCAAAGGTCCAGGGGAAGGACCGTGGCCACAGGGGCAGGCTCTGCCAGTGTGCCTTTTTGAGAAAGAGTGTTGGCAGGGATCTGTAGGTGACCAGCCTGCCAGGAGAACTGGATAGGATAGGACTGAATAGTGGCAGCCCATCGGGCCTGATGAGGGGTGAGCTGTTGAGGCTCATGGTAGTACTCCAAGTTCTTGTGGTCAGTAAAGACCACCATAGGTTTGACAGGGGATAGGAGGTAGGGGCGGAAAGCCTTGAGGGCACAGATAACAGCCAACATTTCCAAGTCGTAAACTTGGTAACACTGTTCAGCACCAACCAGGGACTGCGATAGGTAGGAACAGGGATGCCACTCATTGTCATCACCTTTCTGTGCGAGAATGGTCCTGGTACTGAGCTTTGAAGCATCTGTAAAGAGAGTGAAGGGCTTCGAGAAGTCCAGGATAGTGAGGACTGGAGATGAGCATAACAAAGATTTCAATTTCTCAAATGTGGCATCATGTTCCAGAGTCCACTGGTAGGAGACCCCTTTCTTGGTTAGATTGTGAAGGGGTCATGTGATGCTCAAAAAGGAGGGGATGAACTTGCAATAGAAAT